TGACCATTCTTTTATGACCAACTAATTGGTTCAACTCATGGATTTTTATGTTCTTCCATTTGCAATTTAACAATAGAGCCCCATTCAGATTCACTCCACTTATATCCACATTTTCAAATTCAGATCCGCTAAAATTACATCTGACAAAATTAGCACCAATCAAACTCGTATTTTTTATTCTAATATCCTCAAAGCATCGGTTTGTCAAATCAACCTTCATATCTACCAATAAATTAAGTCCATTTGACCCACATTAAATAAATGTTTCATCTACAGTAGTGAGTTGAACTAAAAATTTTAACCATTCGACTATTTAATCATCTTTTGATATTTTTTTTAGTAGATCTTTTCTATATTCTTCATAGATGTCTTCATAATAATTTTTATTGTTAAAGTCATGATCTTAGAGTGATTTCAAAATATCAATCATTATCTTCAATTTATTTCTTATCTCCTCTTATTAATCGACATTTGTTTTAATCATTACTTTTAATATGGACTATGAGCACCTTGAAAGATTTTCAACATCTGAAAGATATTTCAAACAGTGTGAAACCTTTTCTTTTCTCAAAATTTCAATTGTCCCTTTGTATATTTATTAGTCCAAATATTTTGATGAAGCTAACACATCATACAAATCTTCTTTCTAATCCATTCCTTTTTTTTTAAAAATTTTATTGAAATTCTATTACTTTTATATTAAGTTTTATATTATGAATCAAAAGTATCTTTTGAATTAAAGTTAAGACAAAAACAAAATGCGATGGGAATTATGATTTGATTGTAATAGAGGTTAAATCAAAAAAAATTAAAATCATATCAATACTGCATAGCTTAAATCTTTAAGAATATAGAATAAATAAAACATAAAATTTTTAAAATTATGCATAATTAAGAATCGATACATTAGATTTAAAACTTGCTAAATCGAATACCCATTCTAATGTCTTTTGAATATATAAAATATAAATATTATGAAAATAGCTTTAGAATTTTTTTTATTTTTAAACAAAGTATTTTTGAAAAATAATCATATATAATTTGTAAAAAAACACTTTTTACAAATAAAAGAAAGAACTTTAAGAAGCTTAAAAAGAGATAGAGTTTAAAAACGAACTTAAAAGAGAAATACTGTGTATCTATATTTAATTTCTATTGCTTTTATATTAAGTAAATGAAAAAAATTCCTAATATATATGGTAAGATTAAGAAAAAAGATTGTGAGTCATAACTACTTTAGCTTCAGGTAGTGATGATAATTCAATCCATTTATGGGATGTTAAAACAGGATAATAAAAAGCAAAATTAAATGTTCATAGAAATATTGTCTGTTGAGTATATTTCTCACCAGATGGAACTACTTTAGCATCTGGTAGTGAAGATAACTCAATCAGATTATGGGATGTTAAAACAGGATAATAAATAGCTAAATTAGATGGTCATAGTGGAACTGCAATATCAGTATGCTTCTCACCAGATGGAACTACTTTAGCATCTGGTAGTGATGATAAGTCAATCAGATTATGGGATGTTAAAACAGGATAATAAAAAGCCTAATTAGATGGTCATTAAAATAATTATTTTGCAAATGGTACCAATTATTAATTGTTTTTATTAAATTCTTATATTAATATTCTAATAATATTTTAATAAACCATATTTTAAACAAATCGTGCTCTATTTTATAAGAATATTTTGTAAATCAATCATCAATAGATTTAAAATTATTATTTAAATTTAAAAGAAGTTTTATTTTTGATAGTAATTTAGATAAAAAATTCAAAATGATATTATATAAATTTAAAAAATTTGAACAATTTTTTCTTACTATGTTTATTTTTCAAATTAATTCTAATTTTACTAAAACATTCCTTAATCTTTGCAGATTGCAGTTAAGCTCCTTTATTTCTAATTCAATAATTTTTCATTATTAAGACTATTTTACCTATTTTTTTTTGGATCAAATTCAAAAAAGTATAAAGTATAGTGCTAAAAAAAGTATAAAAAGCTAAAATAAAAATGACCCATTAATATTGCAAAAAAAAAAATAGGAAATTGTGAAATTCCTCTTGAAATTTTCAAAAGAATTTATTTTTGATAAATTTCTTTTTAAGGATTAAGTGAAATCCAAAAGATTATCTTATTATTTGTAAAAAAATAAAATTTAGTAAAACAACCTTCGAAAAAATTATTTTAATTATAAAAAAGTTAAAAACAATTCTTAGTTTTTTGTGCCTACTTGATGATGAATCAAAGACAAGATTTATGATTATTATAAGTGAAGTTATTGTAAGAAATACATTAGAAGAAATGTGTATTATCCAACAATTCTAAATATACAAAATAGTTGAGTTTGTAAAATTATAATTTAGGTTTGTGAAAGGGTATTTCGTATCATATTATTTATGTTGTATTATAAGTGTGGGGTAATAATATTTGTTGTCTTAAAATTGGCCAAAAAATTTTGCTTAATTCTATAATAAACTCTACCTCTTTGCAACAAGTTGAGTTTTAAAACGATAAGAAGGATTTTGCAAAACACCCAATCAAATCTTTTAGTTTTTTTAATTTATTTATTTAATATTAAATCATTTTTATAAAAATAATTTATGCTCAGAAATATACAAAGTAAAAAACACTTTCATGAATATGGCTTGGGAATAGGTTAGTTCCAACTATTATTGTCCTTGAAAAAACAGATTATTAAGTATTATCAAATAAATTTTTTTTTAAACTATGATCAATAAAAATTCAAATAAAACGCGCATATCTATTGCTTATAGGTTAGTTTTCTAAAAAATCTTAAGCTTATTTCTTCTCTGTCTCAACTAATTGCAAGAACTTTGAAATAAGATGAGAAAATTTTCTAGACTAATTCTATTTTTACCAAATATTACATCAATAACTGATTTTGATTTTTTTAGATTCCTTAAAGGAATAAACATACATCTATACAATTGATAGTGTAAAGATCAAAGCGAAACACATTTTTTTGTATTTTTTTTATCTGTTCTTTTAAATGTTTGTTATTCAATAAGTATATCCTTCTACTTTTGAATGAGATAATTATGTATTGAATAAAAATTGTCCTTTACTATCATTACTTTATACAAATATTTCAAATTGGTATAATATTTTTTATTCGCTGATATTACATTTGATCATTCAAAATCAAATCAATAAAGAGTTCTAAATAGCAAGTTTATGATGCAATCAACAAAAGCATTCAATTAGTTATGATTAATGATCTTTCCAATATAAGAGAGCTTTATTTATAATATGTTAAAGATATTTCATTTATGAATAGTTTTTCAAAATTCAAAAGAAGATGGTATGATTTTGTATTATGAAATAAATCTTTCACAATACAAATATCATGATATTAATATATTAAGAATTAATCATTAGAAAGAGGTCAATAAAATTGATGTTATATTATTGAATATTCATTAAATTTCATCATTGTTTTGTCTGAAATGCTGATTAGTCTTAAATTCTGAAAATAATGTGAATAAAACATGTAAAGACTCTATAATATTTCTATTGTTATTAATAGGATGAACAGGAATATCTAATAAATTGCAAGAGAATTAGCAATATTCTTATAAACCCAAATCAATATTGTCTCCAGGCAATTAAGTGTTTTAAAATAGATCTTCAATTTCTTAAGGCCAAACCTGCATTAATTCTTCTATATCAGGCATAATTTTAGAATAAGAAACTGATGGAGGTTATTTTTTTTTATGTATTTCTGCCACATCATTAATCCAGGCAGTAATTTCTTTAGGATTTTTGTCAGCATTTTCGATGGCATGTATGGTAGTATTTTTTCCTCTATTTGCTACTTTGACATATTCTCTCATCAATAAATCTAATTTAGCTTTTTTAGATTAATTAAGAGCAGGTTCATCCTAAAATTTATTGAAATAGATTACTAATGTAACTAAACCAAGTGTCTCAGGCTATCCATCAGGTCTTGGCATTTTGATAAATGCATCAACTTCACCTATGGCTGGTACATAATCTGGAATGAATGGTTTTAATTTAGCATCCAAAACCATTTAGGGAGCTTTGTATCTAAAATTAAAAGATTTCTAAATACCTAGCTATGTACTCAAATAATTATTTAACTTCTGCACCTACTTATAAATTTGAATAATCATTTGGGTTATAAGCACCAGCAGGTAATGGAACCTTTCCATCTTAAAATCCAGCACTTTATGCAGCTTATTGACCACCTCTAGCTCCAGCTTAATCTATTAGATTAGAATTTAAAAGCACTACATTAATCTTCATCTTCTTCACCACTAACAATTTCCTCATCTTCTTCATCTTTCAATTCAATTGCCTCATCATAATGTTCATTATCTATTTTCTTTACTTTTTCATCTCCACCAAAACCATAATCGTTCTTAATATTAAAACATTATTTCTACCTTTTGCATTTTTTTTGTTTGTAAAATTTAAAGATTATTATTGAATTTTCAATTCAAATTAGAAAAGGCTAGATTCAATGGTTATATTATTATATAATTAAAAAAGAAAGGAATTAAAATAAAAGAATTTTTATTATATTAAATAATGAATAATTGTTATTATGAATTAGAATCCTTAATTAACGATTTACCATAACGAACGATTGCATCATAAATATAACAACTTTTTTATAGAATAATAAGTCAAGAAAAACAAAATAGTCCAATATTAGAGGTAGAAAAATATTTCCGTAAAATGATAAAAAAAATTGAGTAGTTTTATTGTAGAAGATTACAAAAATTAGAATTTTTTATTTCAAAAAAAGCAGACACTTAATTAATTGTGTTACGAATAAGTAAATATTTAGAGAAAAAACCTTGGAGATTAGAAACAATGGATTATACTGCAAAACAAATAAAATAAGATAAAATTGATGATAAAAATTGTAATCAATTCATTAATTTTGACAATAATTAAGAAGAGTACTATTCAAGTAAAACATCTACTCCCTTTAGTAATTATACATGTATTCCATCTATCCCCAGAGATTCATCATTAAATTAAGCAATATTTTTAGAGTATGAAAATTCATTAAAATCATAATCATCTTTTCAACTGGATAAATAAGAACCTCTGCCAGACATTTCATAAATATAATTTAAATTATAATTGCTTGTAGATTAATCACCGAAAAAAAATAGAGTCACATAAAAGTAATAATAATTAGCAGATTTAATTGATAGTGAATTAGAAGAGTTCTCAGCATAATCACCTCCTTGTTAAAATATTTTAGATTGCAATATTAGTGATATCAAATCAGACTTTAATTCTAGACTTATTTCTTCAAGATCTCTACAAAAAGAATCTGTTAATTAAGCGAATACATCAAAAAATCCTAAATTAATTCCATAAACAAGAGAATTTGAAAGCTTGTTTCAAACACAATAATCTACTAAAGAAATTATCAAATATGTTGAATAATATCATCGATTACAATAACAATAATAAGCTTAATATTAAAAACAACAGAATTTTTAAGCAAAACCTAGTCTTGAAGTTAATAATAACACATTATAATGTTTTCAAGATAAATGCCAAAGTCCTTCAACTAATAAAAGATATCGAGTGAGATCATCTTATCAAAAAGAATTACCTTCTTAAAATAAATTAAAAGTTAACACTTCTCATGAAAATTTTGAAGTTAGAACTTCTAAATCTATTTAATCTAAGAAAAAACATTTTTAACTCCCTTCCCCATTAAATGAATCCATGAATTAATAAAAGCAAAAATAGTCATATTAACAATTATAATAATAATAATTATCCTTATAATAAAAAAAAAATATGTAAAGATAACAACCTTAATTATTATCATCTGCGTTATCTCATTTATACAAAAGATTTTCCTAATAAAAACAAAGCTCATCAGTAGTTACTAAGAGATCTACAAAATAAGCAATTAGCTATTCTCTAGAGAAAGATCATTAAAAAAAATCATATAAACTAGTTGATTATATAATAAATTATTGAAAAATTTATTTATAATTAAATCAAATATATATAACTCTAATCAGTTTTAATGCTTTAAGAATTATGCTTCTACTTTTTTTAGAGAGTAATTTTTTATTTATGGAGTAGAGCTAAGTGAGTCATCAATTTTATCTATTTATTAAGACAATCTCTCAATGATTTAACAAAATTCTAAATTGTCCTTATATAATTCATTTTAATTGTCAAATAACTATTCCCATATTTTCATTAAATTTCCTAGAATAATTATTCTATAATATTTACCTAAAAACTAATTTGATTCATCTTTAAAATAATCCAAAGCTATTTGATGAGTAGTTTTAGTATTTTCGAAAAATTTCATTGTATCAAAAGTTGACATATTATCATCCTGCATTTTAATTTGTATATTAAACTTCATATCTAGTAAAACATTCTTTATCATTGAAATCAGATTTATTATTTCAAACTTGATTAAATATCAACAAATACTTAGTCTTATTGGAAATTTTTGGATTTGAAAAGCATATCAACATGAGTTAAATAAAGCTATATTTCTTCAGATTACTATTTAAACAACCCAATAACTGCCTATGATTCTATATTTTCTAATGTTTTATATAATTTATCTGAAGTACCAATATGTAAGCCTATTTTATAAAAATGTCATTCTACTTATGTCAATTTCTTGAAGTAATTCAAGAAGATCATTAAGTTTATCTTGCATTTTGCTATGATCTTTCATGGCTTTTTTTACTTTTTCTAATTCTTTATTATCCTGATCTATCATTTTTTCTTTGTCTTTAATCATAATTTTAAAATAGTTAGAGTTATGTTTGAGTTCATCTGTTATGAATTTCTCTATATTTTCTATCCTATCATATTCAAACTACTTTTTTTCTTTACAATATTTCAATATCTTAAAAATGTTACTCTAACCGAATACCTATTATTAGAATGTCTTAATAAATTCCTAGTTTTCAGTATTTTAAAGTAGTTCTTCATCTGTTTATTAAATTATTTCTGTTAAAATATTGAAAGCCAAGGCTTAGTCCACCTTCTAATCTTATTTTTTAAGCCAATCCATAATTTATGGGAAGAACTATTCTAACCAATACTATCTATGATTACCTGAAGCTTTTTTCCCTACTATTGAATTCCCAAGAGTTAAATAAGCAAACCAAATTATGAAAAAATATTTCATATTTATTATTCTTTACCAAAATAACGTACATATAATTTATAAAGTGTAATTATCTATTGGAAAAAGAATATTATGGATAATTTAATTACTCATTTTTTTGTTAATAAATTTTGTTTATTCCTTAAACTGGTTGTCCAATCAATTTGAGTATTCTCCTTTCCTTTTTTTATTTTTTGTTAAGTGTTATTAATTTTTAAAACTTAATTGTAAACGGATTCACTGGAATGTCCACTTAATTCTTTAAAAATTCTATCTTTCAACGTGTCCTCTTATAATTACAATTAAGATTTCTATTGATTCTAATTTAATATATAAAATCGCTTCTGTTCTATATAATCAATAGAAGGTTGTTTTTTTCTTTATTTGGAATCCTGGGATTTATTTATAGTGTTTGAGTCATGTTAATCTAAAATGAAATTATTGTTACTTTTCTAACTATTGTATATCTTTATTGATTATGGCAATATTGATTAACTTTTCTAATGAATCAAAGGTGTTATTTCTATATTTTTGTGTTATTCAACATTCTAAATATGTTCATTACCTAATTTGATTAAATCCTATACATTTAACTTTTCACTAAGTTACTACTATTGTTAATTAATAATAATTGGCTATTCATTTAAACTTACATTATGACTATGTGCTTACTAGGGAATTAAAAATTACTAATCACAATTCTATATATTAGTATGATTCCAACTTTCTGGAGTATTGGAATTGCTTTCTCTTCTTGAATTCTGTATTGTAGAAATAGCATTAGATCCATTACTTTTATAGATTGGTAATTTAGATATAGGAGATGAAGGGTTTTAACTATTGTTATCTTTAATTGTGTTCGAGAATGTACTTTGATAGAAATCATCATTTTCTAAAATATCAAATACTTTCATATCAATAGAAGGATTATTAAAATTGATTGAATTACTTCGAGATTTTATTGATTATGTTGTATCATTCAACAAAATATTGTAACACATTTTATTCATAAATGTTAATATTTATGATTGTTCAAACTAATTTATTTTTACACATGATTCTAATTTCATTTCTGATAATAATTGTTAAATATTTCTTACTCTTTTTTCATATCTAAGCATTATGTCTTCAAAAGGCTTCATTTCCATCTTTTTAACTATATTTGCATGGTTCTTTTCAATATCAATTTAAAATTACTATAATTACTTTTCATAATTTGTCACTGCTTATTACCAATCCAATATATTCTATTCCAAACTTAAATGATCATGTTGAAATTTTTATATGTATGTTTATTTTAATTGTTAAGATGTTTCAATTACCTATTCAAAAAATTTTATGCAATTCGTTTTCTAATCTTCAAGCAATTATTTTTGACTTAATTATAATCCATTTAAATCTATTATTTTTATATTACAAGCTTATAATGCTTATTTCATTAATTCTTAAAATTAATTTATTCTCATTTATCTTTGCAATTCTAATTCTGCTCCTGCACTTTCTTCAATTTTATGGCCTTTTAATGCTAAATTCAAAGCACATTTTGAACAAAATAAGGTTCGCTTATCATTTTAGGCATAATATTTAGCCTAATATAATTAGTGTTATTTATTCTTACCTTTTTATTTGGATGCTTTAAACAATTCAAGTGCGAACTTGCTTTCTATTTAAAAATATTTGAATTCTTTAATATTCTATCTTATTCTTTAGCATTATAAGATGATTCTTCATCTGAACTTGACGAAATTGCTAAATTCATTAATTCTGTTAAAAAAAAATAAATTTATTAATATTATTATTTATAAAAAGAATTTATAATAAATGTTCTTTTATGTATATTTAATAACTTTTTCTTTTTTAGGAATCTAAATCTTCAACTTCTTGAATCCATAAAAACAAACTTAGTAAAATTTCTATAATAGTAATTATTATTTGAGGTCAAAATCTAAAACGACAAAAATCTTTTTGGTATTATAATATTATAATTATCCAAATTATTGAATGGGTGCTTGTAAAAGTATACAAACTTAATTAAGTGCTCCTGATAATTTTACACCAGAAAAATCAATACCTATCGATAATAATATAAAACCAAATACTGCTACTTAATCCGGTTTGAATACAACTCATTCAAATCATTCGATTAATATAATAAACGAAGAGATACCTTAATATTAGATTTTAAACAATTAATAACGTGATTAAGTAATCAGGCAAGCTGTAAGTGAAATTGTGGGTAATTAAGAATAATAATCAGAAAAAAAATCATTTATTAGATTAACAGATTAAGGTAAAGATGCAATGCCGAAAATTTCGGATTCTTCTTTTGGACAAATAAAAACAGAGCCAAATCAACATAAGACTGAATAACTATAAATAAGTCACGATTATCTTTAAAGCAAAAAGAATTTGGGCAAATAGGAAAAAAATAAAATACAATGACAAGCATATTTAAATAAATTTATAATAATATTCTTTCTTCTAGATATTCTATCTGGCTTTTAGTATTAATAAATCACTTATTATTCAGATCTTATGTCATAAATTATAAATAAATCATATTTGATCTTATTCTGGTTTAGTCAAATTAAATTTATCATAAATATATTGTGCTCTATATATGTGCTATTGCTTCTCCTCCTCTATTATAAAGAAAGAAATTTAATAATTTTAAGTTTGTTTTCTAATCTCTCTTTACTTATTATTTTATGATTATGAACAATTTTATACACACCATTATTTTACAAAATTTATTCTGCAATACCATCATGTAATAAAAAAATATTGATTGAATAATTGATCGAATTTAGGGGAAATATTTTATCTTTTGATAACAAATGAGCTTTATTACCAAGCAATTTTAATCAATTCTATATTTACAAAATCCATAATTATCTCATACATTAAATCACTACTAAATGGCAATTTTCTTTTTTTAACTCTGATTAGAGATTCTGCGAAGGTTAAAAATAATTTTGAGAATAAAAACCCTAAACCCTTATTAAAATTAATTAATTCTTAAACATTCTGCTTTAATACTAGACATTTTCTATAATTAACATAAATTTTTAAACCGAATTCTCAACACTTTAAAAGAAACAAAAAGTTTTTAATTACAAATTTTGAATCATGAAAAATTAATCCCAAAAATTCAATAGTTTGTTGTTTGATATCATTTATAGTGAAATTGGAAATCATCTCTAAAGCAATTTTTTGTTTAAGTTTTAAGATTTTTTCTTTTTCATAATTTTTCTTCTTCCAAGATTTTTTTTTCTCTTAATATATAAAAGTATAAGGCTTTGTAAGTAAATTAATTTCAAAATATTTTAAAATTTATCCTCTCTTGATATCTAAAAATATTTAAATAAAAATATTACTTTATAGTTAATTAAAAGAAGCCTTGAACCATTTTCTTTTTCATTTCTTTGCTAATTCTAGCTCACCTTCTTTTAGTACTTTTTCAATATTAAATGGATTTCAAATTAAACATCATAAGTCTATTTATGCTTATTGCTGGTTTTGTTCCTCTTTTTTTGGTCCCAAATCATCATCAATTCACATATGATTAGCTAATCCCATTCTTAAATATTCTTCATATTCAATTCTTTTACCATCAGTCTTCACATCTATTGTTTTTTATGAAACATCATTTTTAGAAACCCAAATCTCTTTAATAATCCTTTTGTTGTATCTCAACTGCTTATCTCTATTCTTTATTTGTATGATTGAGCATAAGTGGATAATGAATGCTGCTCATTTAACCTTTTCATTTTTTCTTCATCATCTATTCTATTGTTATTTTAATTTAAGAATATTATTTTGGTGTTCATTGATTTATATCCTACCTTTTCAAATGTTTTTTCGATTATTATAATAATAATTATTATTATACATTATTAATAATGAATTTTTTTCGTTGCAATTGCACCAATATTGAATAAGGATTAGATATTCCTAATAGTAATCTCTACATAGAACAAATCATCTTGCATTCTATGAATTAGGATAAAGTTATCTCCTTAACTATGGATTTAAATGTTATTTTAGAAGGATTCAAGTTAAACAGAAAGAAGGATTGTCTTTATTTGCAAGATCTTAGGGATTTCAAAGAAGATCTTCATTATACATTAACAAAATTAAATCGACAGTTCTAGTAATTTTTGATATTACAATATACTAGGATTCTTTTAAACAATTAAGATGACAGTAGTTAACAATTTTATTTAAATTTAAACTTATATGTGTATGAAGGCTGTTATAAATTATTATACTTACAATAAAAAGACTCATATTTTTAAAAGGATGATTATATCTATGGAGAATGGGAAATCATGGGTTCTACTTAAGAAATTCAAATAGAATTTATATGTAGTATTATAATCTATTATTAATTCTTAGAAGATAAAAATAACCAAGAATAACATAATCATTTATTAAGAGATTTAACTAATTGCACTTAGAATCAACTAGCAGAACATAATATAGAAGATGAAAATCCTAAGATAAAGTACTCAATAAGTAAAACGCCTAAACTTAAGAGAAAGCGCTGAATAATATTATTACATTTTCATAATTTTGATATAAAAATCAAATTTACTTAATGTAGGCTCTGCTAGTAACCAAACTTTATGTTGGCTTTAATGAGAGTGTTCTATCTGTTCTGGAAATAAAATCATAATGAGAGTATCTTCTTAGCTTCATGACGCAATTAGAAATTTATTAAGAATTCTGTTCTATCGATTAATATTTATCACTTCGTTTAGTTATTTATGGCTTTTCTTAAATTTTTATATTTGGTAATAGCAATTGCCTTAATTTTATTTGGTTATTTTATTTTAGTGGTTTTAAGTATGGAAGAGGTTCATCAGTTAAAGATGATCTCTGCAATTTAGTCCTCTTTTTAACAATGGGATTTGGTATTATTAATCCTTTTGGTTCAACTATTTCTAAAGGTTAAAAACAAAATATAGCACCAGTTTCAATTGTCTGTACAGCCTAATTTTTCATAGACAATAATAATTAATCATAATATTATATAAATTATAATAATAACAAGGCATAATATCATTATTGTTACATATTTATACAATAATATACACTGAGAACATTCAATATTTATTTGAAAATTTTCTATTCAATAATTTTTTCAATAATTTTATCTTAAGTTTATTTAAATTATAATTCTTTTTAAATTTTAAGCTTTGTCTGTTTTTCTGCTCCTTATTTTTACACATTTTATTTATAGTTAAGAATTTGATAACCAATAAGTATTTAAATAGAAAAAATTATTATAATTAAACCATATAATTAAAGTTTATAAAGCTGCTATAAGTATTAATCTAAAATCACATCATTTTCCTTATATTTCCATACTTAAATTAATTAATTTAAGTAATCTTCAAATGTAATATCAAACTAAATAAATAAATTTTTTACAAATTTCTTCTAATTAATGACAATTTTTTATTAATAGATCAATTCATTCAGCTTTCTGAAATATTTTAAAATATAGTTAATTTTTTTTATAACTCTTAAATTATCTTGTGTTATCAATATTCAATTTTTTTTCCTGTATGATTAGAGCTTTATCGAATTCGAGATAAGCAATTTAACTTTTTAAATGAAAATAATGAATACTTTTTATCTATCTTCATTTCTTACATCTTTGCTGTTTATTTGAACTAAAGTAGGAATTCTATATACAAGAAATGAAAACATAAGGAACAACTATTAATAGGGTTATTCTAAATGGTAATTTTTTAGATGTCTATTAAATGCTAATGTAGAATAGGTGTTCTTGGAAATTCTAACAATAGAATATCTTATTTAATTGAATAAATAGATTTGCCATCCAAAGTTGAAGATATTGGATTATTTTCTAAGGAGAGTTCAAGAAATTTTATACCTTAGATCTGATCAATAAGTTCTATTTAATTGATTTTCAAATTTAATTCGATTAATGAAGCTAAATTCTCCAAACCTTCGACTTTTTAGATCAAACTATTTCCTAAATTCAATATTTTTAAATTACTCAACTTATTTAAACCATCCAAATTAGTAATTTTATTGTTATGTAATTAATACTTCTAATATTTATAATTAATCTAAATTATGAATCTTTCTAATTTAATTTTTTTGGTAATAATAAAACTTTTAATTTTTAAACTTATTTTAACTCTTCTATTTCCTTAATTTAATTATCATATAAATCTAGGTATAATAAATTAGGTAAAGAAACTTAATTTTATATCACACCTATTCTATTGTGTTGAAATGTTAATATTTTTAATTTTTCTTCTCCTTCCAACAATGGTATCTGTGAAAATCAAAATAGTCTAAACTTAATTTTTTCGGACTTACTTATCTTTCTTCTATACCAGACCCAGATACCTGGAATCTATTACAATTCAGAAAATATTATATTTCCTTCATTCTATATTTTCTTGATTGTGCCATTTTTTATTAAATATTGATATCTAACTAATTTTATCAATTTATACCTTTCATCTTATTCAACTTAAAGGATTTCTTGAAATTCTAAAGAGTATCTAAACATATCATTTTTTATCTTTTTTTTTTAAATTTCTGGAAGTTAACTAGAAATAGCTCCCTAATTATTTTTGGAAACCTTATTAGTATTTTTTTTTTTGTGAATCCAGTGGAAAAAGTTTAAATACTATCTGTCTTACATTTTTATTTGGAGACATTGAGGATTTTGTCTTCATTAGGAAATTTTAATTGTTATCAAGGAGAAAATTATTGAAATTTAAAATTAATTATTTTGCATTGTAATTATGAAATACTAATTCATATGCATAGCGTATGTCTTTATTCATTTAATTTATAAATAATATTCACTAAATTCGATTGGAATAAAAAAATAAATAAATGGAATCTCAAAAAAAAAATATATAGTTTTGGTGTTTTGATTTGGTATAAAACCATAAAAATTAATATAATATATTGACTCAATAAGAAATGGTTATAAATATATTAGGATATTATTCATTTAAGATTATTATTGTTTATTAAAATATTTTTTATTAAAAGAAGAAGAATTAATTGTATTTTTGAATATCCATTAGAAATTAAGCAATTTAAATTTTTTAGAATAAATTATTATAACAAATTTATAATAATATAATAACTTAAATATCGGAATATAATTTACATTAATTAAAGCGATGCGTTCATCTAGATTGTTAGAAATAGAGAGAACATTAAGGTTGTAGAAACCTCTCATAAATTTTGATTCTAATGATAATTATTTTGAGATTTAAAATTTTTATTATCAAGATGAGTTTGAAATAAGACAGTTAAATTATTTAATGTTAAGATTAAGTAGAGAGGAAATAGAGATTTTAATAGAAATTTGCCAAAAATTGAAAAGGGTAATAAAAAATTAAGTTAGAACTTTGTATAAGTTATATATAGATCAAGATTTAATGTGATTATGGCATATCTTTATTATTTATTATATATTTTACTTCAGCAATGATAGATTGTAATGATTCAATCAGCAATTCGTCCATCTAAAAAATTAAGATTATATCTTACTAATGGAAAGATCTTAATAATGCAATTTGGATTGGCATCTCTAATCTGCGATTCTATAGAAGAATCTCTTTAGAGTAGAATTGCTGCATTAAAAACTTTATAATAACATTCTAAATATTTTTGTAAATAAAATTTAATTACACTAAAAGAACGATGAGTGTTTGTGTTTGGAGTTATTTTAAATCCAAAAATGTAATCCAAAATGAGTTTCATTAACTTCATATTCTCTATAGAAAAAGTCAAAATCAAAAGTAGAAGATTTATTTGAAATATTGTCTGTGGTAATTGAGCGATTTCTAACTCTTTTCAATATTTGCAAAAATTCTTATTCATTTAATTTAATCTTAGGGGAGTAGATTAATATCTTCAATTAAGTAATATCTTCAACTGCATCATCAGCAGGTATGAAATCGAAATTAAGAAAAGCTGATTCTGACAAACTTTTTTTTCTTTAGCTTTCTCTTATTTTAATTTGTCCAATTTAATCATATTTCTGTATTATATTTTATGGTTGTTAGTACTTTTAAATATTCTTCACATGTTTAAGCGTGCAAAGCTCCACTTCTTCTTCGTCTCTCTTGAATAGGTTGTTTTTATTATAATTACATATAATTAATTATTATACTAATTATAAAATAAAGAATGTGAGTGTATAAAGAAATTATATATAAAATTAAATATGTTTAAAAGAATAATAATTATTCATTATTATTCATCATCATTTATTTTAGGAGCTAAATACAATTTTAATGATCCCATATTGTCAATTTAGTATTCAATTACTAAAGGTTAATCTTATGACATAGATAAAATAACTTAAGTTGATAATGCTGATGCTTTATTAAATAGATTGAAATATCTAATTATATATATTATATATATACCTAACAGCAAAACTTAAATTTACTGGTTCATCAACATCACATTCAACTCTTTCTTCTCTTTTTTCTTCATCATTAGATTTTACTGAAACTTATCCTTCTCCTATATCACCTTTAACATAAAATTTAATTCCATCTTTTGAAGTCTCTATACCTATTGCTTCATTTATATTTCCTAACTCTCGACATATTTTTGTAAATTCACTAGATGGCATTTTTATTACTGATGAATAATCTGTATCTGGAACACCTAATTGTTCTTAATCTAAAGACATCAAATTTAATTGGAACTCACTTATTCGGTCTAATTTCATTTTTATTTATTTCATACTTTTTGATTCAAAAGTGAATGATAATGTTGTTGGTTCTTCTTCTTGAGTTCTTAAAGTGATTTAATCATCATTTCCTGAACACTTCAATATTTTTTATAAATTCTCAATGCTTAAACCCATTGTCAATGATTTCTCACATCTATATTTTTTAAATCCTTTCTCATTCAATTATAATGCTACTAATGCTACATGAGATGTATCCATGGCCTTATTAATTATTTAATCTAAATTATACTTATAATGAGATCCCTGTTCCATTTGCTTCAAGATTTACATTTTTTACTAATTCCTTTATTGCTTCTACAATCTTTTTAAATTAAACACCATCTTCAAACTTAGCTTCGAACATTATCTTTTTAATTATTTAAATCAATTATAGAGGGAAATATTAAAAATTCTGGATTTGCCGGGTAATTTAATTTCTAATTTCTTACTTATTTATAAGCTTATCTAATTAACTATTTTTTAGACTACCTTTTTATATTTTTATATTTCTAAAAATATACTATCTATATTTTTATATTGTAATAATACACAATTCCTAATACATCATTCATTTCAACTTTTCACTTTAATAATCTTTATAAACTTCAATAACTTTTTTTATTTTCATGTATGAAAGACCTTGATTGTTTTAGAGTACTAAAATCATTAACAATAATATGGGCTATAAAAACTGATAATTTTTAAATATTTTAATTGATAGCAATTAAAAATACTTAAAATCGAATCCAATTTTGTTAAATTGATTTCATGCAGAAATCATGATATAATGTTAATTTATAAGTTTTAAAGAAGATTCTACAAATTTAATTAGAAGGGTCAAATTATAGACAGATTAAAAATTCTAAATTATAAGGTTGGAAATAATTATTATTATAAATGTTAAAGTTTTTATAAAGAATCAATTTTCATGATTTTCAATCGAGGTGTTGGATTTGGATTTCTGGTAAAATTTATTTTTCTTTAATGAGAAAGAATCAAGAGATCCAGTTGAACTTGAATAATAGTTATTTTATTTTTTTTTTGGATCGGTACAGAAGTGAACTCTTTAACTACGTAAATAATCTAGTATAGATTTTATTTGAGGATTTGGTTTATGATATATTTCCAATTCTAGAGAATCGAAACTTGAGTTTAAAGAATCTTGCATAATTATTTGTAAATATTTTTATGTATGAATAATAAATCACAACCCCGATTAAACCAATTGAGTTCTAATATTTCTAAATTAATTATAAGCAATAATTATTACTAGAGCTCTTTCATTACTTCATCTTACACATCTGATGGACTTCTGCCTATTGGGACCACGACATTTCTTACATAGTAATACTTTCCACCTGTTTTTTAACAATGTTTAATCACAACTTTATCACCAACCTTACAAAAATTATCTTCGTCATGTGTTATGAATACAGAAGAATCAGAAAAATATGACTTATATTTTTTATGCCAATATTTGTAGCTTACTTTCACCTAATTACTTTTATCATATTTATTTACTTTGCATGTCTTGTTTCTACTATCTCTTGTTACAGTACCAAAAAATTCTTACCCAGATGGTAATAAATTCTTTATCGTTTTCTATACACTTATTCTTGTTGGATGTATTAAGGTCCAAACTGTTTGCATTGTTTGAAAATATATTATATTTATTTATATTTAATTTTTAAAATGTCTAATTATTCTTGCTAATTTTGCTACAAGAGAACAACTCTAGGATATATTAAAAACTATTTCCCTTCCGAAATCAATTTACATAAAATTATTAGGCACACTCTATATCATAAATATGCAACTTCTCAAAATTATTATTATACGAAAGACATAAATGAAATATTATCTAAAACTTCTAGTGCCAGAACTATTTTATATAATGTAAAATATTTAAATATATCACAAGGATTATTTATTTTATGATGAAGAAGATGAATATATTAAAAGATTTTATGAAATGCATGAATATCCTTCGAAATCAAAATTGCTTACAGAATTCTATAAATTTCATAAAGATTTACCAAGATGGGTTTTAAAACATCAAATATTAAAAATTCTTAATTATTTTTATGATAAACGAAGAAAAATTGAATTTTACAAAATTTAAAGATAAATTGAAATTGAAAATTAAATGAATCCAACTGATCCTCCTAAAGGAATAGTAGGTGATAAACCTTTACTAAGCGATTCTACACCTTAATCTGAAAACTCTGAACCCTAATCTAAAGTTAATGTTGATAACATCCTGAAAGAAATCAGTTTCTCTAATAAGAAACTTTAACCCTCTCAAGAAATTAGTCACATTTTATAAATTCCTGAATCACCTCCTATTGGTGAAATATAATAAATGATTAATTTACTTAATCTAAAATCTGAATCTCCAAATTAAAAATAATAATATCAATGGTTTAAAAAAAAGAAGCCCTAAAGTAAAAAATCTCTTAAATTGGATGAAATTGCATTATCCTTATCTGCTAGAACTCATTAAAATCCTTAAGAAGCTAAAATGCCTTTATCAGCCAGATATTAATAATCATATTCAAATAAATTAATTGATTAAAGTAATCTATCTTATCATATTTAGTTTAAACTAAACTTTACAATAAACATTCATAAACTATTTCAAGAGACAAAATCATGGATTTTAAATAAAATAAAGAATAATTCATGTAAGAAATATATTTTACCCTAATAGTAAAAAATTCAAATTAGAAGAAAGAAATAAAAAAAGCAATTCTCCAAAAAAAATTGATTAAAATAAAGCAATTTAAGAAATTAAATAACTTGAATTAAAAATAATAAAAAGTTTATAAGAAATGAAAAAAAATAAAATTAATAATCTATCAAATCATGAATCAAGATAGGCAACTTCTTTAAACCAAAACAATAATAATTAAATATTATCTTTGGATTAAAAAGCATTATATTAAATATTAAAGATACCTGATTCATTTAGATAATTAAATTCTAACAAAATTCCAAATAAAACCAATTCAAAAAAATCTCAAGAATAAAATTAACGTTAACAAAAAAACAATAATTCATCTTAACATTAGAAATAAGTATAAATATTGGATATGAAAAAATTGATATACAATAAAAAAGATATTGCCCCAAAAACTGAAAGAGTTAAAAAGACAATCCCTTCTCTAAACTTAAATCTTATTGGAGCTATAAACTAATCGACTTCAATGACAACAAGAAATAACAGCTTTACTCCAAGTTTAGCCTATGCATAATTATTAACACCAAAATAAAATTAAACAAATATATAGAATGAAAATAACATTAATAATTGGCAACTATCATATACTCATAATTTTGCAATTAGAGAAAACAATATATAAAAATGATTAAATATTTAGATATGTTTTAAAATTAGTTTATAGAATTGCAATTTAAAAAAAAATGATTTAAAATCAATTAAAATATTTGCTATTATTTTCCTTTTCATCAATAGAAATTGAATGATCTAAAATTAATAAATATATACATTATCGATTAGTATGTTTTTGTAATTTACTATTGTGATTTTATTTTTTTTCACTATTTGCAAAATTATAATTGCTTTATCTTGAGTTGCATGCAAAACTAATAGGTTGTGTCTAGCTTTTTTAATAGGAAAATAAATCTGTTTGCATTTAACCATATTATGTAGTAAAGTTATTAATAAATTCTTCGTCATCTAAGATTCTGTGAAGTATTTATTCTTATAATGGACTTGGTTTAAGGAGAGTATTATTTTCTAAAATTTCTTAATTCTCTGTAAAACTAGTATTTGGATATGGTAATTAAACTTTGATAGGTTTTTGTATTAACTTTGGTTTTTTAACAGAATAGGGTAAATTGAAACGATTAGATTTTTATTTAAGGATTTACTTCTTATTAGTAGAAATTGTAGAATTATCTGTATGAAAGGAATCATATCCATTGAAAGAATCATCTAGAGGATAATTTTATTTAACTCTAGAAGAAGAGAACTTAGATTCAAATGATTCAATCTTTATGTTGGCTTTTTATAATTTTTATTTCAGATTTGCAACATAGTTATCTATTTTTAATATATATTGATTATCCTATCATATTAATTTGTTTTAATACTCTTTATTATATTCTTCTTAATTCTTGCAATTAATCAGCTACTAACTTAAATTCTTAATCTCTCTCAACTAATAATATTTTTAATTTTGCTATTTCGATTCTCTATGAAGCTTCTCTTTATTGTAATCTATGAATAATCTTAAATTAATAAAATTTTATTACCTCTTTTAATTATTAAGTACTCTCCTTTTACTAGCTGTTATTTTTCATTAAATTGTAATTTTATTAAAAATATTTTATAAAATCATTTTTTCTTTTTTTTGGATTTCAAAACATTAACATGTCTTGATTTTGGTGATTATGTATTATAATTGATTTCCATTTCACTCTCAATTTCAGGATCTAAAACCTAAATATTATAAATAAAATTCTTACTAAACCAACTGGAACATTGGCAAACATAGATTTATTGTTACCAAAACAATAATAATAAAATATTATATTAGTCATTAAAATCGTAGAGAGAACTTTATTATCTAAAATAAAATCTAATATTTAAACAAGTACAGTTCCTAATGGTACTAATATATTCTAAATATAAATAAATAGAATATACATTTAAAAATGCATCTAAAAATAACTCTAATGAAGATGGATCTAAACCATTAGAAATTTCATTATATACATTATTTCCAATATCGAAATTATTGATTAATTTTTAAAAAGGACTTAAATATTGATTCATCAATGTATTTACATTATCATTTCCCTTTCCTTTTTATTTATGAGCATATCGAGCTGCTTTTTATTTTAAAGCTTTTATAAATTCAATTTAATTTATAAAAGTTGCTTCAATCTAATCTTTAGATAATAATGCACTTTCTAAATCATTTAAGATATCTTCTATCTTTCCTTAATATAAAATGATTGCACTAATAGATGCTCCTTTACCTTTAAAAATAAGATCAAAATGCAATTTATTATCATTCATTTAAAAAATAGTCTTGTGATTTGTAGTTATATTTTTACCATCAAATTCAAATTCAAAAGTAAAATATAAAGGAATATTGATTCCACCTGCTTCTTTATAAATATCAAATTGTTCCTTAATTAATTCATCTTCTAAATAAATATCAAAAAAGCGTGCTGATCGTTATTCTTACTATATTATTATAAAATATGTTTATACTTCAATGAAACATAAAATTAAAGTATAATTACCATTAAGTCTCATCGTAATTGAATACTTGAAAAAATCTTAATCATTAGATACTGATCTTGATGTTTAGAATACATAATAATCCAAATATTAAAGTGGTATCAAATGATGATTTTAATCTGAAATTACCTTTTAATAGAACATCAATTGTTAGCCACCTTTATAATTTTGATCATAACGATATAATATTTTTTATCTATCCTTATAATAATATTGATTGCCTGCATCAACTGCGTATTTAATTTTATTAGCATCTAAATATGAATTTACTTATATAAAAAGCAAAAATAATAACATTATTTACATATTAATTCATTTAAAATATATCGTAAATTATTAATAACAATTTTAAACCCCCTGTACTTAATTGTAAAATATTTAAATCAAGAGTTAAACTAATGTGCCAATATCATATTTAAGATCTATATTAATTGTCAAAATTTATTATTAGATTTGCAACAACAATTTTTTGATGGAAAATAATTATTAATATAAAATTGTATGATAAATTAAATGGAATCGAAATCAATGACAATCAGTACTAAAATATAATAGTCAAATTATTCTGCATTATCTAATCTACCTAGACATATTATTAATTAAATAAAAAGTGAAGGTATTATTAAAATCTAATATAAGGTGAATTATATATTACTGCATCTCATAAATGTTCAAGAATTTGGACAGAAATGAGAAAAAATGATTTTGTAAATGATGCTCAATTAAACTTTACAATTGTATAAAGAATTTTTGAAGCTTGTAGAAGTGAAATTGTATAATTGTTGAAACTCTAAAATGAGAAGGATTTCTTTGAACTGTTTGATTAAGATAATGATGGGTATAAATTAAATGATTTTTATAAGAATTTTGAATGAAGATGAACAAATTTTGATATTTTCTGTTATAAAAGAAAAAATGCATTAAGTAGCAACTGCCTTATTGAAAATTTAAGAATATATATTATTCAAATAACTAATGAAAGAATTGAGAACACTAGAATCAAATATAGCAGATTATTAGAATTAATTGAGATAACGTATATCAATTAAAGAAAGGAAAATGTATAAAGAAATAGGATAAGAAAAACTGGATGATTTTTATGATAAATACTATTAAGAATTTCATTAATTAACTAAATATAAAGTAGATAGAAGGTAAATTGATATAATTAATTAAGAGCGTAATTAAAAATATCTTAAGAAAAAGAATTAGGAATTTTAGAAGATAGACTATCTAAAGATACAGAGTTGATGAAAGTTAAACCTAAAAAAAAGTTGAAAGATTTATAAACATAAGAAAAGTTGGTTAGTTTAGAGGAAAGAGTTGAAGAAGCATTAGATTTTAGAAAAGAATTAAAAGATCTAGAAAAACATGAATAAGATAGAGTTTATAAAGTTTAGAAATATCGAATTGAAAAATAACATAGTGATTTGTTATTTAAATAATAAAAAGAAAGAGAATAATTAGAAGGAAAACTATAAGAAACTGAATATAAATTAATCATTCAAATGAAGAAAGATTATGATGTTCTTTTAAAATAAATTAATCTTCATAATAATGAAATTACAAGAATATAAAATTTAGCTACCAATTAAGCTATGAAAAAAGGATTATACGAAGGAGAAGCTAAAAGATAGAAAGTTTAATCATAATTATAAAATTCCATTATTGCTTAAACTAAAGCCATAATTTAACCTGAATCCAAAATAAATGATATAGATCAATTTCATGAATCTGAAACTCTTAGAAAATTAGAATCTCGGAAAAGTCTCCAATTTGTTGGTTCTCCTGGTAAAGTAAATAACATCTAATATCTAAGCCTATATTTTCAGAAGAGAGTGAAAAAAGTCCTATGGGTGTAGCATTTAATGGAAAAACTAAGAACTTTTATCAAATCAGAAAAATTATTAAAGATTCTAAAAATATTACATAATTTTATATCAAGAAGAATTATGGTGCTGTAATCTATTCATTTATTTACATAGGATTTACCAATTAATTTTGTTAGAAGTGCACATAATATTTAAGGTGATTAACATGAAAAAATTGAAAAATTCTTATCTATTAAACGAAAGTCTTAACATGAACTATTGCCTCCAATCACTTAATTATATGATGATGATTTAAAAGAAAAAGTAATATATTTCAAAATTTTTATAGTAAATCAAAGCTATAACTTAAACTGATTAAGAAATAAAAAGAGAAAAAGCACTAAAGAGAGCATTTATTAATGAAAAATTATTTAGAAATGATTGAATAGTATAATTTTATTTTTTATCAAAACTCTTTTTAATTTCTGTTATTTTGCAGATTTTCCCTTATTTTTATAGTTATGGAATTATTTTCACTAAAATTTTAGTCATTTTCAAAAATAATATTAATCTACAATTACTTATATACAATTTAAATTCTATCAGTATATCATTTATTATACCTTAACTTTTCTATTTCTAAAAATTATCACTTATTTTTAATTTTAATAATATATTATTAATAAAAATATATTTTTTTTAGGTTGCTTACAACAATTTGTATTTTGAAGAAATATTTAAATTTTTAGATTGAAATTTAGATCTAAGATATAATTATTGATTTGAAAAAGAGATTGAAATTTTCATAATAAACTTTATCTAGATTTTTTAAGATGATTAAAGATAAAAAAAACATTTTATACATTTTTGCTAGATTTATTATGATAAAATAGTATTGAGATTTGAAAATTAATTGTATATCTCTAGAATAATTTTTTATACTTTTTCAGTATTTTTACATAGCCTTAGTTAAAAATCTATTCAGAGTAATATCAATTGATTGTGTATATAATTTAAGCTTTGTTATTTGAAATGTGATTAAGTTAAGTTTTACAATAATATCAATAAAATGAATAACAAAAATTAAAAATAAAATAAATTGATTGATTAATTCCATTTAATGTATTAAATATACATTGTACTTAATTCATATAATAATTAAAAATTTAAAAAAAAGAGTAATTTGTCTAGATCAAACAAATTGAACAATAAAGAAAGGTGGAGATAAGAAAGGAATTTATGAAATTTGTAATAATTTTAGACTTAGAGATAATAATTTAAATGTGTTATTAATTTATTGATTATTAGATCAATAAATATAAGTTGTAAGTTCAACATTAAAAAATTGAGTTTGTTTGTTGAAGAAACAGAAATAGTTTTAAATTGTATTAATTTAGAGAGTATATGAGAATGATTGAATAATGATATATATAATGATAGACTTAGAGATAAGAATAACTCTATATTAAAAATATCATATATTTATTAATTGTCTTAATCATAGTTAATAATGGGTTGTTGTTCATTCAAATTGTATACTGATGAGAAAGGTATAATTAAAAGTAAAATAAGCAATAATGAATCATGAAAATGATAAAGATGAAGTTTAGGAAGGACTGGAATTTGTAAATGAATAGCGTAAAGGAAATTCTAAAATAATAATTGAATAAAAAGAAACAAATTTTATAAAATCTAATTCATCATAAAAAGAATAGGGAAATTCAAGAGATTTTGAATAATAGTAGTAATTTTAAGTAAAAGATAAAGAAGGAGATACAGTAGAATTTGTTAAAAAAACTATTAGTGGAACTATGAAATTGACTCCTGAGATGTTGGTGAGAAAGCAATGTATAAGTGAAAAGTTTTTAGCTCATTACGAAATAGTCAAAAAATTAGGTTAAGGAGGATTTGGAGAAGTATATTTAGTAAAACACTTGTAAACAGAGAATTTAAGGGCTGCAAAAGTAGTTTTAAGAAAAACAATAAATTGTGAAGAGAAATTATTAGAAGAGACAGAAATTTTAAAGACATTAGATCATCCTAATATAGTAAAGGTATTAGAAATATTTGCTGATTTTAAATATTATTATATAGTAACTGAATATTGTTAAGGTGGTGAATTATTGGAAAGAATAAAAACAATAACAAATTACAATGAGAATTTGGCTGGAAAATATATGAAATAAATATTTTCAGCAATTTAATATTGTCATTAGAAGAATATAGTACATAGAGATTTGAAAGTATGAATATATAGAATATATATATATAGCCTGAAAATATTTTATTTGATTCAAGAGATAAAGATGGAAATTTAAAGGTAATAGATTTTGGAGCAAGTGAAAAGATGATAGATTAATCATTTTTAACAAAAAAAATAGGAACTCCATATTATGTAGCACCAGAAGTATTATCAGATAAAGGATATGATGAAAAAGTAGATGTATGGTCATGTGGAGTTATATTATATATTCTCTTAATAGGAAAACCACCATTTAAAGGAGTAAATGATATAGAAACATTAAGATTAGCAAGATAAGGAAAATTAAATACTAATAGTGAAAGATGGTTAAGAACAAATGAATAAGCAAAAGATTTAATTGTAAAAATGATAGTTGTTGATCCTAAAAAAAGAATAAGTATGTAAGAAGCATTCAATCATATTTGGATTTAGAATATTTAATAATAAAATGAAATTGAAGACATCAATTTAATTAAAAATTTAAGTTAATTTTCAGCTTAAAATAAATTGAGAGCTGCTATTATTTAATTTATATCTGTATAATTGGTTAAAAAAGAAGAAAGTTAAAAGTTATTTTAAACATTTAAATCATTAGATTAAAATGGAGATGGAGTTTTAACAAAAGATGAATTATTAAAAGGAATGATAAGTGCAGATATTGATCATTTAAAAGCAGAAACTATGGCAAATGGTATAATGGAATAATTGGATGTAAATGAATCTGGAAAAGTTGATTTTACAGAATTTATATCTGCAGCATTACTTTAATAATAAAAAATAACAATTAATAATATTAAATAAGCATTTAGAATGTTTGATTTAGATGGAAATGGTTTAATAAGTAAATCAGAATTAGAAAGTATTTTTGGAGGAATTGAAATTGATACTTAAGCTTGGGAAGATATTCTATTAAAATGTGATCTTAATTAAGATGGATTTATACAAGAAGACGAATTTTTAAGACTTTTAGAAAACATTTCATTATGAATTAATTCATTATTCTTATAATATTTTCTACATTAGTATAAATCAAACTTTTAATAATATTAAATAAATTTTATAATGTATAGAAATTTAGGTCAATCATATTAAGCTATGAATATAATTCATGAAGAAAATGGTAATTAATTATGGTTAGGTGATTATACTGCAGCTTAAGATAAACTCACTCTTGATAAAAAAGGAATTAGAACAGTTTTAACAGTTGCATGTTAATTAAATATCAAATATAATGATTTAAATATTAATCATAAAGTATTAATCTATAAATATATATTAGACATATTCAATCCTTGATTCAGAATAAGCTAACGTTGCTTAATTTTTTGATGACTCTTTTTATTTAATTAAGAATGGATTAAAATCCGGATCTGTTCTTGTTCATTGTGCAGCTGGAGTTTCTAGATCAGCATCCATTGTTATAGCTTATCTAATGAGAAATAAAGGATGGACATATTCTGATACCTTTTCATATGTTAAAAGCAAAAGATTCGTTATTTGTCCAAATAGTGGATTTTAACGATAATTGAAAAACTTTGAAAAAATATTAAACCAATCTAAAGTTAATTTTTAAATATCTAACTAAGAAGACTAATAAAATAATTAACTTCTTATTTCATAATCATAGTCTGATACTCAAACTGATACAAAAAAACCAGAATCCCCTATTAAACAAGGTAATGAAAAAAAATCTGATACACTTGTTCAAAATGAGTTTAGATCAACTATCAGAAATAATGAATAATTTGGAAATAAAAATGATTAAAAATTAGATACCAAATCAAATTTCAAAGTATAAAATAATTATAGAAATTGTATTCTCACATCTAAATTTAATAATACAAGAACTAATATGCAATAAAATAAACTCAATTTGTAAACAATGTAAACCACTTATAATTCATCTTATGCTGGCCCTTAAATTGTTACACATGCTTAAAATAAATTATTTGAAAAATAACCTTTATCTATTTTACCTGGCATTTCTGCTAAATCTAATTTGATTAATTATACTTTGAATAATAGAAGAAAGTTATGAAATTTTTATAATTTGTGTTTAGTTATTCTATTCTAACTGATATTGATATTTTTATTTAACATTTTTTATTTATAAAATTTGAATAATTTTATGAGAAGTTCAAGTTCTAACTATTCATTATAAAGAGATTTCTAAAAACTAGAATCCAGATTAGAAAGTATTGATTTAAGAAATAGAAGTGGAATTAGAGATAAAAAACAAGATATTGGATATTCAAGAATTGATAATAAAGAAAATTATGCAATTTAAACAGCAAAGAATTAATTATTTTCATATGGAGCTAAATATTAACATAAACTTTAAATGTAAAAATCAAAAGTAGATATTCCTGTTGTTGAGGTCAAAAGAGTGGATGATAAAAAAAAGTTGAGTATAATTTTCAAATTTTATGCATCCTTTGGTGATAGAACTAATATTGATTATATTCGATCAAATAAAATACATAAATTAATGTCAGATTCTCAAATAAAACTTTAGAGATAGGATTAGTAATAAATTGATTTACTTTTTGTGAAAGCAAATAGAAATAAACCTAACATGGATTTTGAGAACTTTTATTACTTTTTAGAATTACTCTCTGAAAATTTATATGGAGAAAACTCTTTTTAGTTTTTGATGGATAATCACTTGACTCCATTATTTGAAAATATAATATCATCTACTGATTTAGGAGATGAAGAAACTAAACTATCTGAAGAAATTGATACTATTTGTGTAAAATTAATGTAGGTTGTTATTTAACCAATCACAGTTATTTATAATAAATATTTCCCTCCTCAATTTAAGAACTTTAATTTGAAAGATTAATAAGAAGAATTAATGATAAAACAATAGATTAGATCTTCTTTATTTTTATTTTTAAAAGAATTTGAAATATGCCCTTAATTTATAACTAAAGGATCTGCATATTTACTTTTAGATTATATTTAGGCTGATCAAGACTTACCATAAATTTGTTAATAATAAAAAAAGTAAAAATCAAAATTTGATGTTAATTAATTTTGTTGTTATATAATTAAATTAGCGATGATGACTCTTTAAAGCTTTGATGATTCTACTTAAGAACAACAAATTATAACACCATTATAAAAATTAGCCTTTTTATTTGAAAGAATGGAATTGAGTCAAGGTTTTAATAATTTAGAAATACCATCAAATAATTCGAAAATGAATTGGAAATTGAAAGTACCTGAAGAACTTATAGAATTAATAATTAGTGATCCTAATGCAATTCAATATTTAAATTCATCAACTTAGAGAATGAAAATTAATTAATTGAAAAACGAAGAATTTTATGAAGAATAAGTTAAAAGAGTTAATACAATACCTACAAACAGAATTCGACAATCAATTTAAATTAATAAATAATTTGAAGAATAATCTCAATAGTTATTCTAAGAAAATTATACATAATTATTTAATATATATAGGCAATATTCAGGAATAAGTTAATAAACAGGGCAAGATAATGAATTAGTTGGTAGCAAATGGATGAAATTCTTAAAAGATGCAAATTTAGTAAATATTAATCTTGTTGAGAAAAATAGCAAATTTGCATACTAAATACCTCATAATGAAATTGATTTAATATTTGCAAAAGCATGTACAGCTTATCAAAATAATAGAGCATCAGTTCCGATTAAATAAAAGAAATAAACAATGAATTTTATTTAATTTTTAAAAGGGATCTAATTATTGACGAATGATATAAATGTGTTAAAAACAATTTTGAATCATCATATATTGCATTTAATGGGTTAAGGATCAGAAAATAAAATTAAAGATCTTCTCTCATAATTAATGAATTTATTGAAAGATAAGGAAATTGTTGAATTTCTTGGATTGTTACACAAATCTATTCTCGTATATTATAAACATTACACAATAAGTAAATAAGTTATGAATTTCGAACAATTCTTAAGATTTTATAAAGTAAATATAATTATAAATAATATTAGGATTTTTCTATTTTCCCTGATTTATTGACCAAAAATAAAATAGTTTAAATATTTTAGATATTGTCAAAATTATATGAGAATCAAGAAAATTCAAATCTAAAAAGTGGACTTATAGATTAACATATGTTTGTTGAATCTCTTGCACTCTCAGCCTTAGAAATCTCATATAATGATGATGAAAATTTAAGTTAGTTAGAAAAGGTAAATATTAAAGAAATTATAGATTTATTATTTGATTGAGAGATTAAATTAATCAGATGGTCCTAGAATCGTTCAAAAGTAATTAGGACATACTACGTAAGATTTATAATTAATTATACATAGTTGTCCTTCTGGTCAAGATTGGGACTTATTGTATCATATAAAAAAGAAATTTTCTTGGTTAATTTAATAACAAGAGTAAGTTTCTTACTAATAATGACTTCATATTATTATTTTTATATTTTTTAAGACAAAGTTTAACTATAAAAAATGCAATCCTAACTATAAATTATAAGTAAAAGTTCTCAAGAAATTTTTGAAAAAAGCATATGCATAATTAAACTTTTTGAGTAGATAATACTTTCTATAAAAACTCCTTTTGAAAAAGATATACTTAAAAAGAAAAGAGATGATGAATTAACTTATGTATAAATATTACAAATAAAAAAAATTCGGTTAAAAATTAATTCGAGTAGTTAATTTCCAACTTTTATCTCAATTGTTAAGGATATAATATCAAGCGGATTTTTAGATTTAGATTTATCAAATAATTTATTAAAGTATGCATTTCTATTATTTTATATAAGGAAATTCATTAGTCTCAATATATACTAAATTTAAATAATAATTCAATCCATCTAATACTAATCAATTTTTATTTACTAAATTTAGAAAATGTAATATATTCTTATAATTAGATAAGTATAATTGTTAAATTGATAATTTAAAGTAATAACCATCAAGTTAATTAAAAAAAAAGAAAATTTAACTTTAGTAAAATTGATGTAATAAAATGAACAATTCTCTAATTGATAATAATAATAATCAACTTAAAAAATCTCTAGCAATAATAATCCAAGATATTAGAAATGAAGAATTCATACTATTGCACTGAAGTATTACAGGAAAGATTAAGAATAGCTATTTTGTTAACATAATCATAATGAAAATAAAATATGGAAAGAAATATTAGTCTAGTATTGGTATAAAATATTTGATAGAAAGTAACTTATACATCTATAATTTCAGTGTTAAATAAAACAAAAATAATATATTTAAAAACATTAGATACTATTGAATATTTTATAGATTAGAATCAAGAATTTATTTAAAAATACAAATAAAACTGCATTTCAATGTGATATAAGTAATCCTGAATTTAGAAATTAAAAGAATTAGTTATCTTTGAAGTTGAAATATTATCTTTTAATTAATTGGGAGGAAACTATAAATTAAAATGAATAATTTTATTAAAATATATTGAAGATACTTGATGGATGTTAAGCATAAAAGGATTAAAGATTTAAAATAATAAAGGATCTAACAGAATTTTATTATATTAATATGAGTTTCTTTAAAACAATTCAGTATCTTAAACTTAATTCTTCTGAATTGTTGAAAAAAAAATGGATAGTATTAAGAGTAAAAAGTAGATAATATAGAATCAGCAGATATTACATATAGAATTTTGTTTAATATTTGTATATTAAAAATATAGAAAATTGATGGTTGAAAACAATAGAATTATTAAAAGATAGTGAAAATAACTATAAATTGAATTAAGATAATGTAATTATTTTTTAGAAGGATAAATCAATAAACAAAATAAGATTGAATTTCGATATAAAAATGTAAATTAAAGAATGAGAAGAGTTTATAATTAAGTTTAATATAATTTTAGAGAGATGGGAGAGAGTTTTGGAAAAGATTCAGGAATAATAATTTATTTGATTTAAGATAATTTATGATAAAAATAAAAAATAAAAAGAAGATAGTTATATTTAAATTGTTTATTTTATTTTATTTTTTTGTACATAATTCAATAATAATAACTCATTTTTGAGTTTCATCTTTAATCAATGAAAGACCATCGTCAATATAAGTTTGAAGTTCTTAACTGTCTTCAAACATATTCAAAATATCACCAATTTCAAATTGTGATGGATCAATGAGCATACCTAAATAATAGAATGTTAGATTTTACCAACAACTTTTTTGGTTGACTCTTTATCTTTAACAACATCGAAGACTTTTTGGAATAATAGATTACCAAGAACATTTCTTTAATCAACAACAGGAATCTTCAAAAATTCTTCCATTCTACTTTATACTAAAGTATAATCAGAGAATTCTTATGTATAACTCTAAGTTTAGACTACTTTAGGTGGTGGTTAAATAATTTATTTATTGATTGGAATAGGTCTTGCTACTTAATTTCTGATGTTTGGAAAAGGACCTCTACCTCCTCTTATAGGCATTTGTCTCATTCCTTATCCAGGTGGAAATGGCATTTATGGAGGCATCATAGGTAATGGTCCACCAAAGGGTGGTTATAATAATTATCTACCTCCTGGATTTTAGAAAATGCTTTAACTCTATTTTTTAACTTCTTTGAATTCTTTTCTCATAGTTTTAGATAATAAGATATTCATCATTACATGACCATCTTTAAAGATTTCCTTCTTTTTTTTAGAAATTTCTTCATTATTTTCATCATAGATTTCTGATCTTGCTCTCTTTGAATCTTCTAATGTTTAATAATGAACAAAACATTATTAAACCTAAAACTTAGGATTTTTGGTTTTTCTAATTGTCAATCGAATAACCTTTCCAAATCTTGATAAGAATTCTTAAATAACATCTTTACTAACATCATCTTTAATATTTTAAACAAGAATCAATCTATCATCTGGATTCAGATGTTTACTATATACCATATTATAAAAGAAGTTTTCACTTTCACCTTTAAATGTATCATTATGATCCTAAGCCATTTCTTTAAATGCTTAAGTAATTTCAGCAATAGTAAAAGCTTCACTTGCATCACTATTAACAGGTGGTCCATGTTTAATTATTAATTCCAATGCATGATGTGCACCTGAATTTATACATGGATGTTTTCTTTATTATTCACAAATATCTAAATTATATTTAGCTTATTCTGATGTTTCAAATGATATCATTGTCCAAGGTTATCTTGTATGTTAATCAATCTTAACAAAACAATCTTTAACTTAATCACCTTATCTGGATAAATAATCTTTTATTATTAAAGACCAAGCATATTCTATAGCTCTGACTACCTTATCTTATTCCCAATATTTCTATGGAAGAGGCTTAGCAAAAGCTCTTAAATAGATTGAACTTGATTCAACTTTTCTTTCTGATTATGCTTTGAATTATTCTAACTTTAATAATTTCCCTTTATGAGTTATTGGATGATTTGCTATTCTCTTTATTAAGTTGTCAGCATCTTCTTTCTTCTCAAATTGAACATATCCATAACTAAAATATTATTAATTATATTATTTACTTTAATTGCTTTCCTTAAACATCTCTGTGAATATCAACCGATAACACAGTACCAAATCTAGAAAATTCTTACTCTAATTCCAAAATATCTGCATCTTCTGGGAGATTGTTAATGAAGATGTTGGCTTTTTTATCAGCAATATGATAATTGAAGTATGGTTTCACTCTTATGATATTTCTAATGAACACTTAATTATTAAATTTCTTTCTTGCTTCTTCCGCAGAGTCTGGATGAGCAAAAGTTATGAAGGCTTGTCCTTTTGATTTCTATGTAGTCTTGTCTTTTGTAATCTTTAAGCTTTGGATTTCACCTACTTCCTTAAATTTACGATAGAGATAATCCTCTGATATTCCCTAATAATTTTACTAAATACATTCATACCTGGTCTAAATTTTCTATGAAAATTATGGTCTTCATTTACTATGGGGTAGCTTGTGGGGGTAATTATTGAATTTCTTTTTATTGCATATTTTTGATTTTTAAATAAAAATTTTAATCTAAAGATTTAAATTAAGTTTGTAATTTAATTAAAATTATACTATATTATACTTTTAATCAAATATACCTAATTTATTTATCACTCTTCTTCCCTGTTTATCTTTATTCCTCATCAATAATCATTCAATTACTTCTCTAAACAATCAAACAATCAATCAACTTCTAAATTAACTTTATTTTATATCATATTATTTTGTTAATTATGTTATTTATTCAAATTTTATACCTTTTTTATATTACTCTCACTAACTTATTTTACATCAATTAATATCTCATCATAAGAGTTGTTTTTTTATTATAAATAAGAATAGATCAAATTTATAAAATTAATAAATAATATATATATCTATATATTTTTAAATTTAATATTGACTATATAAAATGAAGATCTTTAAAAATAGTTTAAAAACTATAAAAAATGAATTTAAAGAATTAGAGTCATAAATAGATACATTATGACATTTTCATATTATGTAAAAATAAAAAATAATTATGGTTATAAAAGTTTAGAAATAATTCTTTTATAAAATTGTGATAATTTATTCTCTATCTTGTAACATATTATTAAATGAGGGGAGAGATTTATTGAACTTCTATTGAAAGAAGAAAATGTAAGGATCAAAATAAAATGGTTACAATAGAGTGATAGTTGAATAGAAAATAGTAATTTTGTATTAATATGGAAAGAAAATTAAGTATATTTATTTTTAGTATATAAAATGAAAGCTTTAATAGTAGCTACTTTGTTGAAAATCGTGATTTGTGGTAAGTTTATCTATTACTGAGAGTAGAATGGGAAGTTTACAAGCATGAATTATATGACGTTGTATCAAGTGTTGATTGGATAGGTTTAAATTCTGATTCAACTCTGAGTTCTTTAACAACAATAGATTCAAATCTGTGTTCATCAGTTTCAACAGTATATTTGTCAGGTGGGAAGGATTAGATATGGAGAAGAATATAAATGCCAACAACAAGGAAGTTTTCAGCAATTAGGATTGAATTAGACTTATATTACATAGATATTTGGGATAGCACTAGAACAATAATATATTTGAATAATGAGATAATTTATAATAAAGAAATGAAATCTAAAGGATCTCCTATAGATGTTGTTTATTGTTAAATTTCAGGAGGAAATACAGCTAATGATTATTTAGATAAATTATCTTACAGTACAGAATTTACTTCGAATCAAATAAATATAGAAATTGTTAAATTAGGATTACCAATAACTAGAATATTTGCATTATCTAATTTTTATTTATATGTTTAATTTTGTGACAAATATTGTGAAGTATGTGATTTCAATGGTAATTGTTTGAAATGTGAAAATGATATGAAATTTAAAGATGGAGTCTGTTAATTAGAAAGTTATACAAAATTAAGGTATTATAATCCTGATTTAGAATGGGTAGACAAATGTCCATCTGGATATGTTCCTAATTTAGAGGGTTTATGTTAGCCAGGATTATAAACAGTAATATTTGAAGATTTGTAGAGCAATTTTGCATCTTATTTGTTTTAATTAAATAAGGATAAATATTATTCTAATAAAAATGATAATAGTTATAGAATAATAGAAATAGAAGGATAGAAGTTAGCAGGTCCATTTATGTTTAATGAAAAACTTTTATATTCTCCTTTATCTCTGGTGTCAAATTCATTAATTTTGGTAAGATTTCGATTATATTATTTACATCATAATTAATCTTAATAAGTAGGAGGGAGAATATATTTAAAATTTAATGATTTTAAAGTATTAGAAATAAGAGATTATGATTAAGTTTAGCTGACATCTAATGTAGGTTTAGGAATAGTTAATAATGATATTAAATGTTATTTAGAAAACTTTTATCGTTGCTAATTTGCAGATGTGTAATTTCTAATGAATTTAGATTATCAAATTAACACTTTATCGTTTGATGGTAAATTCACAATAATAAAACCTTATAGAGCTTGGGGAATCACAGATTTTTAGATACTTAAATTAACATAATCAAGTAATGTGAATGAATGTTAAGGATAATGTTTGACTTGCAAATTGAAGAATAAGAAATCATGTTTATCTTGTTAAATAGGATTCTATTTATTTGATGATAAATGTATGACTTAATGTCCACTTCAAACAACTTAAGTAGGAAGTATATGTTAAGAAAATGGAATGAGCAATACTTTTAAATATATTTTTAAGTCATTTTATGATAATAACAATTATTAGAATGAGATGGAAAAGATAGAGAAAACATAGGCTAAAATAGAATATAGCAAATTTATTTATGGTATGAATGAATATTCTATATTGGGTGGGTTATCATTATATTCAGGATACTAATTAAGTTATACTATTGTATCACCATTCAGTTTTTATAAAGCATATATAAAAATGAATGTAGTTGCGATTGATTATAAATCAAATGATAAATTTAAAATAACAATAGATTTTGGATCAATAACAACTCTTTATAAAGTAGGAGAGATTGGTCCAAATAGATTTCAATTTGTTTCTGTGGGCAATTAAATGGGATTAGGGAATATTAATGATGAAGAATATCATGCCGATGTATTTATAGAGAGTGATCCTATTCCAATTTCAACTAATTCAATAACTATTATTTTTCAGAGAGAAAATTATGTAGGATTAAACGAATATTATGGTATTTATAATTTTAGAATAATGGTTGAATCTTGTCCATAATTTTGTGATAGTTGTGATAATAGTGGTAGTTGTTTATCTTGGAAGATGGATATAAGTTTATCTTCTGGAAGTTGTGCAAATGGTTATTATTATAATTAAAAAGATGAAACCTGTAATTAATGTCCTTCTGGTTGTATTACTTGTTAGTTATATTCTTGTACAACTTGTTAAAGTGGCTATGTAAATAAATATGGATAATGTTTTTGTAGTGCAAATCTTGAAAACTTTTCAGTTTGTTTGACTACAAATAATTGTTAAGTGGGATGTTTAGTTTGTGGTGAAAGTTTATAATTCACTTTATTAACTATATCATCTAAAGGCTATTTTTAAGAATGTACAAAATGTGATGATTCTAAATATTATTGGCTAGATAAAGATTAATGTAGATGTTTAGAGGGCTATTATATGGATATATCAGTTTGTTTACCTTGTTCTAAATATTGCAAAGCTTGTTAAAAATCTCCAAGAATTTGTACTGATTGTGACACATCTTTAAATAGAGAATTACATTATTAATAATGTGAATGTAAATAAGGATATTACGAATAAGAGAATTTCTTAGATTGCAGTTAATGTGAATAAACTTGTTATACTTGTAGATTTTTTGCAAATTATTGTACAAGTTGTTATCCTGATTAATTTAGAACAATTTTAAATAGAAAATGTGAATGTTAAGATGGATATTTCGATGAAGGTATATCTATTTGTACTAAATGTAATCCTAAATGTTTAACTTGTTCTAGTTTAACAAATTGTCTATCATGTTATTCCTCATAAAATCGTAAACTTAGTATTAGAAATAGTTCATGTATATGCAAATTAGGATATTTTGAAGTAGAAAATTAACTTAGTTGTGATTCTTGCCACTTCTCTTGTTAATAATGTTTACCTTCTTCTTAAAAGGATATGTGTATTAGATGTCCATCATCTAGAGAACCTTCTATAAATTAAACAGTTTTTGCATGTAATTGTAAAAGAGGATACTATGAATCTAATATGAAAGAATGTTCAGATTGTAGAAATTATTAAAATCCACCATCTACACATTATTGTTATAATAAATGTGGTGATAAAATTACCTAATGGAATGAAGATTGCGATGATGGTAATAATGATCCTAAAGATGGTTGTTATATGTGTCTATTTCCAAATTCTTATTGTTTTAATGCTTTATGTTCTAAATGTGAAATGGGGCTATGTGTTAAATGTATAGATGGATATTTTATAACTAAAGAAAATTAATGTGAACGTTGCGATCAATCCTGTAAAACTTGTGTTTCCAGATAAGATAATTGCACTTCTTGTGTTTTATATAGTCCAGATACTTAAAAATGCATTATGTGTCAAATTGATAAAGGTTATTAAATTTTAGATAATAAATGTGTCTCTATTTGTGGAGATGGATTAAAAGTAGATTAAGAATAATGTGATGATGGTAATGATAAAAGTGGTGATGGATGTACATTATGTAAAATTGAAGATGGATGGATTTGTTAAAATATTTGTGAAAGAATTATTTATCCAATCATTCTTATGAATGAATCGATATTTGATAATAAATATGATGGAGTTAGAAATTTAGAATTTACAACCAATATCAAACTTAAAATTAAGACTAAAGTTACAGATCTTTGTTCATACACCTTTAAAAACACTGAATCTTTTGATGTCTTACTCTCTAATCCTTAAATTAATACCTAATAAGAAGAATTTAATATTCTTAAATCTATTTTAAAATTACAAATTAATCAAAGAAGTGATAATCCTATCTTAATTTGTAAAATACTTAACCCTGAAAAGTATATAAGTTAATAAGGTTTTACTTTCAAAGAACTCTCCTTTGAATTTCCATTAATTCCCTTTTAATAACAATCTGAATCTGTTATTTCAGCTACTACTGGATTACTAAACTTTAGTAAATATGTTCTTTATATTCTACTTGGATTAGCTATATTTGCATTTCTAGTTGGTGGATTATAAATATTTTGGAATCTATTAGATATCCTTTAATTAATATCTTATTTACAGTTTTTCAATATTATATATCCATATAATGTAGAAACATATTTCTAACTTTTTGATTTTGCTTAATTTGATTTCATCAAACGAATTGTTAATATTGAAGATTTAATCAATAATCATGTTCAATCTCCTGAACCTGATTATAAGTTTGCTTTGTAAGGATATTCTTCTACATTTTATATTAATTCTATAGCTGTTTTAACAGTATTCTTAACAACTTTAGCAATCTTCATTGGTTGCAAAGTTGGTTTTATTTTCTTGGCCAAACTTTTATAATATTATTCGGATGAACATGATACTTCTTTAGAAGAAGAACCTAACGTTATCAAATTTATTTTATTTAGAATAAGCAGGAATATTTCTAAAATGTTTCTTAATATAATTGGAGAATTCAGCTCAGGCTTAATCAGAACTTTTATGGCTGTAGCTTATGATTACAATCTCTCTATTTTTTTATAAATCAGAGCATCAAATTCAGATAATGCCTTATTAGAATCTAGTTTAGCTTTCAGCATTATATTTCTATTTCTCCAATTTTATTTTTTGTTTAAAGGATTTTCATTTATGAGTAATTAACCATATTTCTATAGGCAATTCTTCATTTAATAGAAATATGGATCACTATATGAGGGAATAGATATTCAGTCAGCTAAGCCTTATGCCAATTATTATAATCTAATCCTGCTATTCAAGAAGATACTTTTCATCTTCTTCTTGGTTAATCTTTATTATGAACCAAGCTTTTAAATATTGACATGTTCCATGCTTAATGTAATCTTTTCAGTTTACATCCTATATAATAAACCATTAGAAGATAAATATGAGTTTTATAAAACTATAGGATCTGAATTACTTATTTGGTTAGCTGAACTATTCATAATAGGATTATATTATTCCTAACAATAAGGACCTGATGAAAATAAAGAATTATTTATAGGCTGGTTTATTATTGGTGCATGTACAATGTTAATTATATTCCAATTTGTTCTTGATATCAAATAACATTATGAATTTTTGATTAAAGAGTATAAGATTATTGCTAAATTACTCTCAAGAATTCGAAGCCTATTTCGAAAACAAGAAATTAGGGAAGATACTTAAGAAAATTTAGTTGATGCTAAAAATAGTAAATTGACTCTCAGAGGAAAAATGTCAACACAGGCTACTTTAGGAATTAAATAAAGAAAATTAGTCACATTTAAATTTGATAAATGAATAAATTTATATGTTTTTATATTTTTTTATTACAGATTGATTTTAATTAATTTAAAAACCTATAAATTATTTCTAGAAAATAATCATTCCTTTATTTATTAGTTAAATCTTTCTAATAATACTTTAGAATGAATTGAATTTCACCTTCTTGTTTAGAGAATTTATTATTTTAAGAAATAAAAATATATCTTCAAAATTGTTTAATTAAAAATTAATTGTTATTTTTATTAACAATATCTTCATAATTAATCTGCATCAGTCATGTGATGCAACTTAAAATATTTTTTTCTAAGAAAAGCAATATAAATATAAAAAAAAGCAGAGATTATAAATATTAATAAAATAATTATATGTAAGAAAATGAGTTTGCAATTTCAATTTGCGTTCCTTCCTTCAAAAAAAATGATGATGTTGTATATTACCAGTTAATGTATGATATTTGTATATAATTACATATAGATTTACTGAAAATAACTAAAGGCATTCATTCTCCGTAGATTATCGCTATTCACATTTAAAAAAACTCCATGAATCATTATAAACTCTTAAAGGGGACCTGCCGAAGTTTCCTCCGACTAATTGGTGGAGACCCACCAATTCCAATTAAGAATTAATAGAGGAGAGAAGAATTTAATTGGATTATTTCTTTAAGACTCTCCTCTTATGCAAAGAAGTCTCAAAAAGTTTGATTTTGAAAAATTTCATACTTAAATCACAATGTTTGCATCTCAAAAAGTTAGAGAAAGTATCTAAAATTATATTTAAATTAGGAATAACAAATTCTGATAAAAAAAGAAAGAGAAGCTGGAGCTACTCCAAATATGAATTAGAAAAAAGCTAAGTCTTAAGTATTACTTTTTTTTTTTAAATCTAGTTAACTACTCCTGTTTGTGGTCCAGCAGAAGATCCTATTGATGATCCAAGAGAAAGATCTCGCTCTTGGGAGTTTAAATTTGTTCAGAAAAAATCCAAATCTATGTGCGTTAAAGAAAATAATTAATTAAATAATGTAAAAATAGTATTTAATGATAGTTAAACTTTGGAGGAGTACCAATATTCAAAGGCATTATTCTAAAATTGAAATGATAAAAATAGAATTTAAATAAATAATCATTTTAAAAAATTTTATCTGTTTCATAATTCCCTTTTAAATTGGTTAAATTAATGCTACTATTTATTTTTGATTTTTTTACTATTTTTTATTTGACATTTATTATTTTGATAATATATTTTTCAAAGAAATTTAGTATTTATTTACTATTAATGTCTTTTTCATTAATTAGATACTAACTATTTACATTTATTGTTAATATTAGGGTTAGAAAGATAAGAGGTAAATTTAAAAACTAATTAAAAATATAAAGTGCTAGTGAATACAATAAATTATACAAAGAAAGGATTTAGATTATTATTAATAGTATTTATGCTTAGTTCTTGCAAAAGATAAATAAATTATAATTATATTAAAAAAAATTCATTTGAAAGAAATTTCTAAGGTTTTGAATTTTACAATTATTTTATATAAAAACTTGATTTCTCTATAGGAGTCTAATATAGATGCAAATTATAATTGTAATAAATTTAATGTGAGTGGTTTTGGTTAGAAAAAAACTTTAAATAAAAATAAAAATTTGAATAAGATGATGTCAGAATAAGAATTAATTGTGATATAAAAATTCTTCTTAAAGATTATAAGAAGTTTTTTTTAGTTTAATTCGAAGATTGGTATCAATAAAAATTCAAGTAATTAATTATAAATAAAATGTAGAAAAAAGTATATTTAAGAAATAGCATAATTTATTAAACAATAGGAATTTATATATTTTTAAATAGTGATAATAATATTATTTTTTTGATATAAAAAAAATGAATTGCGTAATATGGGTATTCAAAGCACAAATTATCATTGAAAATGATATTAATAATATTATAAAAAATATGAAATACCTAATTGCATTACTGTTAGTATCCTCCATCTTAGCAGCTATCCCAACCAAAGTTACAAATTGTATGGCCAATCCAAAGATTGTTTTCACAGAGGCAACTTTCAGTGTTACACCAGCAAAGGGAGTTGATGAAACAATCTCACTTTATGGAAATGCAAATGATCATGCTGAATTAGCTAATGTTTAACTCAAAGCTAAATGGAATGGAATAGATGCTTTTGAAGACAATTACCCAGAAGATGAAGTATATGACAAAGGAGATCCTGTCACCTATTAAATGACATAAAATTTCCCAACTTATACTCCATCTGTAAATTATTTAAATCATATGTTTAGGGTAAAATTGTTGTTTAAATGTGGTTCTAAAACGCTAAGGGAACTAACTTTGCATGTGCAGAAGTAGGATTTATTATTTGATTCCTTAATATAGATGTTCATTAAATAAGATATAAAATTCTCATAATTAAAATAACTAAAAATACCAAAGTTCATTGAATTTTTAGACTCATTCTATTCTAGAACTCTATTAATTGTTTTATAATACATTTTGTATCAATCTCATATTTAGAATATTCATAGTAATAAAAAGAGTTCTAACAAAACATATTTAATTTTATTTTTTAAAATCATAATTAGAAATCGAATTTAAACTTAATTTTTTTTCAATAAAATTATTAATTACTATCATAGTTCATGTTAATAGCTCAGCCAAACTTATATATCATGAATCCCAATTAATTTATGTAAAAATGTATCATACATTAACTTTCATAAGAAACAAATGCTCCAAAATGTAATCCAACAATCACATGCCATGTCCCTTAAAATTTATTATCAAATTCATTTTTTATATATTCTGCAATGTCTTTGAAATACCTCTTTTCTCTTTTAGCAGACAATTCTAAAAGTTTACAAAAATGAAATACTAAATGCATGTTCAGCAGTTTCAAATGCAAATTCTTTTTATGCTTAACTCATATCACAAAAAGTAACAACAGGTTTGTGAATTTCTAAATTCGAAACTATAACAACAGCATCCTTAGCTTAACCTCCTCTTCCAAAAGACTTATCAATAGCTGAACTCCCAATCTTTGATATGTCCATTAATTAATTGTATATTAATTATTTTATAATATATTAAATTAAACTATTTTCAATAGATTAAATCATATAATGATATTCTGTGTTCATTTTTTATTTTTTCATATTCTAATATTTTTTTTATTTTTTATTGTTATTCGATTTTTATTTTATTGGTTTGCGATTTGTTTGCAAGAATGTCATTAATTTTGATTGGTGCATTTTTTAATTAAATTTATGCTTATCTGAAAAATATATTATAATAAAGATAAACTTATTTTATAATGAATGATACTAGTGAGCTTGAGATTTTATCAATTGAAATAAATAATAGAGAAAAAAACATTGTTCATTATTTGAATGAACATTTAAAGCTAGAACAATTAACTGATCCTCAAAAAAAATAAATAAACTTTGAAGTCTCAAAAAAAAACACTATATTTTCATAAAAATCTTTTGATTCTGACAGTGAAATCTCTGAATTCAATTCCAGTGGTACCATAAAGAGTACTTAATTAAAAATGAGTAAATCACCACTCTTAATAAGAAGACTCAGTGCAATTATGTTAGATTAGATTTTTTGATTAATTATAATAACTTAATTGTCAATCTTTAACAATAAATGTATAATTATAAGCTGGATAGTAATGTTTAGTCACATCCTGACAAAGTAAGAAAGAAATTATTTAAAGTATTTGGTTAATTAAATTGAAAAATAAATTTTTTGTAAATATAATTATTATGAACAAAAAACACTGTTTAGTTTTCAATTAAAAGACAGGAATCATTCAAAATATCTAAGAAAATATCTTTCCAAAATTTAAACCACAAAAATTACATTAAATAATCTTATCTTTTAATTTCAAAGAAACAATTTATATAATATTTTTAATCGATTGGAATGTAAATGAGATGTATTATAATAATAATTTACTGCATTAGAATTAATTACATTATAAGCCATTCTGTTTTTATAAAAGATGTAGTAAATATATTTAAATCACTAAATAAATTTACTATGAAAATACATCAATACCATTGATTGATTAATTTTTATCTTGTCATTCTCTAATGGATTTTATAACAATAAGGATAATAAGATAAACTAAATACAAAATTAAATGTATTTAATAACTAATTCTCAAATAAAAATGGAATGAATACTGTTAAAAAAACAATTAAATCTTAAATTAAATAAATTCAATTGAATAATCTTTGAATTCAGAAGAAGTGAGATGATAAAACTTAATTGTGTGCTCTCCTAATTTTGAGGATAATTTTAAACTAAAAATAATTTTTAGGATTTAAGATTTAAGTCTTATTCATAAATAAAATTCTTAATGAATTAAAATTAAATTATGAGAGAAGTTGAAAAATAGACTATTAAAATATAAATTGAATAACTAAATTGTAAGCGTAAAAAGGAAAAAAAATATAATCTAAATAAAGTTATAAATGACTAAAGGAATCCTTTGTAAACTGATCAATAAAATTTGAGAGTTCCCAGAAAAAAATTTGTAGGAATGAAAAATTAAAAGAAATAACTAATTTAAAAAAGCAAAATATCGAAATACTATTTAGAAGAAAAAAAGAGGTTTAGAATAATTCTACTTAAATTTTTAAATATTACAACACTGACTAGAAAACTTTAAATAATCCTTTATTTGACATATATAAGAAAAAATAAAATATTATTCGGTAAAAGATAAATGATGAGTAAAGAAAGAAAAGAAAATTTCATAAAATAAGAAAGATAATAAAACGATGGTATTAATAGATAGATTACGATCAAATAAAAAATGATAATGTATTTGTATAAATATTTTAATTATTATTCATTTTAATAATGAGAGTATGTGCAATTTTATGTTTAATGACAATAGCTCATTGTACTTAAATCATAAAGTAATTATATATAATATACAATTAATAAAGGCAAATATATTCTAAATATAGTTAGGATAACTTAGTAAGAGCAAAATGGGAAAAAATATAAAATATGATTTTATTGAAACAATATACAGAGGTAAACTTTAATGCTTTGTTAATAGAATTAGATGATATACTGTAAAACTCAAAAAGTAAATTAAGATGAAGAAAATAAATTAGAAATCTATTACTAATAATTTTTGATTTATTCTGAGGTTCACTTTAGTAAAGTGACTCGGTATAGTTACCAAAGTATGATGAAAATGTATTTAAAAAAAGGTGGAGTAAGTAATGGCAGAATTGTTCGTCATTAGATGTATTAATAAATGATTAAATAAGAAATCTAATTGATTGAGATTGATTTAGAAGATTTAGGTATATCTTCCGCAACTTTCTGAAGAAGATTGGGAGAATTAACACATATTTCTTCTTTATTTGAAATATTATTAAATTTTCCCACTTAAAAGAATACATAAGGGTATAATTAATTAATTAACAATAGTTTTGTTGATTAAGTATAGAAAAGAAATATAATTAAACTACTTAACAATTTAAGAGAAGATTTAGTAGTTTCAAAGCAAGCAAATGGATTCTATAAATTTTTAAATACTAAAATTATTCCTTAATTAAAACCTGACCTTGAAACTAAAGAATGCGAAATCAACACAAAATAAGGATTACTTTTTAATGCATAATTTAATTTAAATATTAAATAAGGTAATCTTGATAGTTTTAATAATGGATGGATTACTTGGGATACTTATTAATATTTATAAAATTAATAAGAAAATAAATAATTAAATGAAGGATGGAATAATGAATTTATTCTCTTATTATAAATAAAATAAGCTTTAATGAGAGATGAAGTTGGAACATGATAATTAAAACAAATAATACAAATTATAATAATAATATTTATAAATTTTATTTGTGATGAGAGGCTTCTTTGCTATTACAAGAGCTTTCATTGCCCCTATTGCAAAATAAACTTTTCATTTCTCGTCCTAACAGTCTAAAATTTAAATGAGAATGTAATTTACAAATTTTACTATTACAAGTGTCATAAACAAAATTAACCACATAATTAGATTATCATCTACCATGTCTGGTTTACGTATTGCTAATTAATATGATTTATCCTTATTTTCACTATTAGAAGAAGCTTAAGGTAATATTTAAGATTTAGTATTATTAGGTATTATTATATACATATCAATTTTAAGATGACTCGACTGATTTGGATAATAGGCAAATTGGTTTACATTTAGGATGTACAGATTCCAAATGATACAAAATATTATTATTTTAAATTATTATACCTATCAGTATCATTATTGCAATTAGACCTAATTACTTTAATTAACATGTAATTCATATATTAGTATAAGAAGATTCTAAATCCTTTACAAATAAATATTTCATAAACTCTTTAACCTTTTTCATATATAAATATCATCGGTGTTCACTTTCTTCAAATTAAATCATTCCATATAAGTACTCTTTTAAAAAGTATAAAATTGTTCTACTAGATAACTTTCAAATTTTTTTAATTATTTTATCTAAAAGAACTTATTTTAATATTAATAATTTGGATATAAATGAACTCTAAAATGATTTAGTCAAATATCAATTATTTTAATATTAATTTATTGCCTACATATGAGCTTAAATATCTATGAATGTGAAGAAGAAAAAACACCTGCATATGATGAACAATACGAAAATTACAAAGGAGATTATTCTCACATATTAGATTTATATAATACAGGATGTTAATCTCCTATTTCATCTAAATGGTCTAACAATAGACCTCATACAGGATCATACAAATATATTAGGAAAGTGAAATTAATGAAGAAATAAAAATCTAATCAATATACTTCTGAAGAACAAAGTAACTATTAACAAAATATATAGATTTTATCATCAGGAAGATTGTTTCCTCAGATGGTGTTAATATAACTAAATAAAAGAGTAATCAATCTTAATTATAAAAGAAAGCTAATAATAAAATCATCAAGATGATGAAACAATTAAACTTAAATTGAATTGCTTTTATATACATATATCTCATACATACATTAGTAATTTTATATATCTTATAAAATAATTTGAATAAAAAAATATTCTAAAAAACATTTGAACATCTACTTTCAAGGTGTTCATTATGATTTATGTCAATTTTTCGAAATATTTTTATATTTAACACACCACTTTTTATTTATAAAAAATTGAAAAATGTTTAATTTAAATAGATCAAGTCATATTAGAAATTTGAAATTTAACTATTGATTTATCACAATGTCAAAAAGATTTCTTATAATTGTATATATTTATTTTATAAGCTTTTATTTGAGGAAATATATTATATTCATATTATTATATTCTCAAATAAATAAAGTTTCTAATTAATTAGATGGAAAAACTGTTTATAAAATTATAATTATAAATGGAATTATAATTAAAATAACTTCAAATCATGAACTAGCTAAATAATCATGTGTATCTAGTTACAACCAGCAATAATTCTATTAGAGATCGCTAAGATTTAATAGCTATTTCAATACTAAAATTGATATCCTAGATATTGGGTATATAAAAAATAGGAAAATTATTTTCGATAGCTAAATTTTAGTCCATTCGAGTTTAATTTTTTTTTTAATCTAAAGGCTTTTCAGTATTAAATCCAGCAATTTATAAAATAAAAAAAATACTTTTAAATGTTGAAAATCATCCAGACTCAATTTTAAATTTATTATTAAAAAATGCGTAATATCATTTTTACTTGTCTGGGTATATATTTTAATAATTTTATTGCATTATTGTAATCAATAATTCCTTTAATGCTTCTTTATAAGGCTGTATTTAAATGTTTAAATCCTAGCTTTAAGTAGATGATGAATATGAAAGACTTTAACTTTTAAGTGAGGGTATCAAATAACTTACATCTGAAATGCCTAAGATAGAAACAATTAAAAATACATCTCTCATCAAATTTTGTAAAATATATATCTATTTATTAATTAGTAATTTGTAGTTATCCATTTTAATAAGACAATATAAATATGTTAATCTAAGCATTTTTTGAATATTATAAGAATGAAAATTTTTTTTGGGCATATACTTAGGCAATTTCCTCAATTGGTGAATTTTAAGAGAGCAAGGCAGTGACATATAAAAAATTATCCATCTATGAAGTTTATTTAAGAAAACAGTACAAGTTTTTCATATTTTTAGAAAGGAAGGCAAAACTGGTTAAAGTCACTTTTATCAATTTTCAGAATCTGCTTAATAGTCAATGACTAAAGTTAAATTGTATATCTGTTCATAATTTCCTAAATATTTTTCTTTAGCCAAAGATTTAGGAATAGATATTTCAAGAATATATGACATATTTAGAATATATTTACTTAATACGAATAATAAAGAGTTAATATTTGAATTAATTGAAACATTCGAAAATTTGAAAAAAAGTATATTCAAAAATTTGCCATGGATTGTCTCATTTTAAGCTGAAATAGATATTTATAAATAAACATTATTTCCGTAAAAATTAAGTATTAAACTCAAATCAAATTAATAAAATTTACAATTACTTTATGAATAATATAAATTTTAAAAAGAAAATCCTTCATAATCGGATTAATATTCAGAAGAAAACAGTCCATTTATTGATTAACAAGCTATTAATAAATAAAAAATTGATCAATATTAATCAGCATTATGTAAATAAAATTTACTAAATTTGATTGATGATTCAGTTGACTTATATTTATTTCTCAAATTAATTATTAAACCATAAAAATATGATTTATCTGATGATTGGAATAATAAATATGGTGAAACTACAATAATTAAAGATTAATAAGGTTTTAAAATAAATTGTACAGAATTAGATGATTTAATAATAATTAGATCTTTCAAAGCTTTAAATTCTGTTTTAAATTGTACAAAAATTGAGATCTTAAAAATTAAAATACAAAATTTATTGCCAAAATTATGTAATAAAATTTTTTATTTCTAGTTCGTACAATATATAAAGTACTTCGAGATCCTGAATAAAATGTAAACTTGTATCACCTTGGTTTATTAATAAATAAAATGTTAGAAATGTGTCCTAAGCACACAATGTACTAAATAATTAAATTAAATTTACTATTCTCATTTACTTAATTTTTTTACAACAGCAATATTGTTAATTTAGTATTAGAAATTTTAGATTTAGACACAGATAAATATAAATTAGGTTACTTTGTTCAAGAATAGGTTTGGACTTATATTAATGATACAGATTGGTTTTAATACCTTTTTGCTTTGTTATTTAAATAAAATATTGATGTGCATAAATTAGATGAAAGTTATTAAAGTGAAAAAAAAGTATAAAATATTAAAATTAAATTAGACCTAAGTTTTAAGCATGTTACAATCTTTAAATAGAAATTAAAGAGGCTCTATAAAGTAAGACATATCTATAAATTAATCCTATTTTATTAAAAGTAGTAGTACAAGTGATAAAGTTGGAGAAGTGCAACCATAAGATTATTTAAATGATAAAGATGTGGATAATTTAAAACATTTTAATTAAGATAAATAAAATTTCGACCCTCAAAAAATGGAAAAAATGATTGAATAATAAAAACAATACTAGACAATAAAGTATAGTAAAGGAAACATAGTATTATAAGATATACCTTCTCCTAGAAGAACAAAATTTGAAAAATAAATTATTGAGATACCCTTAAAAAAAAAATAAGTTTCTTTGCCAAAACTAAATAATAATTAATTAAATTGTTCTCTAAAATATGTGAATTCTCCATTATCAAGAGAGAGTTCCAAGAATCTTTCAACAGAAAAGGATGTTTAATTAAGTTAAAAATCAAAAAACTCTTCTGCTAGTTTTAGGAGATCAGATAATTAAGATGATAATTTATCATCAAATAAAAAATTAAGATTGCATTAATCAACAAGTAAAACAAATGCTAGCCTTTTTAAATAGAATTAATAAAGTAATTAAATTAAAGATATTGAATTAATGGAATCTCTATAATTTATCTATTAATTATTGGATTCTTTGTATTTATGTTAAAAGAAATTCTTAAATCCTAAAAATTGTAATATTGTTGAAAAGACCAGTAAAATATTGATAGCAGAGAATTTAGTGCATATTTTTTAAACATTTGTTAACAAGATAATGAAAGAGGATTATGGATTAATTTGTGGTTAAATTTTAAATATTATATATAAATTGGTTTAGAGTAATCATTTAGAGATGTATTATGAAATGTTGAATGAATAATTTTATAATTTTATTTAAGAAATAGGAAGTTTAGTGTAATTTTTGGAAAAACAATAGAATTATGGATTCAAGAGACATATAATATCATCAATATATTTTAATGGATTTATATTGAATAATTAATTAGGTCAAAATTATTTAGAACTAAATATTTATAAATATTTGAGTGGTAAAATATTTGGTTAGTTATAAAAATATTTAATTTGTTGTCCTGAGAATAGTAATTATTAATTATAATTTGTAAAGTAAAAGTTTAGATAATAATTAGTTTTTTGAATAGTGTATTTTGTAAGGCTCCAGCTTATATGATTTAGTAAATATTATTTAATTATGGTTTGTTATAAGTTTTATTTGAATCACAAAGAGCTATAATTGTAAATGATATTAAAAATGTTCAGAGTTCATTACATTATTTTGCTATTCAAATAATATATATAATAAAAGATCTATTGTAAAAAAGACATTTGCAAGTGATTTTAGATAATCTTTAACCACTTGATTTATGGTACAAACTTTGCAAGGCAAGTGAGAATTTATAAATAATGAAATTGGAACAAACAAAATTGGCTGAACCACCAAAAGAATAGATATAGTTTTCAAAGATAAGATAATAGATAATAAAAAAATAATAAACAGAATAAAGAAATGAGATGTAGGAGATTTAATAAGAAGAATTATGTTTTTTGACTCCTGATTTGACACATAGAACATTAAAAAATTATAGATTACGTAAACAATTTGATTTATGATATATTCAAAATATTCATTTTTTTATAACTTTCCAAACAAATATACATTAATCTTCTCCTCCAGTTGAAATGATTCTAGAATCATCTTTAGTCCATTTAACATTTGTAACATGAGATGAATGTCCAGTACCTACAACAGCTTCAGATGATTTTTTTAAGCTAGGGAATCTAAGTATTCTAACATGACTGAAATCATCTCCACAAGCAAGTAAATGATAAGATGTTTTAGGATCACTTTTACCATTGATAGTAGTATTAGAACGATCAACAGCATTAATATCAGTACCATCAGCACATTCAGGCCAAATACCTTAGACTGGCCATCCAAGAGTAACTGTCCAAGTATACCAAAATTCATCTTTTAATGCAGATGCTCCACCAGGTAACTTTATATATAAATATTAATTTATACTTATTTACATTATGCTACATCCCAAAATAATAGTTCATAAGCACCACAAGTTGAATGTAAATTAACACCATCTCTACTAAAATCAAAATGTGTAATATATGATGAATGTTTTGACATTTTTTTACCAATAGTTTTCCAAGATGGATATTTATAAGCATATAAAGCATTATCATGTGAACCAATAATACAAGTAGTACCATCAGGAGAGAATTTAATATCACTTATCCATTCTTTAGCTTATTTAAATACTTTTGTTTAATTAAGTTCAGCATCATATATTCTAATAGTACCATCTTTCATACCAACAGTAAATCCACCATCTTTTGGATTTGTACTAACAACACGAGCTTTACATTAATCAGTAAAATCTCCAGTATTTAAATCTGTTTTTTCTTCTTTACCATCACCTGTAAGAAGAGTATTACCAATTTTCACTTATTTTCTTTCACCTATTGACCATACACGAACAGTACCATCATCTGAACATGTTACAAATTTATCCTAATCTTCTTAAAATATATCTAATCCCCATACTTCATTTGTCCATTTTAAATTTGGACAGAAATGTCCTCTCATTAAATTACTTACTTTAAATTCTGTTTAACTATTTATTATAGTACGACCATCCCAAGAAAATTAATATATTTCACTACCTAATGTACCTATTAATAATTTTGAATTTGCTAAATCTGCATAGATAGCTCTAACTCCCGGACAAACAGAATCTGGACATTTCTCTTTTACTTTTACAGCCAATATTTCCTCATAATTTTTACTTAATACAAAGAATACTCCATCTCTACCTCCTGAAAATACATAATCTTAAGTCACTGTAATACAATCACAAATTTAACTATGTTTACTTGGTAATGCTTTCATAAATGCTTCACCTTTCCATATTTATATACATCCATCTGCTGCTCCACATAACGTATCATTTCCATTTATACCGATTCCTGATAAATTATTACTAGCTCCCTTTCCAAATTATCCTTTCTTTCCTTAACATTTTCCATTATCATATTTCCAACATTTATAATGTTTTACACCTACTGTTACAAATGCATCATCTGTATTCCATCTTAAATCTACTATAACATCTGGACCACTCTTATCTGACCATAATACTGCTCCTTTACAACTTACATCAAATACTGCTAATGAATGATCTACATCAACTGCTCCTGCTACTAATCTCTTACCATTTGGAGTAAATGCTAATGCTATTATACCTTTCTATAAAGGAGCTTTAAATTAACATTTCACTTCCTTTGTCTCTGCATTCCATACAAATATATTTGGTTTAGCTCCTAATTCTCCTGTTGCAACTGTTAATTTATCAAATGGATTCAAATCTATTGCTGTAATATCATCTTCATGTTTATTAAAATATGTCTATTTATTGCTTTCTATATCTAATACTATCCCTAATGCTGCTGCATTATACAGTACTTAACCATTTGATAAAAAGAACAAGTTATTTCTCATATCCTTTGTGCGATAACCATGTACATATTCAATTTCTAAATCACATTTAGGGGGTTTATGTCCATCTGTTTTACTTTAATAATATTGATAAGTTGGCTCTTTGATTGATCCCATCCATGGTTTACAAGCCATAAATTAATCTCCTTCATCTGTTTCCTCTTAGATGAATAGAGAATTATCATCTTTTTTTATTTACTTTTTTGGAGTAAGTTATACCTTCCTTTTTTTCAGAGGCATATCTATGTCATCTGCTCCTTCTTCCTTAAATTATTCTTCCAAATTAGCTTATTCTACTTTTCCTTAAGCACTTCCAAAATCAGTTTTCCAAACAATAATTGATTTATCATTACCACCAACAGAAATAAGAAAATTATCATCACAAGTGAATCTTACTCTCATAACATGAGATGAATGTCCAATATATTCTTTTCTTTTTTATTTTGGAACAACAACAGGATAATTCATTAAAACAACATGTTATGTATCTTCACCTGAAACTAAGAATTTTTTACTATGGCTTCTACAAACGGTATTAACACCACTATAATCAGCAGAAGGGAATATACCTTAAACAGGCCAACCTAATTTACATGTCCAACTTGTAAATTCAGTATTAGCTTAACTAGAAGAAGGTTAATTCTTTTTAGCATTAACATCAACATACTTAAGTTCATAAGCACCACTATTAACAACAACAATAGATGAATCAACTGACCAATCTAAAGCAGTTAAAGCAGATGTTAAACCACATTAAATTTTAGTACCTACTTTACCAAATTTAGGATATTCAATAGTCCAAACTTCTAAATGAGATGCACCAGCATGAGCACCAAAAGCTACTTTTTTACAATCTGGTGATATCTTTAAATCTTAAATCCAATATTAAGATTATCTTTAAGGCATATTTGTAAATATAGTTTTAGCAGTATCCATAATTTATAATGTATTAGGATCTAATAAATATACAAATCCATTAAGATCCCCACAAACTATAAATTTACCATCATTTGACCAATCAACAGCTCTAACCTCACTTGGAAATGGTTTACTAACACATATCATTTTCTTTTAATCTATATCCCAAATACGAACTGTCTTATCACCACCACCTGTTACATATTTATGTCCTGTTGGTGCAGCACAAGCTCCCCATAATTCTTCACCATAATGTCCTTATATTACAATACTTGTCTATTTCTTGGCCGGATCAAATGTAAATATTTAAGCTCCATTTGTACCAAATAACCATTATTAACTTTTTTCATTATAATCCATTGCAACTACTCCAGAAGGAAAGAGTGGATTTCTAGATAAATTAATTAATTCCTATTTCTTAACCAATTAACCTCCTTCATAACCCCATGAGATCACTTTACCATCTAATCCACCAGAGTATAATAACTTTTTAAACTTATCCATTATGAATGTACTCACTTTTCCTTCATGTCCTTTTATTCCTTTATCACTACTTCCACCTTTCCAACAAAATAATGTTCCACTTCCTCCTCCTGATACTATTACTTAATTATCAAATGCATAAACTACTGAAAATTATGATTCAAATTTTCCTTATTATTAACCCATCTTTCCTTATACATTCCTTCCATTTATCTTCCAAAACTTTATATGTTTATTTCCTACTGTTACAAATTCTTCATTATCCTTCCATGCTGCTCCATTTACTTTTGCCTTGTCTATATTTGATGTACAAATCTATCTCTTTCCTTACCAATCATATATTGCTAATGAATTGTCATCATCTTAACCAACAGTCAATAATAATGATCCATCTGGTGAAAATTTCAATAACACTATTGCTCTTAAATGAAATTAATTGAAATTAGCTAATACTTCCTTTGTATCTATATCCCAAACAAAAATATCAATACATTTTGCTTTACCTGCTTATGCCATCTATCCTGTTGCTGCTATATTTCTATTTGGATGCAAAGCAAAACTTACAATATCTTCTTCATGCTTATTAAAGAATGTTTATTATTGTGTCTTAGGATCAACCTCTACTCCCAATGCAGCTGAAACAAAGACCACTTTATTTTTATCAGTCCAACCTAACATATCTCTGCATTCATCCAAAATGTAGAAGAATCGAAATCCATGAATATGATATAATGATAAATTTCCTTTTGGATCCTAATTATCTCTAGCCTTATTTGGTTTGTACCAAGAAGGAACTGAACGTTAAACTTCTCCTAAAAATGGTTTGACTGCTCCAATCATATCTCCTTTATCTAAAACTTCCTATTCAAAGATTGTTCCGCCAACATTTTCTTATGTTTATTCAGGTTCATCTTAAATTTCTTAGACATCTAATTTTTGTGGAGAATAGATGTATCTCCATTAAAATATAGATAATTCATCACCTCCAACAGAAATAATATGTTCTCCGCTGTTAGTAAATTTGACTCCACAAACATAAGATGAATGTCCTGTATATTTGATACATCCACTTTTTTCTTTAGGACAAGGATTTTTGAATAATTTAAGTTTACCAAAATCATCACAAGAAACTAAACATTTACCATCTTTAGATCTATCAGTAGCATTAACATCATCACCATCAGAACAATCTGGCCAAATTCCTTATACTTACCATCCATATATGCAAGTCCATGTGAACCATTAAATATCTTTGGCAATATCAAATTATATAGGTTATGCTAAATTCACATCATAAAATTCAATAGTATAATTACTAGTATTTATTTAAATGAATTTACTATCAACAGAGAAATCTAGAGTATAAACATGATATTTGCAGTTAGGTATTTAGGATTATTTTTTCCAAGTTTTGGTAGAATAGAAAGAAATTTCTGAAAATGGTGGTTTGTAACAAACACATAATAGTTCATTGTTAGGTGAGAATTTGACTAATGAAATGATTTCTTTATCAGGATCAACAAATTAAGAAATTTCTTATAATTTTTTTAAAGATCCAGCATCGTAGATAAATACTCTACCATTAGAACATCCAGTGGCAATCCATTTTGCATTTTGACTGACACTTAAAGTTTTACTAGCATATTGATTAGTTGTAGATTTAAGTAATTTTTTTTATTTAACATCCCACATAGCTAATATTTCATCTTCACCAACAGTATAGAAAATATTTTAAGTAGGATGAGTATCTAATCCCCATAATTCTCCATTAAAATGTCCTTACATATATAATTTACATTATATTTTTTATCCTTCTTCATAACTAAGAATTTCAGCAATTTCTGATCTTCTAGTACCAAATAAGATTTTACCATCTGAACTTTCACAAACAGAAATAACATTAGGTGATCCTTTAGGTGGGAAACTCAATTTAAGTGGTAAATCTTTGGTATCAATTTCAAATACTTTATTAAATTATGGATCCCAACCAATAATGATACCTCTTTTATCAGCTGAGATAATTCCTCTACCTGCTGATCTAGTAATAATAGCTTTAACAGGAGTAACATGAGCTTTGACACTTTTGATACAAATGTTTTTTTTCCAACAAAGGAAGTTTCCATTAAATACTCCTGTAACTATATATTCTCCATTAATAGCAATAGTAAGAACAGGCTAAGGTTATTATTCTTTCCAAACACCTCTTTCAGCTAATATGATGCCATTCTTCCATGTACAAATACTTATTTCTTTCATACAAGCTACAACTATTTAATAATCTCCAGGTAAGAATTTAATATCAAAGACTTCTTTTTTAGTTAATTTACCACTTGCTATTAAAGGAGATGTCTTATTCTTTGGATCTTTCCTTGAATTTATAGAAATATCAATATCATATACAGCCATAAAATGGTCATCGTCCATGGCAATTGCTGATACACTCTTTCCATCATTAGAAAAACAACAATTAGAAATACCATTTTTAAGTACATCATTAAATAAACAAACCATTCTCATATTATCAATATTCCATACCATTAACATTGGATTTAAACCTACTTATCCTGTTAATACTAAATTCTCATATATATCTAAACAAGATATATCATCATTATGTTCCAAGAAATGTTTTTAAGTCATATTATTTGGATCCAATACTATACCTACTCCTGCTGTATGATATACAATTTGACCTTTATTCCCATATTTTAAATTGTTTCTAGTATCATGACATCTATATCCATAAATATATTCTAAATCTAAAATAGCATTAGGAGGTGATGCATCCATTCCTTCTTGCTTTTTAGAGGGTTCTAAACTTTTTGCTTAATCTTTCCATTCCATAACAATTTCTTCTTCTTCTAATCCAAATTCATCACTTGCTTCTGCTTTAATTGTATGTTCAATTCCATTTTTAATACGTTCTACTCTTTCATCTCTTGGTAATAGTCTTCTTTCCATCTCTATTTCTATATCACTATCAATATCATTATAACAAGTCTCTTCTATTGTCGTCTCATCTTTATTAGCTAATCCCATATTGAATAACACTTTTAAAACATCAGGATCTTTCTACACTAATTTTAAATATTCTTCATATTCAAATCCTCCATCTCTATCTAAATCCCATTTCACTAAATATTGTTATACTTTTTCTTCTATTTCTTTAGGTGTTGGGTCATCCAAACCTTCATAATAATGTAGATTATTTAATATGCTAGTTAAAAAGATTCCTACTTCTTTTGGACCTAATTTATTATCATGATCTTCATCATAAAGATCAAATATAGTTTTTGCTGTTGTCTATATTTTTATAGATATATTTATATTACTATCAATGGATTTTAACATAATGATGCAACTCCTACTTTAAATTTATAATAGTCAACACGACCACTATTATCAAAGTCCATCAATTTTATTATCTATTTAATAACCAAAATTATTTCATTACTTTTATTGCTTCCTTATGTGTAACATTATATTGATCAGCAAATTTATTTAAATCGATTACTCCATTACTTTCAATTTACAGCCATTTGTCACTTTATTTTTATTATTATTCATACCTTAAATAATCAATTTGATTATCAGAAAAACCTTAAAATCTGTTTTTCCTAAATTTGCCCATTATTTGATTTCCCATGATAAATTAATTGAAAAATATTAGTAATCAAAACAACAAAAAATTAAGAGGCTTTTCGGATCATCAAGTACTCATTCGAGTGTTTCTTTAATAATATCTATGCAAAAACCAGACACAATATAATAACCTCTTTTTAATTAGGAATGTCCATACAATTCTGTATAACTTCATACTATAACATTTAACAATGTTTGGGATTACTTAGTACATCTCTAAAAATGTCATCTCATAAATTAGAGATCTGAAATAAGAAAATCTTCTGATTATTTTATGTGTCATCGTTGTCTTAAAGTTTTTGAAGAATTTTAACAATTATAAGATCATCAAGATACGGAACATATCATAAATTTTGAGCTTATTTTTGATAAAAAGCCAGAACAATGGATAAGTATATCTAAAAGAGGTAGATGGGAAATCATCAAATTAATTGAAAATTATAAAGATCATTATCTTAATAAGAATGAAGTTTAAAATGTTAAGATCTTTCCTTAAGATTAAACTGATCCTCGTTTAAACACTCCTAGAGATACAATTTCTAAGATTAAAAATTTATAAATAGAAAGAAAGGAGAGATTATAATTGTATTTATTACAATCCAAAGTTTTAGAATCTGCTTATCATAAATTATTTAATCATTATAAAGATATATCTATGATTAATAAGGAATATCCATATAAATTAACAACTGATTCTTTTAATTAATTGATGGTCAAACATAATATCAAATTAAGTTCAGAATTATTCAATCAAACTAAAGTATGTGAATTCATGGAAACAGCATTAACAAATCCAGAAGATCATATTATTTATATGAATAGAAGAGCCATTAACAAATTCTTTTATCTTTGGATTTTGATTCATGAAGATGTTAATCCTTTTTTATAAATATAATTCTAAGAACCTTGGGTTATATTAGCTATTCCAACTTAATCTGGATAATTTTACAATATACCTATTTCAAAGTCAAATGAAAATTTAGAATTATAAGAATTGTAAAAGTTATTGAGTGAATAAATGGAAATAGCTAAATAAATAGATTAAGAGAAAGCTAAATTTGATTAAAAAAAGATTGAAGAAAGTAAAGTATTTGAATAAAAGATTTTTAAATTAGAAAATTTAGAAACTTAATTAAGAATTTAGTTAACTACTTAAAATAAATATTAAAATGATTTTGAATCTGTTAAACAATAGTTGTAAGATTAATCTATTAATGATCTTTAAGAACGTAGTAAAAAACTTGATCATTATTATTAAGTATAAAGATAGAAGATATAAAATGATATGATTAATTAATCAGAACTTTTTAAATAAGCTGAGTCTTTTGCAAAAGAAAAACAGAAATTACTTCAAAGAGTTGAAATTTATGTTGAAAAAAGAAATAAAATACATTATGAAACTTAGGATTTAAAAGCATAAATAACAACATTAGGAGAAAAACTTATGTTAGATGAATAATAAAGAATGAAAAATAAAACAAAAAGAAGATAGAAAATAGTTTAACATTTATGTATTAAATGTTAAAAAAATAATAGAGAAGTAATTCATTTTCCTTGTTAACATTTTCTTTTTTGTACATAATGTATAATATAAGGAATGGTTGAAAAAAGATAATAATGTCCATTAGTTGCAATTGATTAATGTAGAGATTCTAGATATTTAGATAAGAAATTTAAGACTGTCAGATTCACAAAGAACGATTGATTGATAATATATAAAATGTAACAATTATTCTTTGATTTTCATACCTCTTTTATTACATCATAAACACATGAAATTTATTTTCATAAAAATATGGAATCTTAAATAATTAAATTATGTAATAAGGATTCTTGTAATAACAAAATGGATATTATGATGATGTCCCATAGAATCCCAATGAATAGAAGGAGTAATCAACAAGTGCTTTGGAATGGTTGGCCGTTATTGGATTGGTTTTATTAACATATATGGTCATCGTATTCCTTTGGATAGTGTGTAATGTGAATATTAATTTTAGGTATGGCTGGTATTCGTAATAATTTTGAAGCTACAGTCATCTGCTTTATGGTAATCTTTTTTTGCATTTACATCCCTGGAATAGGCTTTTTCTGGTGGAAAGGATTGTAAGTGAGGACCCAATTAATATAAGACTTCATTAACAGAAAATTATAAGAAAATCAAATGGAAATTGGAGGAAGAGTTTGATTAATTTAAATTCAATATAATAACTATGTCAATTCATGACGACCTTTTATTACCAACTCATTTTAAGAACCCAATTAATTGAAAATTTATTACAATCTCTTTTATGCTTTTCTTTCTTCCCAATTCCTATCAATTCTAATCAACTACATTCTAAATCAATTATACATCCAACAATATATTTATAGCAAACTCAAATTTCATATTATTCAATGCACTTTCACTAATCTTGAATCTCAAATTCAAATCATCAGGTTTCTTATCTAATTCTTTCAATTCTTATTTCATTATTTATGGTAATTCACTCCATTCCTTTATTAATTTATAAAATTCCATTATCTCTTTGTATAATTTATTCAAATCTTCATCTTTCTATTTTATATCAATCTCATTTAATAATTACTCAGCCATATTAAACTATTCTAATATAATATATCCCTTAGCCTAATATAATTTAAATTTATCATAATATTATTTCAATCTTTCATTTTCCAAACTTTTTCTACTTAATTATATTAATTCTTTTGCATTTTCTTAAAATGAATGCTGACTTAATTCCACTAAAATTTTATCCCCTATATCTTCTCCTTTGATTTCTCTCGATAAACGATCTATTGATAATATAAAATTATCTAAATTATCATTTTTCTAATATATATCTATAAATGAATTCTTATAAACTAAAGCTACAAAAGGAATTGATTAAATCTACAATTATTATTTTATTTAATCATTCTTATCAATATCAATATTAAGAACTGTACCTACATTCTCATAATTCTTTAAATAACCCATTAATTTTTTATTGAATTATTTACATTCTGATGACCATGTTGTATAACAATTTAAAAAGATCATTCTTTCTTCACTTAATTTCTCTATCTCCTATAAATCATTAATTTCCATTATAAATTTTGGAATTCCTCCAAATTAATAAGAAAATCGATTAATTACTCTTCTAAGCATTTTTTTTTTATGAAAAATTTTATTATTATTGATTTTACATTTAATATTAGCAAATAAATCTCTTTCAATTCTTCTTTGTAAATATCACTTTTTGCAACTTTTAAAAGTTTATCAATATTGGCTTATATCTACTAAATACAATATTCAATAATAAATTGATGATTCCTAAATTTACTAACTACATTTTAATTTAAAAGTAAAATAATTATGGAAAGATAGATACTAATTTTATACTAATTAGTTTATAAGAATAAGAAATGTAAAATAGAGGGAATAATAAATACAAATAGCTATAGATTAAATTTTCTTTGTAAGAAATATGATGAATAATTTAGGATAAATATATAAAAAAGAAATTAGATAAGAAAATAATTTTTTGCTATATTGATCGTTGTGAAACATTTCAATTAACTTTTAAATTGATGAATGACGTTTTTGAAAATATTTTACAAATATTTTATTAAAGATATGATAAGACAAAAAATATAATCAAATATCTAAATAAAGAGAGTACATAAGAAACTTTATAAATTTGATTTACTTTTACATAGACTTGAATTGAATACTATATATCAAATTTAAATTGATGAAGAGTTTGATCTCGACAAAGGAGAATATTCAATATGTAATAAAGACATTTGATATTAAATTGATATATAAACAATTTATTAGAGATGATATGTTAGATAAAATCTTAAATTAGGTAATTTAGATAGATATTGGTCTTAATAATATATTATAGAATGAGATATAATGGTGTTACTGTTATGAGAAAATGAAATTGATATAATTGTTGAAACAAATAAAGGATAATAATTGTGTATTATAGATAGAGCTTAGAAAAGTAAGAAGAATCCTTTATAAATAAGATGGTAAATGAAATCGAAAGTAAATTGAGTTTATGAAATGATGTAAAATATGATTAGTGTTTGAAATGATATAAATAAAAATATAATTAAAATTATCAATAATAATTATGTTTCCATGTCTTGAAAAAGTGTATTAGATGGTTCTGTAAACTCAACTCTAATTTCTAGATATTGATCCAATACTCTAAATCAAATTGCAAGATCCATATCGATTGATTTTGAAGAAAGAATACTTGCATATCTATAAGGAGGATGATCCATTTATTTCTTTTTCAATAAGTTTTCCAAATTTAATTAGATGGCATGTTAAAAATAAAAACTTAGTTGGTTTTACAATAAAAGAATTTGAATTTACAAGTCATTAAAGCAATTTACTAAAAGAATTAAAAAAAATCTTATCAGGAAGATTATTTTTCTCAAAAGTTCAAGACTTTTTTATTCCTTTAAAAACATTAGGAAAGGGAAGTTCTTCAAAAGTATTATTAGTGAGAGAAATGGATAATGGAGAATATTATGCAGCAAAATGTGTATAAAAAGAAGAAATGCAATTTTAAGAGATAGAGATAAATAATTAATTATAGCACTCTGCTTTTATAAAGGTAAAAGAAGTATATTAAGGAGAGACAAGTTATTATATAGTAATGGATTTATTATCAGGTAAAAATTTATAATCGTTTCTCGGAAATCATAAACCATTACCATTAGATTAAACTAAATAAATAATGCATGTATGATGATCAATAAATATTAGAGGCTTTATTAGAAGGAGTAGAATATATGCATTCTAAAAATATTATGCATAGAGACATAAAACCTGAAAATATAATTTTAGAAATGAGAGATGGACAAGTTAGACTTAAAATTGTAGATTTTGGTTTAGCTACTTATAGTACTTTGAGTATTATATTATAAATAATATTTAGAAAGATTTAAATATCCAAAATGTGGAACTCCAGGGTTTGTTGCTCCTGAAGTCATTAATTTATAAAATAGTAATCAAACTTATGATAAGGTTTGTGATATTTTCAGTTGTGGAGTAATCTTCTATAAATTGCTTACAGGAAGAGATGTATTTCCAGGATCTGGTTTTACTTATGTATTAGAACTTAATAAAAAATGTAATATTGATTTCTCTCATCTAACTCTTTAAAAATTACCTGTAAATTTGACAGTATGAATTTTTATTATTGAGGAATCTTGTTTAAAGGATGTTATCTAGAGATCCTAAATTAAGACCTACAGCTACAGAGTGTTTGAATCATGAATTCTTTAAGAACATTGAAAAATATAATACTTTACAAAAAAAATAAGGATTTTTATAGAGTAAACTACATACTGTAGAATTCAATTAGGATCAAGAAATTTAAGATTATTAAGGATCATTTATAACCACAGAAAAAATTTAGAATCAAAGTTAACCTAAATAAAAATAAAAGAATATGTAAAGATTTAATACATCCTAATTTGATAATATTATTTGAATATTCAAAATTAGCATTATGATTATTATAAAGAACAATGTTTTGGTTAATTTGATTCACTAGGAAAAAATACAGTTCGCGTATAATAACTTTTATCTTTTGTTTGTGTTTTACATTCACCTAACTGAATTCCACTACATAAAAGTAAATTTCTTAAAGGTTTGCATTTATGACGAAAGCTAGTCTAATTCGATAATATTGTAGGTTAGCTATTCTATTTATTGACTCTTTTAAGATAATTTCCAAATATTTTATTTTTGAAATCTGAGATTGATTTCAAATTTGGCGATTCAGTTTCACGAGATTTCAAATTGTTTTCAGTATCGCATTTTTATATGATTGAATCACATTCACTATAAATTGGAAATTAATAATTTGATCGTTTTGTTGATGACATCATTCTAGAAGAAGAATCAACATGTTCAATATCTTATTAACTAATTTTAGTAGTGAATATTTCTTGATTTTATTTATTTATTTTTCTCATTTGTTTTTTTAATGCTAAGATCTATTTAATAATAATATTTTACTTTATCAATCTTCTTATGTTTATCTTAAGGCAATTTAAATTAATTGTTAATTAATTGAATGAATCTATCATGATATCCAAAGTTATATAAATTTAATTCCCTCATCTAATCATCATATTTCTCTAATTTCGACATGATCTCATCTCCTTTACGAATCTACTCTATTAAAGTATCTCTATTCGGTTCTTTGGTTTCGTATAACTCTAATTCTGTTAACTCAAATTACTCTCGCCGTAATCCCAACCATTGATGCAGAGATCTTTATTGGGTTTAAACCTCAAAATATTATGTTTCTTAGGTCCCATTAGAATTATTGAAGCATCAATTTTGCAATTCTTTCTAGCCAAAAATTTCTAATTGAAATTACAATAATTCATTACTAAAGATTGGTTTCTTGTACAACCATTTTTCTAAAGACTATAATGAGCACGAACTGTATTGATTCCAGAATTCTCAAATGTAGTTTTTCCGAATCTTTTACATGGAGGATAAATGAAGTCTTTACTCATTTAATTAATAAAAATAACTCATTTCTATTGTTTTGCATCTTCAATTAAATTATTTCTTATTTTATAATACTCTACATATTCTTTTATACATTCTTCTTCATTATTTAAAATACCTATTACTATTGAAGCTATATACACACTTCTTAAAACTGTTTTTAAAAATATCCATAATTATATAATAAAATTAAAACTCATTGTTATTTACTAATTTCTCGCAAGTACTTTCTTAGTCTTTTCTAAAATAATTATAAAATTATATTTATATTACATCTTCCAAACTTCTATCAAGTTTTGTTTATTTTATTTATCCTACAGTAATATTCTCTCTTTCTTTCTTATATTCTTCTAAATCATTAACATAAAATTGATAAACTTTATCAAAAACTCTGTCTATATTTGCTTAACTTACATAACTTCCAAATAAATGAAATACACTCATTGATAATGCACCTTTTTTCCATATTGAAATTGGCAATAACATAAATAAACTTCCCATTAAAGCACCCCAACAATAAGCATTAATTCCTATTCTATTTCTACAATCTGCTAATTAAGCAACTAACATCATTCTATTTTACAATAGTAATAACTCATTTAAATTCATCTCTTTATTACTCTTTCTCATTTCTTTACTCACATATTCAGCGATTACATTGTTTTTTTCAAATACATATTTTATTACATTTTATTTATGTTTAAAACTAAATTCATATTGTGATATATATGTTCCACCAAAAATGTTCGAAAGAAATTATTTACTTTGATTTACTGCACTTGCATAAAATGAATACATTTATCCTGTCTCCTCATCATAACTAGAAGGCTTATGCTTAATCAATTAAGGCCCATCTATTGGTTTCTTTTCCTCTTATTACTGGGACAATTCCATTCTTATCCTTTGACTTAATGTCATTGGTTTAGTTTTATCTTTATCTTCCATAAAATTCTTTATCAAATTAATTTAATACTATTTATTTATTCATATATTTTTATATTAAAGGTATGAAACATTAACTATTTTCCTTAAATTATAAACCTATTCTAAACTTAAATACTTATTTTTACTTTTAAATGTAACAATCCTTATAGTAACTTATAATAATCAATTAGAAATTTATCAATAGAAGTTTTGCTTTTTTTTGCTTCTGATACTAAACTATCAACATATTCAATTTCTAAAGTTTTAATCTTTTATCATTTTAAATTAGAACTACAAATCCTAGTCAGGAATGCAACACTCAAAGATATTTAAATTCCAATTCTATAAAATAAAATAGAAATTCAGTAGAATATTATTATCACTTATGTATATAAATTTCTGTTACAGAAAAAGTAAATCTACAAAGTTTATAAATCATAATTATTATCATGTAAATCCAAATGAAAGAACTAAAAATGATAATAAATTTATGTTTATCTCAACTTCATACAATAGATAAGCAGTTTTCTTTTTTTTCGAAAAAAGTTTAATTAGCTTTTGAAGTCTTTAGATAATTATAAAAATAAAATACATTCTTTTGAGAACTTAATTTTTAGTTATTTTGATATTTCAAAATTGGTTTCAGTTTTTGAAGTACATAAATAAAACTGTTTTATATTTCACTTTATCCCCAGCTATTAGTAAAATTAGATTGAAAGCACTTTAGAAAGGAAATCTGATTGTGTAGAATTCCAAATTTTAAGTATTAATTTCTGGTTTTATTCTAAATAATAAAGTTCAGAATTATGAAATTAGTCATAACCTTAGTAAATAATTTATTTAAAATAATTAAATAAAGAATATAAGATGGACATTTTGTTAATAGAATTAAGTCATTGATTGGACCTATTTTAAATATATCCATAAATATTTATAATTTGAACTTTATTATTTGTATATTATTAAATTTTCGAAGCAGATGTAACCCAATATACAATCAATAAAAAATTATAATAATTGATGATTTAAGTTTTCTTAATATTGAAAGATTAACTTCTAGATCAAGACAACATTTTGACCACAAATCTTGAGAACAAATATTATCAGAAATATAATAATAACCTTAATCTTGGTAAGAATCTCTAGAATTATTCTAAAAATGAGAATATTTTTAATAATAATTGAAAATATTTCTTGGTATCTCCATAGTTTTCACATTGATAATTTGTTTATTCCATCAAAATAGATGATAAAATAAAAATACTATTTATAATTTAAAAAACATAGATAAATTTCCATTTATAAATGAAATTTATTAAGAAATGTTTGAAATATCAAAGGCTTCAATTATAATATTTAATTGGACATACATAGGTAGCTTTAGAACAAGAAAACAAAATATTTTGGACAGTATGTGAATTCATTAGAATGTTTTAAACAATTGCCTTAGTTTTGCTATATAAACATATTATTCGAATGCTTAATACGAATATTGAAATAGATAAACCATCTTCAAGTTTGGAAAAGGTTGAACTTTTGTGTAGAATTACTATGCCTACTATTTTGATATAAGAATATTTGTCCTTAGAACAAATTATATATTTCTAATTAATATTTTTGGCATCTCTCTTCTTAATGTTACTTATTAATGTTTTAGCATTAAGATTAGAGTATATACATTTTAAATAAATAAAATTTTAGAATAAGAAGGCTTTTAATAAAGTAGATGGAAACAGTTTTTGTAATTTATTAAATTATTTTTTAGAATCACTCAATCTTTTGAATAGTACATATAATAATAATGATTTTACAGAACATTTTTTATTAAAATAATTAATGGGTACAGAAAATGGTTCACTTATAGAATTACAATTATAAAGAACATCAATATTAACAAATTATTTTACACATGTAATGTTCTTACCATAAATATATTGGGTGGCTATAATCTTTTATAGAATTCATAATCAAACTAATTATTCGATAGGATTATTTATTTTAAACTTTACATTAAATTCAATCTAATTACTTTTTTTAATAATCTTAGAAACATTATCTTTATACATGTAACAATCCTATAGACTTAAAGATACTAATTATTTGAGATTAAGAATCACTACATCATTTAAAATAGGGTAGATGTTAAGAATAGTTCCAACTCTCATTTATTTTAGTGTCCTTTACATTGTAGACCCACTTACAATATATAATAATTAAGTATTTGAGTAGGTTTTATCATGCTTTGGAATTCTAAATTTAATATTTGATTTACAAGATTAATCTTTCAATATCCCATTTGTTTAACCTTACAAAATATATGTATTTCACTTAGCATTTTCTTTGGCTTTTTGTTTATCATCTCTTAAATTAATATCATTACATATAAATGACATTATAACTTTATCTATGATGATATCTCCTTGTATGTGTAAAATGCTTAACTAATTAACTGATTTCAATTTTAAGAAAATTATTATTCATACACTTCATCCTGAGAATATTCCACCAAAATAAAAAATATTTAAACGTAATTCTTAATCAATAACTAAATCACTTATTGTAAATGATGATGTTCATCAAATTGAAAGATAAATCTGTTTATAAAAATTAGAATAAGTGGGTATGATTAGACTCACTAATTATAAATATTTTCTATAATTCTTAAGACTATATGAATTACTTTCTATTAATTAATAACATGTCTATTAAACAACTGATGTTTTTTAACCAAATAAATCTAAATTTCTAATGCAATGCTTTATTTTGATCAAGACTCACATAGAACTTTGTAATAATCTTTATTGCTTTTGCAGAGGATTTTGGGGAGAAAAAAAATAGATTCTCTCTTTAAATATTCATAAATAAGATATGAAAATATTTTCAGATTATACTTGCAAAGGCTTGACACTTTCTATTGACATTATAGATAGATATATTAGATATTATATTAAACTAATTTTGAATATAGAAATTTATGTCACTTAACCTAATTTAACATATATAGCATAGCTTATTAGTTTTCTTAGTAAATCTGAAGAATCCTTATAAACTTGGTTATAAGTTATGGAGGTTAAATTATAATTATAAGAGTAAAAAAAACCATTTGATGAAATTACTACTAATTTAATATTTAGTTATACAAAATATTAAACTCTATTTAGAGCTTAATTTTAATTGAATGATAAAACTATTAAAAAGACTATTTTATATGGGGATTACAGAAACACAGAATTGTAAAGAATTATATTTATCCATAAATTAATGTAAAGTTTGGATGTAAAAAAGAATTACTTAATAAAATTGGGCAATGATAAATAATCATATGAAGAAGTCTAATAACTTTATATAGAATCTAATTCTTACTTCTTCTAACTTTAAACAGAATTACAAGAATTTCACGATCAATCACAATGTAGAACATCTTGTTTGCTTATGATGCTGTATTATATAAATGTTCGTTGTGATTACATACAATTTTAAAAATATAAAAATGTATATCTATATTCTTAATTATTATAGTATCTCAGAACCAAAGATATCAAATTTTTTGAATTTCCGATTCTCTCAAATACTTCTCAAAATATTTGCTATCTGAAAGTGAATTTATCAAGATTTTCAAAACATAAATGTAGAGGTGAGATTTTAGGAAGATCAGAAAATTCGTATTAATTTTTTGGTTTTGAATCTAAAGAGGATTTTCTTCGTTAAAGAGTAACTGTTCATGAATTGGTTCCACCATTAATATCATCTGTTCATAATACTATAATTGAATTATTTTTAATGAGTAATAGACCAAATGTTCTCAGAAAAGAACGTTATCTTATAGCAGAAAAGACGAATTAAGAAATTGTCTTTATTGAGATGTTTATTGATTTATGTTTTGTAATTACAGGTACTGAATTTCCAGTATATTGTTTCATGGAAGAAATTAAACCTGTAGGAATATTTGAAAATATCAGAGGACATATAATTATAGATGATTATGAAATAATTTAAGGAATAAGTTCTTTAGCTTATTAATCATTGTTTTTAGATTCACCTAGTGAGATTTGTAATAGAGAAATTTCTGAATTTTATGGAGATTTCACTGAAATTGCTTAAAGACTTAATTAGATGATGGATGGCAAAACTAGTAGATATAGAACTATGAAATAATCAGGGGTTAGTCAATAAGGAATACAATAAAGAGATACTAATTCTAATTCTGTTTATAATCATTATAAATTGAAATTAGAAGATCAATTATTTATTATGAGTGAATAGGACAAATTCTTTATAGATATGACAATAACTTTGGCTTATGGAATCATTAATGGCAAAATTTCAAAAGTATTGTTATTTAATTATATTATATTTTAAATAGTACTATGTGATTGAGTTTAATAAGGTTTAACAAATTGATATTACTGAAAATAATGATTCAAATTAAACCAACAGTTTGAAAAGCAGTGTAAAGTAATCTTAATACACTTAAAGAACGAATACTCTATATGATATCTAAGACAATGAAAGAAGAAGTAGTGAAGAATCTATTAAATTATAGAAATATTCATTTCCATAAATTAATGAATAATGTATTACATCAACTTAAAATTAAATGTAAATTTTGAAATAAGAATAATCAGATGATTAAATCAAAATCAATAAAAAATAGGAAAGAAAATCTAAATTTTTTAATTTCAAAGGAGTTGCAAGAAAATCTGATTCTAATGAACAATTTAATAATGATCATAATTCTTAATCTTCAAATCATAAAGCTTCAGTTACATCATAAAGGTTATAATTAGATCTTCAAAAGTTTCTTTCAAAAGGAATGTAATATTAAGAATTCTCAAACTCTGATCATGAGAAAATCATTTTCGTAATACATTTAATAAATGCTTTGATTTTAGGAATTATTTTAGTTTTTATGTTACTCTACTAATTATAGTTTAAAAATTAAGCAGAGTCAATAATTCCAACTATTTAAATTTTACAAGCTTTTATAACCACAGATTATACTGACAACATCTAATTATCTTTAATGTATAATAAATTACAAGATCTAGATTCAAAAGATTATTATTATCAACATTTAGAAAGATTATTGATAAAAGATGCAAAAAACTATTTAGTTTACCAAAAGAATTATTTTTTAAACTAGAAGATATAAGATGTCTTTAGTTAAACAGAAGTAAAACATGAGAATGATTAAGATACAAGTGCTTGGAATGCAGCTTTTTACATCTTATATAATTAATTAGACTTCATATTAGATCAGAATTAAAATCAAACTAATTAATTACCCACATATGTAAATCTACTTATAGATTTTCCATATCATAAAATAACATATGAAAACATCAATTAATAATTTAGTGAATACGTGAATTTATCTATCGATAATTTTTCTGAATCCTAAAAAGCTCTTATAATAATTCTAATTGTTTTAAGTATTATTATTTCAATTATTTCTTTGATCGTATATTACAATTATTTTAAATACATGAAAAAGATAACCAGATGTAGTGAGTAAGTACAATTAGATGCTTTAGAATCAGAGATAAATATATGTGGCACAATATTAACAAATAAATAAGTATTATTTATTATATAATATAGAAATTATGTCTTTATGACTATAAAATGGATTTTACAGCAAATTTTGATTTTCGTTAACATCAAGAAGGACAAACGCATTTTTCTAGTTATAAAGTAATTAATACCTCACAAAATAATACAAAGCGTTCTCTTAATTTTACTGATGGTATATCCTTAAAAAGAGCCTTAAGTTTTTTATATCCTTTATTTTGTCTGTCAATTGCATTAGTTTTTTTAGGATTGACATATATAGATACAGAAAATATTATGTCTGGTTTGCAAAAGGATATAATAATCTATAATTAAGGCATTTAATTTTAAGAATAATTTTCTTTATTATGCATCAGTAGTATATTATAAGAGAATAAAGATTATATTTTGAAAAAGAACTAAGTAACAGAAATCTAATTACAATAATATTATGATTTTATATTGCCTTCAATTATTTAGGTTTAAAAATTAAGTAAAACTATTCGACTTCCAACAGGTATTAGAAATGCTGAAGTAATTGGATCCTTATCTATTAATATATGCAATATCTTTTAAGATTAAGTAGATGTTTAATTATGTGAGAAATTAGATTAAGGGTTATTGTAGAATGGAGTCTTAGAATCTACATAATTTTATATTGTACAATATAGAAACAACTTTGAGCGTAATTATTAAGACAGCTTAGATTTTAGTACATCTGAAGATATCGTTTCAATAAATTTCATTATTAAAGGAATTACTAATTATATAAACAAATCTAAAATTAATTTAGAAACTTATATAGAGGATTAAATTAATATTAAAATGAATTGGTTTATCTTCATTTTTACACTCACAATTATTTTGTAAATAATTCTATCATTTTTAATTTCATCAAATTTAAAATTGAGATTACATTGTTTAAAACAAATGGTTTATTTATTACCTAGAGATACTTTATATACAAATGATAGTTTTATGAAAACACTTAATTATGTGCAAAGACATCAAAATGATTTATGTTAATGATTTTATTTTATAATTTTATAATTTTAATAAAATTTAAATTTAATTCATTTATAGATAAATATACTTAGAGATAACTTTTGAAACTAACAATAATTTAATAATATATTATAAATTCAATTAAAAAATGTTTTAATAGATAATTCAGTGCTGTAAGTCTTTGGTTGTCTTCTCTCATAATGATTCATCAGAAAGATTTTCTTAGGTTTTGTTCTAAAGAGATTATGTTTAGAGGAAATCATCACTCCTGATTATGAAGGTGTCTTAATATCTCTTTATTATTCTTCGAGAATCTCATATTATTGAAGTTTAGTATTAAATAGCATTTATTCAGTTATATTTTAATATTTGATTTAATGAGAAATGCTGCTTTAACGATCAAGTCTTGTACCTTGTGATGTTTTTGAGAATGGTTATTAAAATTAAGTTATACAATTTTAAGATTCTTTATCAAAAGTAATACAACTAAATCTACGTTACTCATTTCTTCTAAATTCCTTTCGAATTAATTAAGATTAAACTTCTAAATGATTTAAAGTATCTGCTAAACTTTATTCTTTTTCCATTTAAGCTCTAAATAAATAATTTTTTTTACTTTTTTTGTTCACTTTTTTATACTCTTCTTATAGCTTTAAGTTTTTTCTAAGTTGATTAAATAAAATCCATTTAACTTAATTGATATTTAGATTTTTAAATAGAATATTATTGTGCTTTATCTTTAAACTTAAAATCATTTTAAGTTTAAGTATCATTTGGTATAATAATTTCTAATTATGGTTAAGATTAATTTTTTGAGAAATTTTTGAGATCTTATGAAAATTCTTCAGAATAGCTAAATTTTTTATGTGTTTTTAAATTTTTATTAATTCTTTAATTATTAATTTAATGCCTTTATTCATAATGTTTTCTTACTAATCTTTCACATTATGGATAATTAGTAAATAATTTTGCCAAATCTTGATAAGTGATTAAATAAGCTGAAAACTCTTGTGATGTAACTTAAGCAGTATGAATTCTTTAAGAATCTTCAAAATATTCTACTTCACCAAAATATTAATCTTATCCTAATTCACATAATGGGAATAATATATTATTTTATTTTTTAAATAATTTAACAGTTCCTTTTTTGATAACAATTAAAGATTAAGGTACATCTCCAATTCTATAAATATAATGACTAATAGGATAATGAACCTTTTCAAATTTATATTAACTTTCTACTGCTTCTTTATATGTTAAATTTTTTAAAATAGTAATACTAAGTATTTTAGTTTTTTTTCTTATTTTTTCTTTAATACATATAAATAATACCTAACTGACTATCTTCTAATATTGTTTTATAATCTTTTTTAGTTAATACAGCTACACACAAAGGAGTTCTTGAAATAACAGTACCAGTTCTTGCAGATTCAATCATCAATCCTCTTTCTCCAAACATTTAACCTTCATGTATTTAAGCTACTAATTCATGTAAAAATACTCCTCCATTAAAGAGAAAATCTTTATCAGGAATCTTTTCAAGACCAAAGGTTAACTTTTTTATTAAATCTGTATCTTTATGTTTAATATCTTAACGATCAGTTTAAACTACTAATCGTGGTTTATATGATTTAGATATCCTATATATTTTTATTATTTATTTCTATACTGTTCAAAATCATCTTCTTTTATATTAATAGTCAATCTTCTAATTAATTGTTTTGGTGCCTAATACATTTTTATTATATTGCTAGGATGTTTTTCTAACTCTTCTTCATTTAGATTTTTCAGTTGGTTTTCTTCTAACTCTATCTCTGCTTGGATTCTCTCTTATTTCTTACGTACATAAACATTCACACTTCCATCTATAATGATGAAGAATTCATTCGATTAGTCACCTTTTTGCATACATCACTCATTACAACCTTCTTTAAATATAATATCATTCTTGTTGTAATGTTTATAGTTCATCATTTTACAACATCTCTGGTGTTATTTTGGATCTCTAAGACTCTTAAAAAAATCAAATTCTTTTGTTGCTTATTCTAAAACTGCCACTTCAAAATCCATTCTATCATCAGGAGCAATTTTCAATATATATTATGCTACTTTTAATTATGTTGTTGCATCTTTCACTTTTAAAAATGATTAACATAATTTTTTATAAGTGTTTTAATTTCCATTTCTTACACTTATAAATTCATCTGGTGAAATAACTACATCCATTTTTTAAATAAATAAAAATTAATATAATATATTATAATTCTTATGGATTTGTAAGAACAATTGAATTAATAAGATCAAGCTATCAAATTATTAGAATAAGAAAGAGATACCTTTAACCAAAAAAAAAATGAATTATTAATTAATCAAATTGCATTAGAAAAAGAAATTACTAGATAAAAAACTAATATTGCTAATTATGAAGCAGAACTTATTGAATTACATAAAGAAAGAAAATCTTGTGATGAATAAATTCAAAAGTCTTAAATTTAAATTGAATCTTATGAATAATAAATTACTTTACTTAATGAAGATCTTAAAAAAGTCACCATCTAATGTGATGAAGCTTTACAATAACTTTAATAAATACAAACTAGACATGAAATTGAAATTAAAACTCTTGCTGATTAATTAATCAATGAAAAAGAAAAAAATAACGAACTCAATGAAGAAAATCTACTTATTATTAATGGTAAATAAAATGAAATTTATTTACTAAATTAAAAACTCAATAAACTTGAAGAACTAATTCAAACTAATCTTAATAATTATTAAATTGAAATTTTATAGCTAAACAAACAAATAGAATAAACTAAAATAGATAAAGATGATGAATGGGAATAAACTGTCAAAATTTTGTAAAATGAAATTGATGATTTAAATAAAACATTATATGAAAATCAATAAAATAACAAATTTCAATCAAAAATTGATGAATTAAATTAATATATCATTGAATAAGAACAATAATACATGATCTAATTTGAAATACAAGAAGATAAAATGAAAAAATCACAACATGAAATTTAAATTCTAAATGTTCAAATTAATGAATTATAAAAAATAATTGAAAATTAAAATCGAGAATTATCTACACTTAAGTAAGAATTAATTCAAAAAAAAGAAAATTGTTAAACACTGACAAATTAATTAGATAATCTATAATAATAATTATAATAGTAATAATAGTAATAGTAATCATAATAATAGTAATAATAATAACAATAGTAATAATAATAGTAATAGTAATAATAGTAATAATAATAATAGTAATAGTAATAGTAATAGCAATAATAGTAATAATAATAATAGTAATAGTAATAGTTATAGTAATAGTAATAATAACAATAATAATAATAATAGTAATAATAATAGTAATAGCTATATTAGTAAAAATAGTCATAATAGCAAAATTAAAATAATAGTAATCAGCAAGGTTTAAATAATAATACTGCCGAAAAAATGGTTACAATCCCAATGAAAGAATTATTAACTTGGGATAAAAGATCAAAAGATTAATAAAATCAAATTAAGGCATTATCAAATGAAATTTAATTGTTGAAAAACTAACAAGAAGAATAATAGAAAATATAGAATTCTAAATAAATGAAATGTAATCTTTCATTAGAAGGAATGGTTTAAAAATGTACAGCTTTATAATAGATTATTGATGAAACAAGTTAGCAAAATTCGAAAATAACATAAGAATTAAATACTTATAAATTATAAAATCAATAACTTAAAGATGACTTCCACAATATTTAACAAGAATTAAAAGAATTAAGAATGATAGCCTAAGATAAATTTAAATTAGAAGGAGAGCTAGCCTCTGCACATATTTAAATTTCTGAAAACAAGGACTTAATGAAAGTAATATAAATATATGCTAAAAAAATAGAAATTAAATGAACTTTCATCCAACTATGAAAATAAGGAGGAGTAATTAGAAACAACAAAAAAAAATTTACGATAAAGTGAACAACTTAGAAACAATGTATATCCCGTCATTTATTATAGTTACAAACAAAGTTAGATGAAACTACTATATTATATTAGAAGGCAACATAAGAATTAACAAATACAAAATAAGAAAGAGATTAAAAAATTATTAAATTGAAGGATTTAGAAAAGCTTTTATAATCATAATTCTAAGAATATTCACATCTGGAATAAAAATATAAAGAATCATAAATAAATTGTGAAGATTGGTAAAGCTAAGTTAAAATATTGGAAAAGAAATATTCTCATGTAATTTAATTAATCATTAAATTAGGAAACAGAATAATTAAAAGATGATTGTCATTAAAAATAAAAATAAATATAAGTTCTTGAAGAATCAAATAAATGTTTAATTAATGACCTATAGGCTTTAAGAGAATTATAATTCAGATAAAAGGCACCTGAAACTCCTCTAACAAAAAAAGAAAGAATTGTAGTTGAATCTCTTTCATTAAGAGTACAAGAACTTGAATTGGAGAATAGAAAAATAAGAGATAGTTTATGTGCTAGAATTGTTTAATTATAGAATGAATTAGAATAGAAAACTAATTACATAAATCAAATTGCCCATTAAATTTCGAAATAAGTTCCATCTTTATAAGAATAAGATCTTTTAGATAAAGAGGATATAAAAATGATATAACAGATAAAAAAAAAACTTAATATTTAAGAAATATTAGAAGTATCAAATATTCTAAAAAATAGAAAACCCTTATAGAAAATTTGTAGCTTAGGGATTAGATAAAGCTTTTAGGAACAGAAATCAATAAAAGAAAATGACTCTTATTATTTTTTATATATTATATGGACAATTTAAAATTTGCAAGGGAAATTTTATATTTCTTCTTTTTAAATTAATTAGATCTCTATAAAAAGTAAAGATTTAAATATTTAATCATTTTTAGATATTGATTATTGTGAATTCTGCTTACTTTTTAAAATAGGGATAAGAATTCCCTGATTTTTCTAAAATCAAAATTAATTATTTAATTTTATTACTCTACTTGTTTAAATAAGAGAATATCGCTAACATTTTTTTTATAAAAGCTCATTCAAACTTAAATTATAATCTCCTTTAATCAAATTGTGCAATAATGGAATATGCTCATTTTATAATCAATAATGTATTAAAAATATCAAATTTTTTTCTCCTAAACTGATTTCTTTAATTAAAAATAATTGGAATTAAATATGAGGAATAAAAATTTATAATTAAAAGCCTTAAGTATCAATTTTAGTAAATCAATATTTAGTAATTAATTTAGATTTAAATTGATGATTATTTTTCAATTAATTTTAATATTTTTAATGAGAATAATAATATTTATAATTTTTATTAAATAAATTTAATTGTTTTGAACTGAAAATGAAGTGCTTTAAGAAATTTATTTTAGATAATATTAACAATATTATATATAATTTGCATAATCTTTAAGCTTATGTACTTCTATACCCTTGAATTTGAAGATTTAGCTATTGAGGGTATTAAATAATTCAAAAATAGATTTAAGAGAGAAAGAGGAGATATAACTTAATGAAGAGCGAATTTATGATAATTATTAAAGTTCTTACTTAGAACTTAAATAGGATTAAACTTTTCATGGATATCTACAAGAGGAACCAGTCTTGATCTTTAATTGTATTGAAGAGGTGCCAAAAAGGAAACCAAATTCAATCGTTAAAAAATCAAAAAAAATAAAAAAATCTGACTCAGAAACAGATGTATTGTCTTAGCAAAAATCTAAAAAACTTAAATTATCAAATGATGTAGCTCAACTTTAATAATGTTAAACGTTAAAGACCATTATTTCCTCAATGGAAGCTATATTGCAATAAACAAAAAGACGTATTCTTGATTAGTATCTATAAAATCAAAAACAAGAATGATTAAAAAATTGAATTATTTATTCATAGAGTTAACAGTTAATATTATATATTTATATACTAATTGATTTTTTTCATCATTTGTTTCCTAAAATTTAATCCTTGATTTTCTTTTCTTCTTAATGATTATTGTTAAAAAGCTAATAATCAGATGAGTTATTGTTTCAGATACTTCTTGGTAATTAGTAAAAAATTTAACTGGACGGATATTTATAATTTATTATAATAAATTTTATTGCATCATTTAAAATTTATCATAAAAAATAATTATTCAAATATTTTCAATTAAATCAAGCTTTGAATAGTTTGTACAGAAATGTAATAATAAAGTAATAATTTAGTGTTGTTTATGAATACAAATTAATTTTATTGTAATGAGTTCATTTTGTTAAATTATGTAGGTATAATTGAGTTTAAAGTTTAATAAAAATATCAATTTTCATAGTTATGAATTTATTTTAGGTTAGAGAGAGTAATGTGAAGTATTTTTTTTGAAAATATAATATATTATTTAAAGAAGTAAATTTATCAAAAATAAATGACAGAGGATATTGTAAATTTGTTTGTTACAAAATATGGGTCTGGAGATACACAAAAGAATTAATTGCTATAGTAATCAATATAAAAGGTCTTACTAAAGGAAGGAGTAAATTCTTAAGTCTTGACGAAATTAAGAACGAAACTTGGTTAATCTCAATCGTAATAACAATTTTTTCCAACTTTGGGAAATGGAGAATCTGCATTACCTTCTAAGACTCCAATAGATTCACAGAGAAAAACATTTGAACCATTCACAAAACGTGTTCAGCCATTCTAAAGGACTTATGTATAATCATATGATTAAGTGTCTGAAACATCTGAGAAAGCACCGAAATCTGTTTATTATGTAGATAGATAAGATGTATAATGTTTAAATAATTAAAGGAGGATGAATGGGCTGCTCTTATGAAATTTGATGCGTAACTGTACTAGAAGGAATAAGAGAGAAAGAAAGAATTAATATAATAAAAGAAAGCTTAAATGAAGAAGGAATTAGATATGCAGTTGAAAATAAAATAAGATAGAAAATAAAGGGAAAAGGATTTAGAAGAAAAATATAATCATTTTCAAAGCGAATTATTGTAAAAGAAAAATGAATAAGAATTAGAAAAATAAGCATCAGTAAAAAATAAATTATGGTAATTGTAATCAGAAAGGGATGTTTAATTAAATAATAAAAAAAAGAAATAACATAGTGAAGATAGAGAATTACGTAATTATAAAAAGGAAATAAGTTAAAGATATCAAGAGGAACTATAGAAATAAATTGATGAAGAAAATAGAATTAAATTAATGAAGAGAGAATATATGTTTAAAGTTATGAAATAATCAGAAACAGATAAAATGGTGATTTTATAAAAATAGAAAGAATAAGAGAAATTAGAGTAGGCTAATTGTGAGAAGTAAAGAAATTAAATTTAATTAAAATTAGATATGGAGAATTACTTGATTAAATAGAATAAAGAAGAATGGAAGAAAATAGAAAAAAGAAAGAAAAGGTTGATAAAAATAATGCCTGGAGTGAATCATAATTATTAAGATATAAATTAGAAAAAGAGGATGATGATAAATTGTAATATTGGAAAACAATAGAAGAGTAGAAGTTTTTAGAGGAGGAGCAAAAAAAGAAAAATAGAGTTAATGAACTTAAATAAAGGACAATTTAATCATTGGAATAATCAATAAAACTTAAATAAATAAAAAAATTATAAGAAAAAGAGTTGGATAATCTTTAAGGTAAAATATGGAAGTAAGATACAGAAAGATTCTTTTAAGAAGAATAAGATAAATTAGATTAAATAAAAAAAGTTAAAATAGAACACAAAAAAATACTCTAAAAATAAATGCAAGATAAAATTAAACCTGAAAGGGGAGAAAAAATGAGTATTCCTGAACTATTATAGAATAAAGCAATTTTAAAAACTATTAAAGAGAAAGATATTTATGATTTAGAAAAAACAGTTGTTTGATTTAAAGATTAAATTAGTTTTATATTAATATAGTAAATCTATAATTGTGAGAAGTATTTTAATATAATGAATAAAATCTAAATAAAGAATATAAATAGTAAAATTATTGATATTTTATATTAATATTTTCAATCTTTTATGCTTTCAACATAAGTTTTTAATTCTTTCGCTTAAAGATAAAGTAATGGGATAATAAAGTTATTGGCATATGGAGTTTTCTTTGGAGGAGCATATGGTTGTGCATGGCATTAATGGAAGGGTGCTTAATAAAAATAATTATATGAGAAGGTAGAGAATGAGATAACAGAATGGAAACCTGTAACAATAAATGGATTGAATGCTTCTAGATATCCATGGGCTAGTAATATAAGATAATGGGAATATAGATTAGTGAAATTATATGGATATTTCAGAGTATGAAATTGAATAGTGATAATATAATAGGATGAAAGATTTTTTGTAAGAAGAGAAAGAGAGGGAAGAGATGGTTTTTTAGTATTTGCACCATTTGTAACAGCCTTATAATTTAATGACACAGAATAAGATCCAGAATAAACAACTAAATCATAAGTAATGGTAAATTTAGGTTGGGTACCTAAAGATAATATAAGTGATATATAAATGGGATAAGAACCTATAGGAACAACAGTAATTAAATTAAATAATAATTTAGACATATGAAAATGTTCCACATAATGAAGATGATGATTAATTAACAGGATTCAATAGAAATGTATTAAATATGGAAGAAGATTATTAAATGCCATTTGTTGAATTTGTTGGTATGGTAAGAAGAGGAGAAGAAGAAGATGTTTTAAAAGGACGTAGAAATTGGCCAAGAGAAGGAGTATATAATTATATTGATTTGTGGTTCATGTCAAGATTATATAGATCATTCAATTTGGTATGATTTATCTAATATAATTATATAGACAGATTGTTCATCTGCATATATTGAAAGATTAGTATAAGAATATGATGAAGAATCAGCTAATTTATATCCTATTCCTGCTACTAAAGACAACTTTGATAAACCTTTGCCTACTCCATAAACACATTAAGCATATTCATTATTTTTTGGTCTATCTTCAATTATGTCTTTAGCCTTATTAGCTATAAGAAGATGATTTATTAAATATAGTATATAAAACAAAATATATCACCCTAAAACATATTAATTTAAATTTAATTAATTAACTACTATTTTATGCCTCATTATCCTGAAGAGATTGAATATTCTGATAAATATCAAGATGATTTCTATGAATATAGACATGTCATTTTACCTAAACACATATTCAAAAAATTAACTAAAGGTGTTATATCATATTAACAAATTAGGTAAATTACTTAGTGAAATGGAATGGAGAGGTTTAGGAGTATAATAATCTAGAGGATGGATTCATTATGAATGTCATAGACCAGAACCACATATATTATTATTTAGAAGACCTAAAGGAACCGATCCAAATACTGGATTACCTCCTTAAGGATTTGCTGCACCTTATTGATTAGTTTTATTCATTTCATTACAAAACCTCAAAAATTAATATATTGTAATTCTTCTCTCTAATTTTTAAACATTAAATTGTCATTAATTATTCATACTTCTATTTTTATATAAAATCTTATCAAACAATATCACTTTATTTAATTCTTTAATTTTATTTTATATTATTATATAATCTTCTTGTACCATTCAATTTTTATTATAAAATGATATTTTTTATTTATTTTATATACTTTTTCACTCTACTATCATTAAAATTAAACATATGAAAAGAGAATTAAAATTGAAAAATATCAATTATTTTATAAAATTTAATACAAATATTATTAATTATTATTAACTCAAATAATTTTCCCACTCATCAATTAAGTTGTTAAACCACTTTTTCTTTAATATTAAGGAGACATACTGCTATAATTCTTGAATCCAGCTTTTTAGCTGTTATTTTAAATGAAAAAGTCTAAGTAAGGATTTGGATCTTATTCATTTAATTGAAATATAAATTAGTTTAAGTCTTCATATACTTAAAATAATATTTTAGTTTTTGTTGTAGCATTTCTAAAGGAAAGCGGATCAGGAACATGTTTTAATTTTTTATCTTAAAATTCTATTTGATTATTAGGACCAATTTAAGAGATTAAATACTAGGCTAATGGAAAACCCAAAGTACTAAAGGGTTCTGTACTTCCATCCAAATAAACTCCTATTTTCTATTGTTATTGTTATAAATTTTAATCGAGTTCAAGATATTGCATCTAACTTTAAGTTACTTTATTAGATGTAACACTGATTTTATGAAATTGATCACTTAAATTTTAGATGTTTTCATAATAATGGTTTACTCCCCAGTTTCTTTTTTTATGATCTGTAAATGTTACCGCTCTCTTTAAAGCTTCTTGAATTAAGATTGGAATATTTAAAAGTTGATGTTTCATTATAATTTATAAACATGCTGGGTTTGAATGAATTCTTTTAAATTTAATTTAAATTGGAAAACCTAATGGATGTATTTCATATAGCTATTATTCATCATTTGTATTTATTGCTAGCATTAATCTTATAAATTCTGAGATACTCAATATAATTGAAATCATTTTTGATCTATCAGTTTTTAAACTGATATCAAATAATAATTATTTGTTCGAAAATTTTAAATCATTTTTTAATTAATTGATTAGATCTACTAAATGAAACTAGTTGATATTATATTTTAATTTATTATAGATTATTTTAGTGATATTTAAAATGTTTAAACTTTAATTAAATAGTATGTAACTGTTACTAATTTAATTATTAATATGACTAAGTTATTGTGAATTTGCTGATTATTTAAAGTATTTTAAAAGATTGATTTGATCTTTAATATAATTTAAACACATTTTACTATGATTAACAAGTTATTAATCTCTCCATTTTAATTAATGAGTGAAAAAGTCAAATAAATCTCCTCCTTCTTCAATGAATAATAATAAAATTGTAGGTTCAAGACTATTAAAATAGATTTTAGTAATTTGAAATTACAATTATTTATCATTATTAGAGAACCTACCTACAAATTTAGTAATTTTATTATTCTATTATTTTAAAAGTAAGTCATTAATTAATACATCCTCAAAATTAAAAGCTTTTTGATTGATACCTTCTAAGGGTTAGACATTGGAATCTCTTAAAAATTCTCTAAATTTTTAATCTGAATTCAAATTAAATGTGTTTTTCATGACTCTGTTTATTTTGTCCATTTTTAATTGAGCCTATTTGTTATCATATTTAACCAGTACAACCCATGCTGGTAATTATTCTTCAATTAAGTTCTCGTATAAGATTTATGATCTAAAAGCTAAGTAATGTTAGCGTCGTTTCATTTCAGTCTGGTATCGAAGGAAAATAAAATAAATACTGAATAGACTATAAGTAATATGAGGTATCAATTATTATTAGAGTATTGAAATTTCAGCAGCTTAACTAATTAGAAATATTATTGATTGTGTAGAAAATCTATTGCCTTACATATACAGACCTTTAGAATAAAATTAAAGGATTACAAAATTTAGCAGCTCCAACTTCTAAATAAAGAGTTTAACCATGGTTTAACCATATGTAAATGTCAATTAGTATACTCACCACAATCAAATTTAAGCTTTTAATACACTCTCTTTACATCGGGTATCGTCGGAAGAAGAAAAGCATTGTTAATTCAATACAGAGTATTACTGATGTTGTAATTAAGTAAATGACGTTCTAAGTGTAGTTTATGAGATTAAGTATCAAGTAGATGGAGAAAGTAGATAATGTAATTTCATACATTATTTGATTTTGATCAATCACCCAAAGTTTAAATGATGATTCCAGCTCAGACGAATTAAATGTTAATGTATATTTTTTGATCATAATATTAATAATTATATATTAAAAGTTTGTTATAAGACTTATTATGACAGATGAATTATTCATTATTAAATCTCAACTTACTTTATATCATAACTTCTATATATTATTAATTTAAGCATATTATATTTTTTTATTTATATATCCATGTTATCAATTCCAAATATTCATACTGAAATTAAATCTTAAAGATTTATTAAAATATGATTTACATTGTATAAAATTTATTCACTAAAATTATTTAAGATTTTCCATGTTACTATAAATTATTATTATATCAATTTCTGATTTTTTACTCTTTATTTAGCTAAATTTAGTTACTAAATTTAATTCAATCTTAGAACTATAAGAAGAAAAAGTTGGCAGGATTTAAGATAATCGAATTGATAAATTTCTAATGATTTTGTCCAAAGATTTAAAATTTTCAAAATTTAAAAACTCTAAGAATACAGATTAAACAAAACTAAAAAGTTTGAGAAAAGAAAGTTTTCATAAAAATTCTTTAATATTTTTCTTAACTTAAAATTAAATTAACCATTTTGAATAGGAGAAATTCAAATATTACAAGGATCGTGTAATATTTTCGCAACTTTATAAATCATTTCTTTTAAATGTCATTATTATTTAGAATCTTAATAATGTATTTCAAAAACTTAAATTATAAATGCTATTCTTAAAAAAAGGTATTCCAATGATTTTTATTAAAGACAAATTCTTAAATATAGTAACTAAATTTCTAAGTATTAAATTTATTGAATTAACTTTGATTTTCATCATATTTGGATTTTAATAATAAATTCTATACCTCTCTTAATTATTAAAATAGAAATTTTTTGCATAAAAGCAATTCTGTTATTTACTAAATTTCAACAAAATAATTAATAAGTATTATTTTAATTTTCTGAAGTATAGGATTAATAAATTATTTCTAAAATTAATAATAATTTTGGATTCATTTTGAACTAGATTTTTTATTACTTTTTTCAATACTCATTTTAATAGAATTTCTCTCTACTTAATTTGACGATTTATTCTGTGTTAATCTATCATAATATTAAATATCAAAATGATACATGTAAACCTTAATTAATCTTGATATATTTTTAATTTTCTAGAAATAGTATAATGCTAGTAGTAAAATTAATAATTTAAATTCTAATTAGAAGAAACAATAAAAACACTACTTTTTATGAAACTTTATGTATTCCATTTACATAGTTCCTCATTAAGTAGACTATATAAATATATTAGCAAATCACTATAATTTAATGTATAAACTTTATTATTTTTAATCAATTTCATTATGAGATGCTGATGTATAATATTTTCACATTAATTTCCATAATATTACTAAATATAGAACATAACTAAGAGAATTAGATTTTAAGATTATTTTATGATATGTCCATAGAAGATTTTCCAGATAATGAAAGAACTTATAGGATCGATTAACTAGTATAATTAGAATTATTTGATGGAGATGGATAAAATAATATATATTAATTATCATTAAAAAAATATATCAATAAAATATTTAAAATATAAAGTTTTCTTAAACAGAGAAATAATTTGATTTTTTTAGGTGTTTTATATTTGTATTTCATCTAATTTGTAAGATTAACTCATTATAAATCTTAATATTGAACGTTAGATTATTAAAAATGGTTTTTTTGAAATACATTATATATTTTCTTTTGATTCATTTAAGTATGTTAGAATTTTGGAATGAATTATAGAATTAAGAAGAGAAATTAATGTATATGAAGAATAGGTAAGTGAGAAAACATGATTTATTTGTAAGAATTTGATTAGAATAATATTATTATTATTTTATGAATCGAAACATCCCAATAGGGAATAAAATTTGTGCAACGAAAGAAATATTCTAGAACCAAGTAATTTTAAATACTCATTTACTAACTATGAGACCTTAAATTAACACTAGTGCACCAAAATAATATGATTTTCTTAAAAACAAAAAAATAAAAGAAGCTATCAAGTCATAAAAGTAATAAGAAATTGATAGAGAAAATTAAAATCTTATATCAAAACTTACTAACATTATGCAATAATAATCAAGTATAATTTAAGTATTATTATTAAGATAACTCAATTTGTACTTTGCCTCTTAAGAAATCTACTACTGTAAGTCTTGGTCCAAAGAAATCACTTAATAAAGAATATAGAAAAAAAGAATTAATAAAGATAGTGATGGAGAATCAATAACTCTTAAAAAGAATTTAAGATTAGAAATCTCAATACAATGTTAAAGATTGGAATGAAGAGAGAAGATGGGTTAAAAAATAGATTTCCAATATTTGTGAATATCCTTATAAAGATTTCAAACCAACAAAAACATTAGTACAATATTGGACTAACTCAAGAATTAGTGAATCTTAATTATAAAGTATTAATTCATAAGTTATATTTTTAGAAAGAGATAATTTTAACAATAAGAAATTAGATCCTATAGACATTAAAAGTCAATAAACTAAGTATCAAGTATATTAATCTATTCAGATCAAGAGCTAGGCAAGACAATAATAATACAGAGTCAAGATAAATCTTAATCAATTCAGAAAACTAACAAAGGTATAATATCATTAATCATTTCATTATAGAAGTCTCTTTGAATCTGATTTTTAACCATATGAACCATATCAAGATAAAGTAACCAAGATAGTTAATGAGATTATTGAAAAACCTAAATTATAAGAATAAGATTAAGAATAAGAATAAAAGAAAGATAATTTAGAAATAAAAGAAGAATAGAATAACTCTATTCCTTAATAATAATAATTAGATCACGAAAATATAGCAGAAGATAGTAAAGAATAAGAACATATTTAACATAATGAATAAGCCTAAGAATTACAATAGCAAAATTAAATTAATAATATAATGGAGAATTCATAAGAGAATGAAGAATAAATAAATGAAAGTTAAAATAAATCTCCATTAAATCATCAAAATATTCAAACCATTGATTTTGAATAACAAAATTAAGAAATTTTAGACAAATAAAATTCTGAATAATTTTAAGAATGAATATTTTTATACTTATTGTAAAATTATTAATTTTATTTAATAATATTACAATTATTGTTATTAATAATATGATAGATTATCCAATATATATGAATAAACATATATATTAGATTTCATCATTATTTTTTAGATTGTAACTTGCATATATTACCACTTATATTACACTTATTCAATAATGGTATTTTATATATATTGAATAGTTTTAAAAACTTATCTAATTAGATATCCATTTTCTTTTTACGTGTTAAAAGTATAACAGAGGATACTCTTTCATCTTTTTTTTTAATCAAACCCTAATTTACATTATTATTTAATTAATTAGTAAAAAATTTCACTTATATTGCTTATTAACTCTTATTAATTTTCAGATTTTAAGTATTAAAGTGTTATTTGATTATTTATTCTACTGATGTTTATTTTGGTAATGAACATTCTTCTATTTAATCTTAATATTTAACTGGTTCAGTCAACATATGTTTATGGTTTTGCTTTTTAATAACAAATTATTTTTTTTCTTTTAGTGGACTTTCTTTAATATGTTCTTTCTTTTTTTAAATAAACCATGGTCCTAATGGAGTTTCATGTAACATTTCATCTAACTCCATATTTAGAAAATGATCATATGATGTTTACAATGCTATATTATTTGTATGAGTCATAATTTAATATATTAAAAAAATGAAATTTTGATCGCTTATTGTTTTTTATAATTAACATTTTTTATCCTTCATTGAGCTGATGAATTAAGTTCTAAGATTTTTTAATTAAATTTATCAATCATAATTCTACTTCTATTTGTTTTTGACATATGTCCAGGTATACTTTTTTCATTTTAATATGTTCTACCTAATATTTTCTTAAAATCAATCATTATATTTTTTGTATTTGGATAAACAATTGAATTTTTATTTGAAAATTAATCATATTGATATATTGATTGTTCTCTTAAGCAAATTGATTTATTCGTTATAGATTTTCTAATTGTTTACTTTTCAAAACTTGTTCCAGCAAAACTTACTTTTCTCTTTCCAAATTCATAATCAGCATCATAAAAAGATTAAAAACAACTGTATTTATTAATATTTAATGAATGTCCAGAACCTTTAAAATGTGCACTTCGAGGTCTTCTAAATTTATGATATAATTAGCATTATACGCTCTAATCGAATTTCTATTTAGAGACAAAAACTAGTTTAATGTAGCATTTTAAGAAATATTTTATTATCTATTAGATTACTCTCTGGATAATTGTCTCTTAAGATCTACAAATCCTTTTGTTCTTTTAAATTAATTTTTGCTTAAATCAATTGAAATTGAAGACTCATTGCCTTATTTTATTATACTTTTATGTTCTACTGCAAATTTACCACCTAAATCAGACTTTCTTAATTGATCAATATTTTACTTCTATATAACTGAATATTTTGGATTGTAAACTCCAATAGCAAAATTAGGTTTTCCTTAATTCTATAATTTATGTAAATATTCTCTTGATAAACCCAAACTAAATGGTTATTGTTTTATTGATTTTTTAGGAGATTAATTAGGTGTTATCGTGTATAAATCACTTACTTTATATATAGATTAAGCTTTGCTAGCTTTTCCTAATAAATGAGCAAATATTTATTAGCTTGATTTTCCAGCTTTTGAATACATATGTTAAAAGAAATTTTGTGAATCTTAACTCATTTCCTATAAGAATTGATTTAAATTAAATATTAATTGTTATTTTATTTAAAAATTACAATCAAAGTTTCATTGAAAACAATATTTAAATGAAACAAAATTGAAAATTGATATTTGCATATATTATGGATGTATTTATACAAATTGAATTTTATTAATTATAAAATTTTATTGTTATGAATGTATAAAATTCGAGTTCCATAGATATAAATTGTTCTGAAGAGAAGAAAGAGGATATTAATGAAGTAATTGTTATGATGAACAATCAATATCTTAAAGTAAGGAGACCTAATGAAGATAATATTTTAGATTATCTAAATTATGATTAGCAAAATAATAAAGAGAAATTGACATCTAAAGATAATACTTTAAATTTAGAATCACCTTAATAAGCTCTACTCTTATAAAGAAATGAAAATTAATCATATTTTGAATTCCAAAATTCACCATAAAAAACATTTAATTCAATCCTTCTTAAATTAAAGAATGAAGAGAAAGCTGATGAGAATTTAAATGAATTTTAATTGAAATATTAGATGATTTTAAATGATTTATGTTTTAATTACTCCCCATTGGATAAATAACTAATATATAAAAAGCTAAGAAATATAATCTAAAAATTATCTATTATATATGAAATCTTTTACTTTGTAATCGGATTCTTATTTATTTTTGAATGTACAATTACTATTGCTTTTGGAACCAAATAGATATTCAACATTTCATTTTATATTATCTAATATTGTCTTATGTTTGTAGAATCAATATTATTATTTAAAGAACAAACTAAAATAAATAGTATTTATGAATTAGCATTTCATGTATCATAATTTGTATTAATCATTTTAAATAATTTGATAGAGTTTTAATATCTATGCATCGTACTTTTAGGACATTTATATTTTTCAATAAAGAAATACAAAATAATAAAATAGAAATATTCTTTACACATAAAAAATATCTCAAAATTAGAGATTATTATTTTTTACATTCTTTTCATCCATATTTCAGCTTTGATTTTTTATATTATCTCAAAGAGTCAAGCAGATCCATGGATTGAAGATCTTAATGAAAATGAAGATTGGAGTAATAGTTATTTATATTGTTTATTTTGGTCAATTTCTACAATAACAACATTAGGATAAAATTTAATCTAATTTAGAAATCGATCATTAATTATTGTTACTATTTTAATTTAGATAACAAATATAATTTTTATAATCTTTTTTGTTATAAATAAATAACAATAATTTTAAAAATTTGAATAGTTTTCTGAAAATGTAGATATGATAAATCATTATTTAAATGAAAAAAAAATAAGTAAAAGATTACAATAAGAAATTAAGACAATTTTATATAATAAATGGGAAGAGAAGTATCTTAGTAATCATGAATAAGAATAATAGATATTATAATAATTACCTTAATATTTGAATGAGGATATAAAACAAGAATTATTTTCAAAAATTCTAGATTAGATTCCATTTTTTTCATAGATATCTTAGGAATGTTATAGAGAAATAATTTTATAATTAAAAGAATACACATTTTCACATAATGAAATTCTTGATCAAACAGGATTATATTATTGTTCGAAAGGGAGTTTTGAATTATTTTTACCTAATAGTGTAAAAATTGATTCAAATGATAAAAATAATTCTTTTTATGGTTTAAATTATCTATTTTATGATAAATAGGATGTTTGTCAAGCTGTATGTATAAATAAGACACAATTCATATACTTAAGTAGATACTCATTTTTGAAAGTATTGAGGAAGTATCCAGATGATTATGTAAGAGTGAGATTTTATTAATTAGTAAATGTACAGAATGTAAATGGAGATGAATTAATTAGATTTAGGAATTTAATGTTATTTATGTTAGGATTTAAGACATAATTTAGATTAATGTCCATAAATACATTTATTTATAAATAAATTCAATTTGATATCTAATCATTTGACATCAGAAGATATGGGAAGAGTCAAACATAAGAGGAAAAGAGATAGAAGTACAAATGCAGTATTTTCTTAGAGGTTATTTGAAGATGCTGCATCTATGTTTTAGGAAATTTTAATATAAGATGAAACAATTAAAGAATTCTCAATAGTTCCATAATAAATATAATAGAATAATCCAAGAAAGAAATCTAAATCATTGAATTCAGATGAAAATTCTAAAGTTTTGTAAAAGTCTAATTCTGGCCATAGTTTGAGTGCTATTCAAAAACCATAAGGTTCAGGATTATCTTTTAGTACATTTTCGATGTTTAAAGAAGTTTAAGGATAGAGAAAGATTTCTAAATAATAGGACAGTGATAAAATTTCGAGCAACTCTTAAAATAAATAACATCAATCAAGTTCAAATAGTTTTAAAGATATACCAATAACAATTAATATAGAGGATAAAATTGTTGATGATTCTATTTTTACAGTCTAACCTAGAATAAAGAAATAATAAATAGGAAAATAAGGGACGACATCAATTAAAATAACTCCACCTAATGCACCATTATAAGCTATTCCTTCAGTAAGTGATATCAACACACTTAATGAAGACAGTTTTGTTCATTAATATTCTATGAGTAGCAAAAGATACTCTTCTCCTTAAAAAAAGGTTTCTTCTAAGGCTACTGTAGAGACTTAAAAATAATTTGAATAAATGGAGATACAAAAAATGGAATTCGAGTGCCCAATTAATTTGATGCACTATTTTCCATAACATAATATTCATGAAGTAATAGAAAAATTCAAACATATTCAAACCAGAGAATTATAATGATTAAATTATATATAATTAAGATATGAAGATCTAATGATTCTTTTTTTAGTTTAAGTAAGTCAAATGATGTAAATATCAATTAATTTAATATTATGTAAAATTAATAACACTATTCTTAATTGATAGATGAGTTTAAAATGAACGATTCAAAGAGTTTGTTCTAAAAATTAGAAGGAACATTGATACAAAAATTATATGTAAAAGAATTATTAAAAGAATAAATTACAATCTATGTCTAAAAAACTAAGCAATTTGTATAAAGAGATATTTTTATATCTTTCAATGCTCTAATTATGGAGAATTAATTTATAGAGTTGAGCAAATGTCAATTTGAAGTAAGAGTTAACAAAACCAAAAACAATGAAGGAATCAATATCATAATTATTAAGAGTACTGCTGGTAAAGAATTTTTAATCACTTCAAATTCTCAATAGTGTTTAAGAATAAAGATCTATATGAAAAAATTTTGTATTAACAAAAATTACTGTGGAAAGTATCGATATATAGAACAAAAAAACTGTCTCCCTCTTTCCCAATCATATAAAGTAATAAATATATATACATAAATTTAGAAAAATAATCAATATTTTTGCACAATAAAATTTGAAAAGAAATAACTAGAAGATAATTAAGAACTTTAAATGTTCCACAATAGAATAACAATAATGCATGCTTTTCAATTGATGCCAAATGTAATAAGGATTTGTGAAGATGCTTAAAGGTATTATATACTTGGAGAAAACATGAAACTATAATCTTTAGAATCACTATTATTAAATGGATTTGAATTTAAAGAAGTTCCATTTGTATCAATAATTTTCATGATTCTGTAAACGATACAAAAATATCAAGCTAAAATGATTTATCACGGAAACATTAATCTTTAAAATATCTATGTAAATGTGAATAGTTAAACTCTTCAAATAACTGCACTAAATCCAAAATATAAGGAGGATAATGTCTAAAATATAGAGAACGATATTTATAGTGTTGGAAGACTACTCTATTAAATCACATTTTATAATTAAAGAGCAGAGATTCCATCAGAAATAAATTTAAAGTAAGTATAAACTTTAATGGATTAATGGTCAGAGCCTAATTCGAAAAGAACTTAATATAGATTTCTATATAGAGTTAGTTAACTAAATTTATTAAATCAATTACTTTCTCCTGGAATGACAGTAGAGAAAGCTTTGATTCATTAATGGTTTGTGAACATTAGATAAAATCTAAAAATTGAATCTAAATAACCAATGTCTAAAGCTTTTCTTACAACAATAATGGAAGAATAAGAATTCCATTTGACATCTTCATAAATTCTTGATCGTCATATTACAATAACTCAATAAAGTGTTTAAGAAAATGGTATTTAAAAATCGATTATTATTATATATAGAACCTGAAGAAGAATTGTATCCAATTCGATGTTAATAGATTAACACAATTTAAATGATTCCATCTAAAAAAAAGCATGATGATGCTAAAATATATTTGTATAGATCAAAAACATTTACAAATTCTACTGCAAAGAGAGACTCATTGATAGAAATAATGAAATAATCAACAGTAAAATGATTAGATGTTAATTGATAATAATATGATTAAATCAAGATTGTAAATTAAACAAATATATGATATTTAAGAATAATGAATCTGTATTTAATGAAATTAAAGATATTTTATATTTTTAATGGGTGGAGATAAACACGATATGAGTTATTATATTAAATGCATGATTGGTGGTACCTTAGCATGCGGTTTAACACATACTGCAATAGTCCCATTAGATGTTGTAAAGTGTAGAAGATAAGTATATAAAGATGATAATATTTTTAATAGGTTTTCCCTACTTTATATAAGTCTTTAGGTGATGGATTAAGTACAATATCAAAAACAGAAGGATTTGGAGGACTTACATTAGCTTGGGGACCAACATTGATTGGATATTCATTATAAGGATTAGGAAAATTTGGATTCTATGAAATCTTTAAAGATGTTTATAAATCGATTGTTGGAGAAGAAAATGCTAATAAATATAGAAGAATTGGTTGGTCTGTAGCTTCAGGAAGTGCTGAAATTATTGCAGACACTCTTTTATGTCCAATGGAAGCAATAAAAGTTAGAATGTAAACATCAAAACCAGGTTCATTTACAACAAGTGGAACATAAGCATTTAATTAAGTTAAATCTAATGAAGGTAATAATAATAATTATAATTAATATTAGGAATAAATGGGCTCTATAAAGGTTTAGGACCACTTTGGGCAAGATAAGTTCCATATACAATAGTAAAGTTTGTTGCTTTTGAATAAATTGTTGCATTATTCTATGAGAATGTATTTACTAAACCAAAAGATTCATACTCTAAATTTACATAATTATCAGTAACATTTGCATCAGGATATTTGGCTGGTATATTCTGTGCTGTTGTATCACATCCTGCTGATACAATAGTATCTAAATTAAATTCAATATAAACAGGAGGTAAATTGTAGTATGAATTAAAATAGGATCATTGGGTGAAAATGTTGGTAAAATTTATAAAGAAATTGGATTCTCAGGATTATGGAGAGGATTAGTAACAAGAATTATTATGATTGGTACACTCACTGGGCTTTAATGGTGGATTTATGACAGCTTTAAAACAGCAGTTGGATTATAAACCACTGGAGGTGGAAGTAGCACACCAAAACCATAAGAAACAAAACATTGATATATATACAATTTTATATCAATTCAAGCATTTATATAATCATAAAATAATAATATTATTCCCATTGAAAAAAACAGTAAACCCCATCTCTTCCCAAATTATTCATTCATTTTTTTTGCATTTATTAAATGTTTATTTGCTTTCTCTATATTTAATAAACTCTCATTCGCTTCTATTAATATTTCCTCTGTTAATTTCTCTTAATGAGCTATTATCTCTTACATTCTTTATAATGATGAAGATATGTCTCTAATCTATTATTGAATACTTAAAATCTCTTTTATTTCATTATTATATTTCTTTAACAATTATTAATTCTCTTAAAAAAGTGGATCATCTTTTTATTTTTAGCTTACATCTGATTCTGCCATCTAACTTTTTTTCTCTTCAATCTTTAAATTTACTTTACTCAATTTTGTTAATTATAAAATTCTTTCCTTTTATCTTTATCTATATAATTTGAACTCTTTAAATATAAGAATACCCTTATTTAGTTCACATATTAAACATCCTAATACTATTTCTTTATGAGCATATTCTGTCTTTGTTTTTGATAGTTTAAGCATATCTTAAATTCCTTTTATTTTTTCAGAACATAAATTTATTTTTGTCTAAACTTCGTGATCAAAATCATCTCTCTCCTTATCAGAGTAAGTATGTCCATATAAATTTGATTTTGCTATGTATTTTTCCTTTTGTATATTCATAAATTAGATTATTGTAATCACCATAGTATACTAGAAAATTATGCTAATTTATTTACTATCTATTGTGTGTAACTATTAAAATAATCAGATTCTTTTTCATATACACTCTATTTCAATTAAGACATTCCAGCTGCATCAAAAAATTTATCTGTGATATCCATTTTATTTTATGTGCAAAAATTAATTAGATTTATCTATTGAATTATATGGAGAAATAATATTGTCTTAAAGTATTGATTTAAACACCTTGAAAATTTAATGTTAAACTTGATGTATTAAATTTAATAATATTTATGTAAGCCCAATATAGCATAACTATAAAATTTGATAAAGCAAACAATACCTATCGTCTTAATGTAATTGTTTTATTTTTTAGATAGGATTCCATATCTGGACAAGTTACAATTAATTTTACAGACCCTAATTAGAAAAGATTAGAGATCTAATCATTAAAATGGAGATCGGAAGGAGCAATTTCTTGTTAGAATAAAGAGTCTCATAAAGAATTGTAAAGGATTATGAGTAATTCAAATCCATAATTGCTTCATTTGAATTAAGGGGAATTCACAAAAGAAAAATATATGTTTGATTATAATTTATATTAGTTTACAAGAGAAAAATACATTTTAGTTCAAATATTAATTGACTCCTTATGGAGATAGTAGAATATTAGAAACATATGTTGGTGTTTATATAGCAATTGCTTATGAAATTTAAGTTGATTTAATATTGAGTAATGGTATATCAGTTCGTAATTCAACACCATTTTATGTATAATGTGTAGGTATTGATAAAATGGGTTAATAAATTAATTTTAAAGAGTTCTAATAGAAATCAGATTAATTTTTAATTACTCCTGATAGATTATTAGGCAGCTAAACTATATAGAATAAGTAGGGTGCTAAATTCAAGATTCATGGGGTTATTGATTCTTCAATTTGTTAATTTTTAGAGGGTTTCAATGGATATATAAATGTAGATGAATGTGAATCAGAAATTAGAACTATAGATTTACAAATGATTAGAGTTGAAAAATTGGAAAATAAATAAGGAAATATATTGGAAGCAACAGAAATACAATTAATATAAATTGTTGATGGAAATATTACCAGAGGAATTCAAGTTCCATTTAATATGATCTTTCCTAAATTCTTTTCATGTTGTAATCTACAATTCAAAGAGTATAGTGGTAAAAATAATATAAAATAATTTTAGTTGATTTTGAAGTGAATTTAGTTGTAATTATGTATGATGGATTTAAAATAACTCTCAATTTTCCAATACAAATAATACGGAAGTGATTATTCATATAAATAATAATGAAAATATATTTTGATAATTTTAAAGTCAGATATTAAGAATCACAAGAAATTCTAAAACTATACTAACTTATTCTTATACTACCAACCAATCCATCTTAAAAAAGCAATATTATATATAATTTTTTGATTATAATTCTTAAAAACATTAAAAATTCTTTTTTAAAAATGATTAAATTTAAATCAGAATCTTTCCTATTTGAATTTATACTACCATTTTATTTTTAAGGGAAAGCTTTATTAATAAATATATTTAATCACTAGAAATTCATTACAAATAATAAAAAAACTTCCTTCTTTTTAAAAGTATAAAATTATAGATAAGATTAGTTTTGGATATGTAGGTTTATATAATTATAATGGGTGTTTCATACTTATTTTAGTAGATTATTCATAAAGATTATAGGAACCAAATAATTAGAAACTGTCAATTAAATGCTATGTGAGTAAATGACAATAAGGGATGATTAAATTAATATATATTAAAGAATAAAAAGTGTTATAGATGTTTATTTATAATAAATCGATTATTTAGAATTTTAAATAAAATGATGAAAAGTGTTTTACAAACTCATTCATTAAGATAAATTGTTGGATAACTTCTTGATAATTGTTTTGAAGTTTTAAAAGCATTTTTGGAACAAGCTATATAACATGATGAAGTTTAACCAGAAAACATTATTTAAATAAATAAGGATTTAATGGGAGCAATTAGCTTCTATATTAGCAATTATGATTTCATATAGGGTATTTTTAAATAATATTTTATTGTAAAGAGTAAACACATAGTAATTCTAAATTTTTGAGAAATCTTCTATTCGAAATAAAACATTATAGAAATAATTGGGCTCATTCTTAAGATTTTAGTTTGAGAGAAGTTCATAGGTTAATTTAAAAAAAAGATTATTTAGAATAGCTGACACAATTTTGTTGATGTTTGATGAATTAAGTTTGAATATAAGTAATGAAGTGTATCTATTTGTTAATTAAATAAGGATGGAGTCTATTTAAATAATGAGTTTATAATTACAATAATCATAAAAATATTGAGATTATATTATATTTATGTAGCCGAATTAAAATCAAACACCGATTCCAGGATCAGTAGAAATTATCAAAGGTATAATGTCTTAAGTATCTTAATTAGATAAATTATATTGGATTTCTGATAGACAAGCACCTAGAAACTAGCCAAATGCATTCTATTTTTGTATTGATCAGGTATAAGATGGAATATAATTTGTTTTCAGGATCTTGTGTATGAGCCTTTTTTTGCGGATTTTGGTCCATTAAATTTGGGTCACACATATAGATTTGTAACAGAATTAGAGAAATTGCTTAGTGATAGAACATATTAACAATATGCCATTTATCATTATACTAGTTTAGATAGTGCAAAAAGAGCTAATGCTGCTTACTTGATGGGTGCATTTTAAGTGATAATCTTAAAAATGAGTGCAGATGATGCATGGAAACCATTCCAATCAGTAAAACCTGCATTTTAAGATTTCAGAGATGCAAGTTATGGATAATGCACTTATAAATGCACAGTAAATTTTATTTAATATTTATTTAGATTCTACATTGTTTAAGAGGTTTAGAATATGCAATCAAATTAAAATGGTTTGATGTTAGAAAATTTAATCTTAGAGATTATGAATTTTATGAAAGAGTAGAAAATGGAGATTTAAATTGGATTGTTCCTAATAAATTCATAGCATTCTCAGGACCTTCTGCAACCTAAAAAGATGCTGATGGAGTAATTATATATCTTCATTTAGAATCGTACATTCACTCCAGAAGAATATGTACCTATATTCAAACAATTTGGTGTAACCTGTGTTGTTAGATTAAATAAAAAAGCTTATGAAGAATAAAGATTCATAAAAAATGGTATCAAACATGAAGAAATTTATTTTCTTGATGGTTCAGTCCCAGGAGATGATAAGATTTTAAGATTCTTAGAAATTGCTGAAAAAGAAAATGTTGTAGCTGTTCACTGTAAAGCAGGATTAGGTAGAACAGGAACTTTGATTGCTGCATATGTAATTAAACATTATAGGTGAAAATATTTTCTATAATAATAGATTCCCTGCTCCTGATTTTATAGGATGGATTAGAATTTGTAGACCAGGAAGTATTCTAGGACCATAATAAATCTTTTTATTAGTATTTTCTTAATTAGATATAGCAAAAATAAAATTGGTTAGTCAGTTTAGGAAAAGATTCTCCGATATGGAATCAAGTCAAATAAATTGCAGCTGAAGTTAACATTGAAAAAAGATTAAAAGATTTACAATTAGGACCTATGAGTGAGGGTATAATCTACCATTTTTATTTTTTTAGCTGATAAAAATAAAGCCGAAAAAGGTGATTAAGATTAGGCTTAAATATTGAATAAAGCAAAATAAATGAAGTAAATTATTTTCATCTAAATTCCTTAGTTAAACTTCTAATTCACCTGGCTTAAAAAAATGAAAGATTAATTATAATGTTATTAAATAAATTTAGGCAATCACAAATATAAGTTTTCGTTTATATATTAATCAAATTACATATACATTTTTAATTGATTTTTTGTTGTTTTTGATCATAAATAAATAATTTTTCTATTAAGATTTGTATTTTTTCTTCTTCTTTATTGTCCTTTATGCCTCCTCGATATTGATATCTCTAAATTCAACAGATGGAGATTAGTAATTTTCTTAACATCTTGATCGATTAGATGATCTTTGTTAATTTGTTGAAATTGATCTACTATATTAATTTTATTTTATTTCTTATTTTAAACATAAGTGAAATTTATAATTTAGCTTCTTATTAACAGTAAAAATATGATTACGTTCATATGATTCTGTTTATGTTAATTCATTCTTTTAAGCAAAAGAATTGTTTATTTAAATATAAGAATCATTATTCTTATTACATCCAATAAATCGATTTTCTTTCCATTAACCTTCAATTACAATACCATTGTTTTAATAATACATTCCATAACCATCTCTTATATCTTTTTAAAATTAACCACTATAATAACTTCCATCTTAATATAATAATTTTCCTTTACCATGTTTTAAATCATTTTGATAATCTCCCTAATATAAAATATTAATACTACTTCAAAAGATAATCCAAATTTATTATTCCATTTCCCATGTCCATGTCTTTTTCCCTCTATAAATGATCCTTAATATATTGAACCATCTGACCATCTATACTCACCTATTCCATGTGGTTTACCAAAATAATAATTTCCTATGTATTTATCACCATTTTAAAATTATTCTATTCCATATCCATTTTTAACTGAATTACTCCATTAACCAAAATAAACATTTCCATTCCATTAATGTTCTCCCAAACCATCTTATTAACCATTTACCCATTATCCTGTATATGAATCTCCATATATTCCAATCCATTATCCTATACCATTTTTTTATGCTTTTAACCATTGACCAATATATACTTCACCATTTATCCATTTGAAACTTCCTTCACCATTAGGTTTTTTGTTCAAAACCTATCCATGATATATACAAAAATTATTTAAAATTTAAAAGGCTACATTTAATTCATTATTTTAATATGAAAATCTACCATTTTTATTTATTTTCACTTATATTTTATTAGCTTTTATAATTATTTATTGTTCTGATATCATGAATTAATTAATTAAAATAGAGGATCTAAGAATTTAATTTTAATGTAACAAATCAAGCATTTAACTTTGAATGGTTGTATTATTTTCAATTTAAAAAATTTATTCAACTTACTAAATAAAAGATTCTAAATTAATATCAATTGGATATTTTTTTCGAATTAATTAGACAGACATTTATATTTTAGAAATCAAATGCTACTCTTAAAGCCTAAGAGTTATTAACATGTTATTTACATTCTAAAAGCTTTAAAATTTATTAATAAAATTTAATGATGTAATAACTAATATAAAAAGTTCAAAATATTTTAGTTTAGTATAAATGTGATGTAGAAGGTGTTTTGCCATCAGAAATTGCTGTATTTTTAAGAATCAAATCAGGAATACTTAGATTTTCGATTTATATGTCTAAATATCAATGTTATGATTTACATTATATAAATTTTTTAATTTTCTGAAAATATAATTCTCTATTAAGAGCATCTGATTCCATATTGCAATGTCCAATATTATGTGGAATCCATAGTTCATATAAATTTTTTGTTTTTTCAGCTAATAATTTGGCATGTTGTTCAGATATAACTTTATCATTGGCTCCATGCATAATAAAGACTGGACATGAAACAAATTATATTCGATCAATATTTGGAAACATATCATAAAAAGGGGTTTGATCAATCTATATAGAAATCATTCTTAATCCTGAACTAAACCCACTTTAAATAATAAGTCCTCCTATTGGAAATTATGAATTTGAAGCTAACGTAATACTAGGTCCTGATCCGATACTGTAACCATATACAATAATTTAAGTAGGTTTATATCCTAATTAATGAATCAAAAAAGTATAGGCAGCATAAATATTACGAATGACATTGATGTCATTGCTTATCCCATCACTTTAACCATAACCACTGTATTCATAAGCAAAAACACTAGTATTTGTATGTTATACAAATTCTTTAAATAATCAATTATAAATAATTACTAAGTAGTTTATCAAGTATCATTCCTAAATCACAAGCATTACCATGACTGAATAAAATAATTTATTCACTATTTCGATTTAAGTATATACAAGCCATTTATTTGTTCTTCTTTAAACTTATAAAATATGCTGTAACACTACAAATATCAGAACGGACCACATAATCTTCATTTTCATCAGTTGATTTATCTGAAAGTTTAATAAAATCATATTCTGGATACTCTGGATACTCTCTAATTTTTTATGAAAATAAAATTTTACTCAAAATTTCTTATATTTCTTCTTCTTTTATTAATATATTGAGAGTGGTTTTCTTTATTAATTTACAAATCACTTTTAATTGATTAATCTGTAACCTAGATTTTATCAGATGAATTCTTTCTCATTTTCTTAAGATTTTTATGATTATTCTATTTTCTCAATCTTAATTCATATGTAGCTGATGGAGGTCTAAATGCAACTAAATGAATCAAATCATTTCTTAATCCACATAAACCAAATGACTATAATATTCCTGTTACAAAATATTACATTAAAATAATTTATTATTAACTTATAAAATATTATGATGCCAAGTAAATTTTATAAAAGAAGTCTAAGTACCAAAAATGAAGATAACTCTAAAGAATAAACAATCTTTAAACATCATTAAATTAATCTTACTCCAATCAAAAAAAGAGTCAATCTAAGTAGAATAGATGGTTATGAAAACATTGTTTCTTAACTCTATACTCCTAGACAAATTAAAAATATTGGTTATCCTCCTAAAATTTTTAAATAAAGTGCTTATTTAGAAGAAACTCCATTTAATAATATTGTTTAAGGTTATTTTTTACCCACTCCTAGAAAAACTTAATTATAAATTAACAAAATTATCACTGAACCTACCACTTTTAATAATAGTCCTATTAAGAAATAAGAAAAAAATTATATCATTTTAAAAAATAAAACTGATTAAGAGTATGATCTAGATAGATAATTGAATATCCCTTAGAAAATTAGATTATATTTTAGTTGTCAAAAATTACAAAAAAGATTCTTTAAATTATAAGAATTACTCTCATTTATAAGTATTAAATCTATTTTTTAATATTTGAATGATTAAAATTCAAGTATTATTGATTATATTGCAGTAATTATTATACTATATCTTTTTTTAGGAATATGATGTCTAATACAAGTAATTCATTTTAACTGAATTTCTATGTATTATTTTGTACTTTTTAATTAAATACAATTTAATATAGAGAGATGAATTGACTAGATTAGAAAAACTAATTCTTTATTAACATTAATAAAATGCCTGTAATGTTATTCATAAACTTTAAATTCATGTTCCTGGATTTAAAACTTATATGCATTTGTTTTTTTAACTTCAATAAGCAAATCCAGTAATTCCAAAGCAAATAGATTTACTAAATAAATATATTGATAAAACAATTGATGATTTAATTAAGTACTAAGTAATTGATTTATGAAGAACTATTGTTAATTCTTAATTGCAGCAACATATTAGAGAATTCTTGTTTATGAAAATTGAACAAAAAACAAGTGATTTCATAGATAAATTGAAAAAGATAATTGAATCAATACAAGAATTTCTTTATTTTTTACCTAAAAATGAAAAAGAATATACTTTAATATTAGATTTGGAAGAAACTTTAATTCATATAGATAATAATAATAATGGATAAATAAAGAAAAGGCCATATTTATAAGAGTTTCTTGAAGAACTCAGTAGATATTATGAAATTGCTGTTTTTGGTCATCTTTCTTAAATTGAAATTGACAAGTATTTTAATATTATTTTATTAGTATTATTTAATAATTAGATTGTAATTAATTTATCAAACATAAGCTTAATAGAAATCATTTAATGAAATATGAAAAAGTATTAATTAAAGATTTGACATTGTTGGGTAGACCTGCAAATAAGTATATAGTTGTTGATAATGATCCTTTTAATTTTCTACTCAGTCCTTAAAATGGTATTTAAATAAGATCATGGTATGGCGAATAAGGAGATCATGCATTATTAGATTTATTACCTTTTTTAGGAGATTTACGATTATATAAAGATGTTAGAATTGGATTAACATAAGTCAAAACATACTCTCAATATTTTTTTGTACCTTAATGAGAAATATATATAAAATATGTTTTTTACTTAATACAATATAACAAGTTGATGATTAAACAATACAAAAAATAAGTGGATAAATTTTAATAAATCTAATCAAAAACTTTTTTAAAATTACATTGGTGATTAATTAGAAGATTACTTCTCCTTAATTGATTCTTCATACTATTCAAGTAATTTTTCTAATTCTTGGATATGCAATGTTTATTTATACATTTCAGCATTTAAATCTCTAACTTCTTTATTTTTTTCACTAATTTATAACTCAATTATTACTCTAATTCTTCTATATGTTTGTTTTTTAAAATTTCAATTTACTAAACAAATTCCTATCTTAACTCTTCACTTGGTTATTATTCATTTAGTTTTTCTTCTTCTAACATAGCTTGAATACGTTCATTATATGATTAAAGTTGATTAATTGATTCTTAATATTTATATATTTCTAATTGTTAAGATGAAATCTCTTTATTTAGTTGTTCTATTTTTTACTGAAAATAGTAAAATATAATCATACTTTATGCTGCTTATTTTAATTTTCTAATAGTTTGACTTAATTCATTAATTCTTAATTATCTTTATGAATTATCTTATAAGTTTTTTCATATTGCATTATTTTCTTTTCTAAAGGTTCTTTACTACTACGAAGATCTATAATTGATTAATAATATTCTAATTTCTCTCTAAGTCTTTGATTTTCCTCTCCGTAATGCTGAACTTCAATCTAATTTTTAACGATAAAGTACTTCTAATTCTTGAACAAGAGTGTATTTTGTAGATTTTTTTAATAAAGCTATTTCTTTAGTTTTTTCAAGTAATTCTTAGACTAATTACTTATGCTTAGCTCTTAATTTTTGCACAATAGCAGCTTTTTCAATGACTAACTTAGTGGAATCATTATTATTATTAGTTTTGCTATGTTCTTCTACTAGGTTTTCGTATCTCTGTAATTCTTTCTAATATGATTATTTTGGATACTTCCAAATATATGATTCGAGATTTAGCTTAAGATGATTCTTTTTTTGATGCATTTAGTTAAAGTTTAAGTTACCTAATTTCTTCTTGAGTAACTTCGTATTCAGAAGATAATTTAGGACTGGTAAGTTATTTCCTGATGAGATAGTTTTTATTATACATTAATTTGCTTCCCATATTGGCACTGCACTCCAAAGTTCTTGTACCATTAGTAGTTATGGGTCTGGAATTTTTCATCCTAAACTACATAGAAGACATTAGTAAAAGAGGGAAATTTTATATAATCAAAATAATATAAGTATTCTAATATAAAATGAAAATTTAGTTATCATTCTTCATTAGAGTAATTTAAGTTGTTTGGAGTGTTGATTTTGTGAAATGCAATAGTGGTTTATTTCTTTTTGATCAAGTATTTATCATGAGAGAGAGACTTGGTATATATTATTCGATTATAACGATCTACCAATAGATTATAAATATGTAATTATTGGTAGCATCTTAATAATTGTAAAACAAATTTGGTCATTTATGAAAAGGATTAAGATTTAGATTTCCAAAAAGGTCTAAGAGTAAATAAATAATATTGAGAGGGCTGTTAAAATTTGCTATCAGTAATATATTTGAATTTAGTTTTAATAGACATTCGTAGGTAAAATAAATATCTTAACTAATTCATAAAGTAAATGAAATAAGAGTTTTCTTATTAATTTCTTTCATCTTTTTTTATCATCTGTCAAAAAATGTAATAAAATTAATTTTTATATCATTGCTTTGAGATATTGATTTATGATTGATTACTTATTTAAACTTATCCAAATAAATATATTATGAATTTATCAAAATAATTAATTATATACCATCCTAGTCTTTATAGTATAAATTGCCTCTATTTAAAGTGTATTTATTATTGTTACACATTGAATTCAGTTCATCAAATATGATTAAATATTAAATTTTTTATTTATTAAGATTCATCTCTGATTTCTCTATCATTGAAATGGAAGAATTCTATATATTATATAAATATTTTTGTATGACTTTATAAGTATATGTAAACAAGTTTTTACTTTTACAAAATAAAAGAACATTTACATAACAAAATATATTATTTTTATTGTTTTTATTTATATAATGGAATTCCAATATGCAAATGTTATTTAAGCATAAATTCTGCATATTTTAGATTCTTCCTTCAAACTCATATCTGAAAAAATATTATGCAAAAATATCATACTCATAACTGAATGGCAGACCTTTACAACTTCTCATAGCATTACGTAACTTTAGTTTTAGAAACATGACTTCGACAAAGATATTGTAGAAGATCTTGAGCTTAAACCAACTTCTTAAGAGAACTTTTAAGCTTATAAAATCAATCTTAATGAAAAGATTTAATCTACTTCCAGAATAAATACTGCTGCATAAAAATCTCTTAAAAATCATTTCAAATCTCATATGACATAATTCAATTGGGATAAAGAATATCATTATTCATTAATTCATATTCCTGAACCAGAAGTTGTCATCTCAACTGCAGATGAATAATTTAGAAGAATGAAAATTTAATAAATTAATGAATCCAATAAACAAAAAGAATTATAACAACAATAACTCAAAGAAAAAAAAAAGTTGAATGAAATGAATCTAAGATTAAAACAATAATTAAGTAAAAAAGAATATACTTACGATTATAATTGTTAACTTATTATAAATAAACATTCATAATTATAAGCTGAAATTGTTCCGTAAATTAAGTTTGAAATCTTATAAGAAGATTAAAATAAATAAACCAAAAAATATTAAAAGTAAAAAAAAGAAGAAATCTAATAATAAGTAATTAAGAAAAAGTCAAAAGAACCTTTGATATCATAAAATACAGCATATTTTGGAGAATCAAAATCCTTTTTCGTTAATAATAGTAATGAAGATGAAAATTTTGATAGACAAACATCTAATATTCCTTTTATAAAACTTAGTAGAGGTGTAAGATTAAGAGAGGATAAACATGAATTAATTTTTGATCTTCCTTAACCACCATAAATATAATTCTAAATGAGAGAATCTAGCTATATTGAATCTTAGAATTAAGTCTAATCAGACTAATTAAGACTTAATATTCGAGATTCATCAAAAGAAAAAGTTATTAAAAATAATAAATCTTGCATTAAAACTGAGAGAAATTTTGACTATTTAAAAGTTGAATAAGATGATAATAGTTATCGCTTTAAGACTTCTGTTAATTAATAATTAAATTAAAGTGTCAATAAATCATAATATGCTTATCCATAAGTTATTGATAATATTGTCTTGAAACAAGATCTTGTTAAGTTACCAAAAGTTCGTTCAAGATCTATTAATATAAGAAGCAAGAAAAATAGACAAATTAATATACATTCAAAAGATCAAATAAATAACTCTAATGTCTGATGTTTTTTTTTCAAATTTTTGTTTATATTTATTATTAGGTCTTCATTTATTTTGATGATTTATAAATATTGCAATTTCTAAAAATATTAAAATATGTAATGCAACACCAGTATTATATTAATAATTTTTTTTTTCAAAATATGGAGCAAAAATTGCAATTATTAAATTCCAGCATTCAAGTTGATCCCACAAACCCTTAGATTCCTTAAATGCTAAAACATTTGAAAGTATTCATCTATTGTTTAATTTTCAAGCTTGAAATTTTCAATGAATTGGCTGTCAATAGATCATCAATAGAAAATTTAGCATGTAATCTATACACTAATATCATTAGTACATTTTTGTGAATTGGAAGTCACTTATTTATTAATTTCAAGACAAATTGAAAATTTTGAATTAGCAATTGAAAGATTAATGAAATTTTACAATTAAGGTCTAGAAAGTAAGGATAAAGCTCATTATACTGGTATTTACTTAATTTATTTATTGTCCTTTAATAAGTATTAAAATTAAGTAAATATCTTAATAGATTTGCCTAATATTATTCTTAGATTGAATTATTACCAAAGGAAACATTTTCAAGCCCCTTTGTTCACTTTGTACTTTAATTGGAATACAAATTGAGCATAGGCAGTTATTCCGATCTTTTAGGGGATTATCATCCTACTGGAATTGAGAATGTATTCTTAGATAGAATTATGGACACTATTAGGTAATTCAAATTATAAATTTAGATTATAAACTGCCTTAAGTGCCAATGCATCATACAAAAGTTTAAGTTTAGAACATGCTATCAAATTATTCAATGTTAAAAACATTTAAGAATTATAATAATTTGCTTAAAAATAAAATTTCTAATGGAAATTTGACAATCATCATGTTTATTTTGATAATGTAATTCATCTCTAATTTATTTTTAGGTTTAAAAGTCAGAGAATCCTTTAAATTCAGAATTTTTAATTTAAAATTCCTTAAGATATGTACATGAGTTTGATAAAATTATATGAAAAAATAGTAGTTATCAATATCATCTTATAATACAGCAATTAAATTATTATTCTATGTTTCAAATTCATCTAAAAGATATAAAAAACTTATTATATCTTCATTATTTTTTTGACAATATTTAAAAACTATATTTTTTGGCTAAATTATTATTAATAAACTTTAAAGAAGAATTATTTAGTATATAAAATATAAGAATCTTCATTAATAAATATATTTATTATAATTGATTCTTTTACTAATCTAATATTTATATCTAAACTTTAAGATATAATTACAAATGATTTTGATAATTATTTCTTGAATTGCTTTGAAGTTTCTTGTTTATGGATATTTAAATTTTTTATTAGATAATAATATTTTCACAGAAAGTTATTTCATAGAATTTATAATTAAGGTATAAACTTAAACAATAAAATATAAAAATCAAATACTAATACTCAAATCATTATCGTTATCATCTTATTACACTTTAATTATTTCCACATCTGAACTAGTATTCAATATTGACTTATGTTATCTTTTGAGATGCTTTTTCAACAAGATATATGATTAAAAATCTCTGTAGCACAAAAAGCAACAAAAAATATAATAATTCTGACAATGTTTCTTCAAAATATGAGGATAATACACACCAGAAAATCCTTAAAAATCACATGAAGGACATTAGATTACCTTTTGTCCATTAGCTTTACAAATTACAGGTTTCTTATTTTCAATACTATTAATTATCTACTTAACAAAATTTCTTAGTTCCTTAAACTTGCTCTTACTATGATAGTTCTTTATATATTAAAAATCGAAATTATGAGGCTTAGTTGCCAAAGAATTTCTCGATCTAAATTCTTAAATAATATTATTTAATTTCTTATAGCATTCTTCAGGGGATAGTTTAATTTCAGGATTCACTTCATAAAATAATTTTTATTGAGGATTAGTATTATTTAGTTTTGATACTTCTAAAGATTTTTCATTATTAAGATGTTTTTTCTTTTATTTTTTCTCAAGTAATTCAATTTAATTCTTTTGTTCCTCTATACTTTATTTATTTATTTAAAAATCTTCATCTTTGTATGAATCATTATTTTTGAATAGAATTGTAGTAAGTATTTAAGTGCAATCAAGTTACATTTCCAATATTTTTTTAAGTATGTTTCTAATTTCTTCGTTCATAAAACTAGATTATTTAAGTAATTAATCATTATAAATTTTACATAAAATGCAAAAAATAATATAACATTTTTATTTTCAAATTATTACAAACCATAAAGAATAAAAATTTCAAGATTATAATTTCTAAATCAATTAGTTTCTTTCTATAACTTTATCTTACATTTTTTCTTTTTTATATTTCTCCAAAAATTCTAATTCTTATTTATTTTTATCATTTTTTTGAGAAATCTCTAGATTTTTTTCTAAAATCTTATTTTATTTATGTATTTTTTATAACATATTTTCCATTTATTTTTATTTTGCTAATTTAAAACGATGTTCATTTTTTTCACATAAATTCTATTTTCTTAAATCTAACAAAGATTAATGTCTTAAATATATTAAATTTATTAAATACCTTTTCAAACCATTTTCAAGTTTATCATCAGCTTCTTGAAGTTTTGAAATAAGTGAATCTGATCTTTTTTAATCTAAAGAGTCCTAATATTATTCATATTTTTTCATTATTCTGCTATTCTTCATAGATAAACTTTTTTATTGTTTTATCTGTGAAATTTCATGTTTATTTAATTAAATCTAAAAGATATTTAAATATAATAATTACTTATCTTTAAGTTGATTTACTAAAATACATTTATACATTTTAATTTTCTTTTTAAGTATAAGACTCTTATAATTTTTTTTATTTTTCTTCAAACATTTTCAAACTTTATTATTATTTTTTTCTATCTTCCTACTATTTTCTTTGTAGATAATCATTCAAATAATCTGATTTCTTTTTCATAGAATCCATTACTTATTCAATCATACTTTATTCTTAACTTATTTACATTTATCTTTTTAATTATCTATCTCTTTCTTTTTCTTCCTTCTTTTTTAATTATTCAACTAGTTCTTCTTAAGATTGTAAAAGTTATTTTTGTTTTCTTTCAAAATGTTAATTAAGATCTTTTTCTAATTTTTAAACAATTTTCTTGTGTTCTCTATACTATAATTATTCTTCATTTTTATTTTTTTAGCATATCTAATCTACTTTTAAATTCTTTCTTTTCAATCTCTTTTTAATTTCATCCAATTATTTTTATTTGAGTTATTCTGCTTTTTAATATATTTCTGGGGCTGTTTTACTATAATATTCTTCCTATTTAGTAATTTAATCTTAAACAATATTTAGAAATCTATATTGATTTATTATGAATCTTTTACTTGTTATAATTTTCAGATTCTTTATTGATCTTTTTATCAAAGAGCTCTTTCTTTTAATCTGCACTAAGAATAACAGATATTTATAAATCTTCTCTTTATGTTTTCTTAGATTCCGATTAATCAGGAATTAAAGATTCATCTTTGAATTTGATATTTTTGGAATTTATTTGTTTTGTAACTTAAGATTAAATATGTTTGATCTGATTTCTTCTTTTTAAAAGATCATTGAGTATTTTATATTTGCTTGTAACATATTGCAAATATTAAATAAGGTTTTAGAGAGGATTCATTTTCTTTTTATAGAAGTCTTCATATTCTTACACTTAGAGATCATCCAATTATATTTTAAGCATTTCCATAGCAGCTTAAGTTCTAGGAGAGTCTACATCAAATTGCATTTGAAACACTGTTAATAAATTAGGATTTCTAATGATCTGATGCTTTTGTTCAGGTTCTAAATAATTAGATTCAATAGCAGATTTTAATTATGCATTAGTGACGATTGGAAATCTTAATTTTTTTTTATTTCCCAATAAATTCTTAGGACTTGATTCACTATTCAAGTAAACAGAATTTATTGATTCCTATTTTGTAATAATAATATCGTTGTTTTCCTTGATATAATCAATCATATAATTTTAGTTTTAATTTTTATTGATAATGGCATAATTAAATTATGTAATAAATTAATAAGGCCAAAAAGAAGTGAATAAATAATGTGAATTTTTATAACATTATGACTTGATTGAGAGACTCATGAAGCACCATTAATGTTTCAAATATTAATTAAATTATATTAACATAATTTTCTATAAGTTACTTGAATATATATATAAAAAACAAAAGGACTCTCAATAATAGATTTAGGGGGAATGTTTTCTAACTTAAATGATTTATTTTCTCCACAATTTATCTGGAATAGATTTCCATCTTCTTGTTAACAATTTGATTAAGATATTATATGGTAATGAAAGGAAAATCAAAATTAAAGCAACAAGTAGTTGACATGATGATATATCACTATTATAATGGTTAAGATAATACCTAATTATTATTGAAGCTATCAATTTTAACATCATAGAGATTATATTTAAACATAGACATATTTTGATCATTTACTTCTTGTTAATTAACATATGGAAGAACAATATTTTTTCCAGAATAATTAAGACATCAGAGATGATGTAAAATAGAAGTGAAATAATAAATTATGTAATCCATTTAGAGTAGACAATCATATAGATTATGGTACATCCAAAAAGAATAAAAACCATTCCAAAAAGATTGACAATAATGAGAACATTTGCTAATTTGAGAGTTTTGAAATCATATTCACTTAGAATATATTAAGATGGACAGTTAATAGGAGAATTATTATTACCATTTTGTCCATTGATATAAATTTGTTGTTCATTTGAATCTAAATCAGTTTTAGTTTATGATTCTAGGATGATTGGGGACATTTTGTTGATGTTTATCATTTTGTAGGTAGTTTGAATGAACAGTATAGTTTGAATGAATGAAATTGTAATTATTGTATAGAATCAGAAAATGGTAATTGGAATATGAACTTCATTTAGATTAAAATGTGTTAGATGTATGAATTAAAGAAGATATGTTTCTGATTAATTAAAAATTAGTTGGTCATAAAAAAATAAAGAGTTTAAATATTGAATTGAATTGTAATAAATATATAGTATAATAATTTTATTTATAATGGAAGAATAATTATAATAACTTAGAGAAAGGAAGGAGATTTTGAATAAATAAAAGAATGCTTTAGAAGAGGAGTTAAAATAATTGTTGAGTTATTTGGAATAAAGTTCAAAGAAATTGAGTGAGGCCTACAATGTAAAATGTAAGAGCATAGAATTTGAGATAAAAAAAAAAGAAATATAGAAATAGATGGATAAATAAAGTTAAGAAATAGTAAAGAATTAATAATATTGTATTGATTAATAACGTGTATATAAAGAGAGGGCAGATTGGATAGATAAATTTAATGATAAATTAAAGGAAGATTTTAAATCATGTTAAAAGAAAGAGTGAGTATATTATTGTATATGTTAAGGGAAACTATAATGATTAGAAGTACTGTGGCAAAAGGAATAAAAAGATTGTTTTTATTGTAATTATGTACGATTTTCTTTGACAAGGAGAACTAAAGATTATTATGGGGATTGCATAAAATAAATTTATTGAATGATGGTCAATAAATCATATCAAGTTAAGAAGAAGATTAATTAGCAACTGCGTTAGGATATTTGGGATTGTTGTTGTAATAAATCGCAAAAATTAAGGGAATAATATTAAAACATGATTTCAAATTCAAAGGAAGTAAAAGCTATATTCAATAATAAAATGAGTATATAATTCAACATTCTATATTTTAGTATTCTATATTTATATAGTTAAAAACCTTCAAATTTAAAAATATTGAAATAGAGTTAAGGATTATTAATATAAAATCTATATATGATAATGGAAGAGTTGGAAGTGTAGAAATAATGGAGAATGTAAACTTTGCCAATCATAGTAAGTAAAATTGGTGAGATGATGTGGGTAGATGCTTGAATAATATTCTTAGTAAGATAATTATTATTATTATAATTATTATAGTTTTGTAAATAAATATATTTATTGTCATAAAATCATACACATTTTAAATAATCTTCTCCTCTATTTATTATTGGTTTAAAATGACACTCTTCATTTACCATCCATTCAATACTATTCCTTACCATCATTCTTCTCTCTCCTCTCATCATATTTCTCATTAAAAATGGTTATTTCCAATATGTACATTTTTCTTGACTATAACCTCCATATCCTGGTAATATTGATATAAAACATGCTTTATGCCAACATGCAATCTATATTTAATCAATCTATTACTCTATATAAAGGTTTCTTCTCTGCTTTATATTTTTGTAGTGTATCATGTAATCGTAATAACATCTCTTCTTCTTTCATTATCTCAAATTAATAATACACTTCCCCTTCTAAATCACATATCTTTATCCCATCACCATTTACTATTCCTGATACCACCTAAAAGTATTTATCAATATCTCCACTCTATTCTATTGCTTTCTCAAAATATCCTATTGTCACTCCATCTGATACACATATTGCTAATTATTTTGCAGCATCATGAAGCACCTTTTCTAATGTTGAAAATATAAATCCCTATCATTATTCATTTATTTTACATGCTTCCCAAATAAACTTCTTAAATGATCTTCATATTTAAAATCTTTTGCTTTTAATGAAAGAAACAAAGCAGATTTAAATAAATTATATCTCTTATCCTTTCCTAAATTGTTCTATTTACTTATGATGTATCCCATCTCCAATCTTTAATATATTGTGTGTAAAAATCTCAATAAAATGTACAAATTTTAAGTTACATAAGTTGTTTACTTTACTCGAGGTTTCAAATTTAAAAATGCACCAGGAGGTTCATTCTCAATTTCAGGAATTTATACCGTTGTTTCTTCAGGATTATAGTGTATATCGTATATTTCTAAATTAGCTATTTCATTTCTTAATTTAGTATCATTTAATGTTAATTCAGATATTTACATAGGTTTCATTGGAACTTAAAAAAAGTGATTTATTATTTTTATCATAAAGGATGTACCATTTCTTTTATCTAATAAATTATTTCCTCCCATAATTTAAAAATAATGAATTATAAATTATCCACATTCTTAGAGTATCTGTTCATTCCCCATCCAAAGAGAAATAAGTGGACAAAAACGAATATTTTCTTTGGTTGGAGTAGCTAATGGCATAATTTTAGGAAGAAATGGTTTAATATTAGTCATTTAAGCTAAGGAATTTAGAAAATGATCATCAAAAGTGAATTAAATAGTATCTGTTTTTCTTTTTACAAATACATGATCCTTAGTTCCTAAGAATTTAATAAGTACATTCTTAGCATATTCTTCAATTTCTCTGACAAATCTTTATCCATTGATAACTAATTTATCATTTTTTTTGAAATAAAAAGATCTATGATCTAAAGATTTATGAAAATTCATAATAGAAACAGTTTCCCAAATTTACTTAGCTTTAGTATTGCGTGCTTATACTAATTCATTTAATTTAGATTTGACTCTTTTAATTAATATCTTGGCACTTTCTATAGGTTTATTAGAAAATAGTTGTAATATTTCATTTTGATCTTGTGTTTAATTCCTATATAATTATTACAATATTCTCATATCAATAACTTTTTTAACAAGTGCTTATTCATCTTTAGTTCCATCAATAATTTCTTAAAGCAAATTAATAGTTCTTTTAGTTTATTAAATATAAACATCATATTCAAATCTTTCATCTTCACTTTTAAAGAGTTGTTCTTCAAAAGTGTTTTTTCTCATAATTAAGAATGATTGATCTTCAGAGCCAAATGGAACTGAAACCCATAAGTGATTTAGAATTTCTGAATTATTATTAGCTTGAGCATATCCAATAGGCATTCTAACATATGATCTAGTAACTCTATCCACTTAAGCAAAATCAGTATCTTTTAATGGTTTAAATAATTGAGTTTATATTCTCCTTGCAATAACTCTGGTTGTTAACATTGATCTTATATCATCTATATAATCTCTCTCTAACCAATTTTATTAATTAATTAATTCCATAACTTCCATTTAAGTTATTATACATTCAGAATACAAATGGATCACCTTTAAAAATTCATTCATAAATTGTTAATAATCATTTGGAAATTGTTGGATCACTCTCATACGAAATCTATCCCAAAATAATAATTCATTCTATTTTCATTAATCAAACTTTACCATATCAATAAAAGCTATTCCACTTTTATCTAATAATTTTTAAAAATAATTTCTATTCTCTTCAATCTTCTTTTTTGGAGCATTCAATTCATGCTTTTTTTTTAAACTCTGTAAGAATTACTATTATAATTAAGGATCATTGCTAAATAAATCTAATATATGATCTTTATTCTAATGACCATCCAAATATCCATTCTATATTTATTTTAATATTGATTCCATTGCTTTGCTTTAATTTACTTCATTATTAACAAATTCACTCAATTTTTCTTTTTGTGTCTTAAATTTTACATCATCTTCCAATAAATTATTTACCTCTTTTAATAGTTCTGGTTCTTCACTTAACATTTACTCCAATTATTCTTTTCCTGTACGAGAATTTTAACTAACTATATTTGAAAATTGCCTATATTTTTATTAAAATACAACTTATAAAGTTATTAATTTGTGCGTCTCAATTTCTAACAAAATTACTCGCATCTATCATATAACTATTAATCTATATCCTATATGAAAAAAATAATTCAAAAATTTACTTCTCCAAATTCCATCATATTACTCTTGCTTAATATATCATCACCCATTTTATGATTATCTTTATATAAAAAATAAAAATTTTATAAAATAAAGAATTATTATTATTATTATTATTAAATTTCCCCTTTTCTTTTTAAAACTATTTTACAAAATTATCATCATTTTTTTTCTTTTTATTTATTTAAATGAAATAAAATATAACTAATACACAAAAAGTTATTCGAAAGAGTAAATGATTATCTTTATACTTATCTAGGACCTTGGAGTTAGGATGAAGATATTAAAATTCTTGAATTAATTTAAATTTTTGGACCTTCGAATTGGACTTAGATTGCATAATAATTACAAAGTAGAAAAGGAAAATAATGTAGAGAAAGGTTTATGAAATAATTTATCTTTTTAGATGGCATAATCATTTAAATCCATTAATCAAAAGATCCCCTTGGAATGAAGATGAAGAATGGATTTTATATTTATATCACAAAATCTTTCGTATACTTTCATGATTATAAATTAAAGGTAATAAATGGTCATAAATTGCTAAATACATTAATGGTCGCACAGATAATTCAATAAAAAATCATTGGAACAGTGGCATGAAAAAAAAATTAAATTAATTTTAGAGAAAATTCAATTAAATCAAATAAAAAGTTTTAAGAGAAGGGTATATTATTATATTTAAAAATAGCGTTTCTGTTCTTAGTGAATATGATTTAGAATAGAAATCAATTATCTAAACCATTTTAATTGATAGGATTTCATAAAATAAATAAAAATAGAGTGATCTTATGCTATCATCTTTAAAAAATTTGAAAAAAACTAAAACTGACAATTTATACTACGAAAAATTTATAGAATAAGAATAGATAATAGAATAAAACAACTTAAATTCTGAATTAGATTAATAAAGTGATAGGTTATAATTTGATTTTAAATTAGCTATTTTGATTCGAATAATAAATTTTTGGTCTCTAAAAATTAAGTTGATAACGACTATAATTTTTATTGAAGAAAAGATAAATTCATAAAGTTAAATGAAAACAATTTTCCTGGATTATTAAATAATTAAATTTTCATTTGACTTCTTCACTAATATATCTAGGTCTGTATTTTCTTGGAGAAGGTACTTTCTTTGATTATATGTTTTCTATGAGTTATTTGAGTAAGTAAGTTATTTGAGCATAGAATTCTTCATTCCATTCTTTTTCAGTAGTTTTTGTTATTTTTTTTACATTCTATTAAGAACCAGTTCGGGTTAACTTTTTATCAGAATATTAATTTTAATTCTATCTTTCGTTAGTTTCTTTGTTTTCCTCCTCATCTCTGATAATTTATAATTTCAGTAGAGGTTAATTTATTTAAGGTCTATTTAAGCTATTTAAGTTTGAGGATTCAAATTCAAATGATTTTTTTATAAGATTGTTTGAAAATAACTTTTCTTTATAATTTGAGAATTCTTTTGGAACTCTAACATTATTACTGATAATAATGTAATTGAAAATACTTAAAATTATATTCTGCAATTTGGACAACCTTTTCTAACGGAGACTATTCATCAGGATCTTCTCTATAAAGTATTTCACTTAAAAAATTTATTCAAATTCTTTACGCAATATCATGAATTGTCAAATCAGCTGCAGCTCCAATTTTCAATAGAATAGTGGCTATTTTAGCATTTCTTAAACAAATTTCTCTTAATTCAACTTTATCTTTAATCATTTAAATATCTTTATCAGGGTTTATTCTTTCAATAAATAGTTTTTCTTCTTAAGTAAAAGGTTATTACATTTAATCCCAATGATACCAGACTACTTCATCTCTACAAATTTTAAATGAATCTGGAAATGAATAGCCATGATCAATAGGAATTAAGAAATAATCAAAAGATTGTCTAGTTTATCCATTAGCTTATGGAAGTTTTCTTTGATAAAAATATAAATTATTACTTTTTTCTGACTAAAATATTTTCTTCATTACGATCACAATTCAATATTCTAATATCTAAAATAGCAATTTTCCTAGCTTCTCTAGAAGGGTATAATCCACTTCCATAATTTCCAACATTATCATCATGAGGAACGTATAATTAAAAAGAGCCCTCTTTGATAGGAATTTTTTCATGTTAAAATTATTTATATTCTTCTGCCTCATGAAATGATGGATGACAAATTTAAACATAATTAGTAATAGGTACTAAATGAACTTATTATAAATGATACCACTATGATAATGTCCAGAAGATTGATCAATTAAATACGCAGCCACTTCTCTATCTACTCCTTCACCTGATAAGATGCCTTATCTAAGACCAGGGGAATTCATTTTCCCTCTCATTCCTCTTGGATTATTTGGACTAAATAATTATATAATTATTTACGCAAAGGCTTCTTCATCATATGGTTTGAAAATTGCCACTGGTTTATGATTTTAATTTTCTAATATATAAGTTCCTTAAGTTCCGAAATCTGTCAATTTTGGAGTGATTCCTATCATAAAAGCACCTTCTACAGCCCATCTTGCATTTTAAAATTATTCCTAAGTACTTCTAGACTCTTCCAATATATTATGAAGACTATTGATGAAATACATCTACTAACCCTACTTACGAGCCATTAGCTTTAATGACACATGATTCTTTATTCCATAGTCCTATTACTATAGAATATTATATTACTTCAAGATCCTAATTGTTCAAAGTTAATTCTTAATTTTTATATAGAACCCTAAAATCACCTATATCAAGTTTTGTTGCTTTATTTATTTTCTGTTTTAAAATTGAAATCTTCATCCAACTATACAATTTTAACGTAAAATCATTCCCTATTTAAACCTAATTTTGTATATGCAACACTAATTCTTTTTGAACACTTTGGTCCTAAGGATTTGAAGAACTAAAGCCAAAACCTCTTATTATTTAAAATATTACTCTCAAATTTCCTTTTGACCGGTCCTTTTTTCATTTATTAGAATCTTCAATTTTTATAATATTATCTTTGAGTTAACAGATATTATCAATAAATTACATTATAACAAATTAAAATAATTATAATTCAACTTTATTCTACACCAGTCTTATTTTTCATTATATAAAATAGTCTAATATAACACTCCATGTTATTTAAATCAAATATTTTATCAATTTATTATATATTTCAAGAAACAATAAAATTTCATCAAAAGTCCCTCATGAATGACAATACTGTAGATAAAACAGTAAAAATAAAAAACACTTAATATCTGTTTTTTAAATCCAATTTATGTACTTTATAATTTTTTTGGAAATCTTTCCTTTAACTCTTAATATATTTGGTAATGAAATAGTATTGACAATATAAAAACAAAATATATAAAATTCAAACTTATTAAAATTACTGGTTTGTTGAATACTAATGTATTATTGTATTCTATAGTTTTATTTTACTATGGATATTAATAAGATTCTTTCGATATCTTCTAAATCAACTAAGTAAATATAGTAAAAAGATAATTGGGGAAGTCCTCTTGTATTATTTTTTTTGAAGATCGTCTTTCAATGTTTGTCTAATAAAGTTCAATTGAATGACTATCTTGCTTCTTGATAACCCATATATAATATTGATTATCCATAATCAAATATTGATATATCTATTATAGAGATTTGAATTGACATTTAATTATTTGAATATTATTGACTATTATGTAAGATAGATAAAGTCTATTTGTTATTTAAATAAATAATATGATTGTGATAGATAAATAAAGTTAATAAAAATTTAAATAATTATTTTATATTTCTTATAATAAATGAGTGCAAACCAATAGCCAAATTAATAGGAGCTCTCGGATGAAGGTAATTATTTAATTATTAATAATAGAATTCATGAAACTTCATGCTAAACAATTCTACAGAACTCATGGACAATTGATCGGAAGCAAACCATAATATATCCCTGTTCCTAAAGAATATAATGATAACGGAAAGTTTACAGATGTAACTAATTAAATCATAATAGCATTTACTTATGGCAACGATGTACAGGAATAATAGTCTTAATACTACATGCGACAAAGAACGCTGGATTAATGGTTCAAAAGATTGGATGGAACATTTATAATGAAATTTATATATACAATATTAGATTCATTTATTAAGTCTTGAGCATATTTCACAATAATATTGTTTGCTTTTTTGAGAAGCACGAAATTTGCTAAAACAATAAACACATATTGTATGGTATTAACAATCTAAAATTGGATAATTTTTATTGACTTGAATTTATGCTTATAAAAAGTCATCCCTAATGTGAAATAGACAAACAGCACAATAATTTTGAGTATCAGTGAGTTCAATTCTCATATTCTTAGTTTATTATTATTTAAAATCATAGGTGGATTCATTAGTAGTAACATATTGTTTAGATTTATAAATATTTGATGTTCTAGAGCTTGATTATAAATTAAAATTTGAATTATTTTATATGTTTGATTTTTAGTCTTCCTGTTTTGGTTTATAATCTTTTCATAGGAGAGTTGTCATACCTCCCTCAAAAAATGATGTAATTTCATTCTTGTAGATTTAAGCATTGCATTTTTAAATAAAGCAAGCTTTTAGATTGGTTTATTTTTGAACACAAGTAAAACAGTAACTATGTTTGCAAATAGGATTTTAATAAGTATGTTCTTGAGAATACTGACAAATATCACATAGTTTACGATAGCTAGTTTAATTCATATTATTAAATAATATATATATTATTAATTAAATAATATTAAGAAAAAAAAGAATGCTTTTATTTAGTCAATAATTAATCTTTCATAATAATGATAAAGACAAATAATGAATTGAAAAAGTGGTAGAATCAAGATAATCAATAAGGGAGGTCTTAAATATTTCGTATTTCTAAAATGAAACCATAATGCTTTGATATATCACCTTGTCGCAAAATAATTTGTGTTGGATATACAAATAAGTGTTTAATTTTTTGGGACTTTATAAGTGGTTAAAAATTAAGATGTCATCAACTCTCATTTATTCCAATGCAAATATTATACTCTGGAGATGGTAAATACTAGTTAATTAGATCAAAATAAAATCAAAAGAAAATTTATATTTTTAAATTATCTAGTATGGAATATGAAGAAATAGTTTCATCAACATATTTATATTAAAAAATACTTTAATTTAATATATCTAAAAGTTAAGAAGCTTTAATGATGGGATTATCTCATATCAGCGTAATAAACTATAAAAATAAATGGATACAAAAATAGGTTGATTTTTAATTTGTTTCTCTTACTACTCTAAAAAATAAAGATTAAATATGTAGTGTAGATTGTCATTATAATCTAGCTGAAATAAATATCTTATTACTTAAAAGAAATCTAAAAGTATTAAAAAGAACTTATTTTAATGTATAAAATGGGAACATAAATATAAAAACAAGCAATAATAATACATTTATTGTGTCTAGTAATAAATCAAAAAATAGAATTTGGAATATTTAGACAATGAAATTATTGAGAAAAAAATGTTATGGAGAAGATTAAATAGGTGAATTAATTATCAATTCACTATCAAATTTAGTTTATTTCCATCTAAGTTCTTATGGAATTGTAGTATGGAATATTAGTACTGGTAGACATAGAGTAGTAGTAGAAGATTAAAAAAATAGATTGTCTTGTCTTCAAGTAATTTCAAACTGTTAATTAATATATAAAAGTAGTTGGCATATACATTCAACAATTTGTTTTTGATTTATAAATATTAATGTCTTTCATTTATGTTTTACCATAAATTAATAAACTCAATCCACTTTATTATTCTTGTCTATCTTACAATTACTTTCTGTTTTTATTAATAAAATTTATCTCTAAGGAATACTATAAATTTAATATCATGTCTATCAGCAAAAGTAATCTAATAAATTCTTAAATTAATAAACATTCTTCCAATTAACAAGTTTCATCATCATTATAAATCATTCCATATCTATCTAAATAATGATAACAAGCTTACAAATACATTCATTTAGCATCTTATAGATTACATCCAAATCTAAAATAATTTAATAATTGATACTGAACAAAATAAAACAGAATATTTTAATATTAATGTTTTATCAAGTAATTTTTAATCTTCTTTCTTTAAAGAAGATTATTAAGTAATAAAATTTTATATTTCTGGAATTTTATTTGAATTTACAATTGAATGAGAATATTTAGAAGTATATTTAGCCAATCCAAAGCTCAGGATAATTTATGGAAAATGCAATCCTAATCTTATGCATCACTTTCTTATAGAATTTCTTCTGAATAAATTGTAATCTGTATAGCTTTCACATATCCACTCTCTGATAGAATTCCAATTATTTATCCTGATATATTATAATTTCAAGTTATTTATTTCTTCTATCAATTAATTACTTTTTTTAATGTCTTTAGTTTGTACTTTTAAATTAGGTTTTTATTTAATAACCCTTTCATGTTAAACTGATTATAATTTATTATTACTTTTATCTACTATAATTCATATAACTTAATTTTAATAAAAAATTAATAATAAACAAAATCTTCACTAATAAAACATACATGCATCCAAAATAAAATCTGATCCATAAGTTTTAGGTTTCTTATTCTCACTTATTACATAAACATTTTTCATTGTTGATTTTCTAACTATATGTCCTCCTCCTAAAGTAATCAGATATTCTATCTCAGCTTTTGAAGGAATCACATCCTCATTTACATAATATTTCCCTTCAAAAATTTTAATTATATTATCATTGCTTTCAAAATAATCATCTCTACATTAAATAATTTATTTTATGCTCAATCCAAATTATTTTTCAAATTCTTCACTCTCAGGTATATAATCTTAATGATCTAATTATTCCTATTCTAAAAATGAATCTTTAAGCCAATCATAAGTAACTATCTCAGCACCATACATTAAACCTACCAAAAATTTAAATGTCCTTTTAAATGGAGTACTTACTACTAATAAATCAAATTTCTCAAATTAACTCTACACCAATTCAAGATTTAATTTCATCAAATCTTTTTCTTAAGGAATTTCATTTTCCTAAAATCCACTAAAAGCAATTATGTTAAATTTTTTATCATTATTAATCAATCTTTTTTTTCTCAATCCCCTTCTTTTTTTTGGTACAACATTAGAAGCTTTTTCTTCTTAAATTTTTGTATTTGGCTATTCCACTTAATTTACTTAATTTAAAGATTGAGACACTTACGATTCTTATTAAAATTAAATCTTTTCTTCTTCTAATTCTGAGTTTGAATTGTTACTAATTTCATCTGTGATTTTTTTTAACATTCCAACTTTTTTTATTTTCTCCTTTTTCTGCTTTTCTTTTTTCTTATTATTTTTACTTTCCTTATTACCTTATTATTTAAATTTTATAGGAGTATCTTCTTATTATGATTATTTCTTTTCTTCTTAAATTTCATCAGACTTCATACTTAATAGATTAGATTTTAATGATGAAAATCTTTTAATAACAGGTTAGACTATATTCTAATTAGGTAATTCTGGCAAACTACCAAAAATATCATTTAATTCAATATTTTAATAAACTTCCTTTTTAGGCAAAGTATGATTATTATTATTTTATTCTGATTCTCTACTATTAATTCTTTTAAATTGAGAAATCTATGAATTTTATTCCTCTTTATTAAATTAAGATGAAAAAACTTTTTCTAATTCTTCATCAATCACAGTTCCTTTTATTTCATCTTTTTTTTCAAAGAATTTTTATTATTCATCATCATTAACTGTAGCTCCTAATATTTAAGAATCAATAACTGTAGAATCAATTATTTAAGGTTAAGGAGATTAAATTTTTGTAATAACATTAGTGGTAGTATTTTGCTGTTATTTTTTAATTTTAAATAAGTCACTGAAAAGTGTTGCTTTTTTCTAAATTGGAGGCTGTTCCTATTCTAATAAATTTGTTTATGTAGCTACTTCTTATTTAATATTAGATGTTTATTAATTTATTAATTTCATGTTTGAATACTAAACAATTAGTTCATTTAATGTAAATATTTCAGCTTAATCAGGTTCTTCAATAATTAATGTAGATTAACAAGGATCTTATGTATTTAATACCTATGTAGTCATAAATTATTGGGTAGTTGATATTATAGGAGGTTGTTATGGAATTTAAAAAATATCTTCTAATGGCATAGTTCCTTGAAATTCTTCAAGATTTTAAGTAGTTTAAAATTAATAGCTATCTTTTTATTAGACTTATTGATTAAAATCAAGAAGTTAAAATTTATAGTTTTAAAAGTAGTAATTTTTGGTTGGAAACATTTCAATTAGAAAGTTTTTTGGAATTTCTACTTTTGAATATGGTTTAAGAGTTGAGTCTTTATAAACATTGAAAGTGTCACTAAAATGAGTGAGATAAACATCATTATTAATCATAACCTATATTTTAGATTAAGAGTATTTACAATTGAAAAAAGTACATTTTAAACATTACGAATAATAAACTTGNTATTTTTACTTTCCTTATTACCTTATTATTTAAATTTTATAGGAGTATCTTCTTATTATGATTATTTCTTTTCTTCTTAAATTTCATCAGACTTCATACTTAATAGATTAGATTTTAATGATGAAAATCTTTTAATAACAGGTTAGACTATATTCTAATTAGGTAATTCTGGCAAACTACCAAAAATATCATTTAATTCAATATTTTAATAAACTTCCTTTTTAGGCAAAGTATGATTATTATTATTTTATTCTGATTCTCTACTATTAATTCTTTTAAATTGAGAAATCTATGAATTTTATTCCTCTTTATTAAATTAAGATGAAAAAACTTTTTCTAATTCTTCATCAATCACAGTTCCTTTTATTTCATCTTTTTTTTCAAAGAATTTTTATTATTCATCATCATTAACTGTAGCTCCTAATATTTAAGAATCAATAACTGTAGAATCAATTATTTAAGGTTAAGGAGATTAAATTTTTGTAATAACATTAGTGGTAGTATTTTGCTGTTATTTTTTAATTTTAAATAAGTCACTGAAAAGTGTTGCTTTTTTCTAAATTGGAGGCTGTTCCTATTCTAATAAATTTGTTTATGTAGCTACTTCTTATTTAATATTAGATGTTTATTAATTTATTAATTTCATGTTTGAATACTAAACAATTAGTTCATTTAATGTAAATATTTCAGCTTAATCAGGTTCTTCAATAATTAATGTAGATTAACAAGGATCTTATGTATTTAATACCTATGTAGTCATAAATTATTGGGTAGTTGATATTATAGGAGGTTGTTATGGAATTTAAAAAATATCTTCTAATGGCATAGTTCCTTGAAATTCTTCAAGATTTTAAGTAGTTTAAAATTAATAGCTATCTTTTTATTAGACTTATTGATTAAAATCAAGAAGTTAAAATTTATAGTTTTAAAAGTAGTAATTTTTGGTTGGAAACATTTCAATTAGAAAGTTTTTTGGAATTTCTACTTTTGAATATGGTTTAAGAGTTGAGTCTTTATAAACATTGAAAGTGTCACTAAAATGAGTGAGATAAACATCATTATTAATCATAACCTATATTTTAGATTAAGAGTATTTACAATTGAAAAAAGTACATTTTAAACATTACGAATAATAAACTTGCATAATTTTGAATCGCTACCAAATTTATTTTCACCTTGTATCAATCTATATTAATAAATTAGTTTATCGTTCTAATCTAATACTTAGATCATTTGATGTAAAGTTATAATAAAAATTTATAAAAAAAGTAAATTTAATATAATATTAATAATCTTTTGATTATAAATTAAAAAGAATGATATTCATTTTTATCTCTTTTCAGATCCAAATAATTTTTACAAATTAGAGTTTTTATGAAACTAATAATTTGTAGTAGTTTTAGGATACAACATTTGAGCAAACTATTCAGTTTTGAATCTGTCATTTTCAATTTTATGAAAATTTTAATCAGGCATAGTAGCAGTTCTTTCAGAACTTATTTGACCTTTTGTAGATTCTAAAATTTATTTAAGTACCTATAATATAATTTTAAAGTGATACTTTCAGTTCAGGATTTGAATTTTATTATTACATAGTTTTGGAATAACCATGTGTAATTTTAGATGATTGAATGATTGAGGAAGATTTATTTGAAAATTCTTTCTTTAATAGAAGATCTGAAATTTCTGATTTTCCAGAATATTTTGGTAGTCGTTTTATATCAGAAGGTGAGATTTGCTAATAATATATATTTAAAGATAAAAAATACTCTTTGTCTTTCTGGTTAATTAATATCATAATTTGGAATATTTTAAATATTAAGTTATGCCAAGTTGACATGATTAGATCTATTTAGTTTATTTTCTGGTTTTTTAGGTAAATCTTCTCTAGAGAAATAAAATCTTTTAAGAATAAAATTTGGATTATTATCAATATTCTAATTAATTTAAAAATGATACCACATATTCTTTTTGAATATTGATTGCATATTATTTTCTAAATTCAGCATCACCTTTATTAAATTCTTCTTCATCAAAATTATATTTTAAAGGTTCAGGTTTATAAGGAGGTGAATGTTTTTTATTGGCAATATCTTCAAAGTTAATATCATTAAACCAAGGATGACTTAAAATTTCAATTATTCCTTAAGATTATCCTAATCTTTCTTATGGATTTTTTTCTAATAGTTAACAAATTAAATCTTTTAATAGATCTGAAATTTGAATATGAGGAGGAAATGAAACTTATTCAGATAATATAGAAGTGTATATTTCTTAAGTATTATGTGAATAAAAAGGTGGCAAACCTGTTACTAATTCATATAGAAGTGCACCTAAACAATAACAATCAACTAAATAATTATGTCCATTCTTTAATAACATTTCAGGTGCCATATATTCTGGAGATCCACAAAAAGAATATGCATAATCTTCATTTGACATATTTGGTTTACTTAATCCAAAATCACTTAATAGAAGATGTCCATTTAAATCTAATAATATATTCTCTGGTTTAATATCTCTATATACTATATTCTAAGAATGTAAATATGCCATTCCTATACATATTTCAACAAAGTACTATTTTGCATTCTCTTCACTTAATCTCTTTAATTTTCTTAAATGATAAAATAATTCACCCCCTGCACAATAATCTAATACAAATGCGATATAATATTTTGTTTCGAATGCAAAATGCAATGGAGTAATGAATTCATTATCCATATTTACCATAATATCTCTTTCATTTTATACAATCACTTCTTTTTAATTCTCCATTATAAAATTTTTATCAATCAATTTTAAAGCATAAAACTTTCCATTGTCTCTTTTTCTTACTAAATATACTCTTGAAAATCCTCCTACTCCAATACATTTAACTAATGTAAAATCTCTTAAAGAAACTTTCTTTCCATAAAGAGGTTAAGAAATTAAGGGTTATAATTCAAGAGTCATACCTTAGAATACTTTTAAAGGCAAATTAGGTAAACTTAAATAATAATCATAGGGAATGTTTTTCTAGATTGTATAGAATTAACATATTTTATTGATTTCTATGAATAAACTCTAAATTAACCTTCTTATATTTAAACTTCTTCAGTCGATCCGGTTCCTCCTCCTTATTTCATAAAGGATTTTTCAATACAAGCAATTTACTAAACCAAATAATTGTATAAATTATCTGTTGTTTGATCTATTACATTATGAAAATAATGATATCTAATTAAATTGATTTATATTACTTTTAACCTTTATAAACTAAAACTATTTTTAATTACTTTTATGAATCATTATTTGATTCATCTCTATTATTCTTTCTTTATGAATCACTTTTCTATTATTAATTTTATTTTATAGATTGAACTTCATTATTATTTTGATTGAATTAATTCTTATTCTTACTTAAGATCTATTCTATTGATTATTTTAATGTATGTGAATCTGACACTATAGATTATTTATTTTATCTTATAGTAAAATATTATTAATAATCTTATGTTTGAAGATTCTTATGTTCTTTGGCGCTCTTTATTTAAAGATCCATAAAATATTAATCTACAGTAGATTTAGGTAACTTATTACTACTCTAAGGTATCTAACTATATTTAATGGTATTTTTTTATTATTTTGGTTCCATTTATAATGTAGCTAAGGAATAATTCTTTCCTTTTAAAAATTATTTCTTGTTTGAATTACTCTCTTCTGTTTGAATACGCTAATTAATATATTAATAGATAGGTTACATTTGATATTTTTAAGCGTTCACTTTTCTAACTATTTATATTATCAATACTTCTACTTTGTTATAATTAGGATTTAATATTATTATTACTAACTTAAGTGATAGTATTTCTCTCTTTTTTAAAATATTCTAATAAATCTTATTTTGGATTTTTAGCAGCTGTAGTTATATTTTCTGTCTTTATTATTTTACCACTACTCTTTTTTTAATAAAATTCCATAATCTAAGGATTGTCTTAAAGACTGCCTCTTCCACTAGATTATATTGTTTAAGATGAATAATTTTTCATTAACGATATTTATAAATATTAATAACCATAATTTGTGTTAGAATCCATACAGAATAAATTTCAATTAACAAAGATTTCTCATAACTTTAGAATACTTGAAAAATAGTTCAAATTAATTATAAACTGACGAAGTTAATACTAATATCATTCTTAATTTTATTTTCTCATTTCCATCATCTTTTATTTAGCTTCAACTTTAGTATTTTAGACTAAATCAGTCATTAGAGATATGAATATTGGAATCATAATCATTGTGATGGTTATTATAATAATATATTGTAACTAATATTATTAATTAATCGCTTTACATATTTTGTCTCAAAAGAGTAAATTAATTCTTTAGCATAAGTATTATAAAACCCTTATTGTTCAATATCATTATCCAATCCAAATCTCAATGTACATCTAAGCAATCCCAAAAATGTATAAAAGAAATTATCATGATTTACAAGTCTTGCTTAAATGGTAACAATCCATGACATTGCACAAACACTGATTATGTACATCAAAACAAGTAGCAAAAACCAAGATTCTCTATTAAACTATTATAAATTAGAATTAATATCAATTACTCTTATCATAACTAATCCATAACATTTTAAGTATGGACTCCAATTACCCATAAATCTCACTATAGAAATCATCAAAAATATAACCAAAACTGCTGAAAACAATCTGGTTACAAATAATGGTTCTATCAAAGCACTTGTATCCTAATATTAATCTGAATGTAAATCTATTTCACTTAATGCAACTTCATAGTAAGCATCTACTGTATTCTTCATAACCATACCGAATTAGCATAAAATATCTATAACATTTAAATTATTTAATTACAAATATAATCGAAAACAAGAGGAATTCTAATTGTTATGTAAACTACTTTTAAATTAATAATTATATATTCTCCTACAATCAATTCTTTTTATTATATTTCCTTTTAATCACTTTCACTAATTTCCTTCTTTTTAGCTTCCATTTTTTTTTTCCTATTTATCAAATCCATATATTATAAATATATCACGATCAAATTGTTTTTAGTCCCTTAAAAATATAAACCAAAAAAGTCTAATAAATATATATATTTGTTTTCTACCAAAAAAAGAGGATATTAATAGAACGATAGAGCAATAAAATATGATATCTTTGTTAACTAGGACTTATTTTGTTATTTAGCTTAAGTTAAAAGCCTCTGCTCTAAAACTATTATAATTTAGAAGACGCTATTAATTATATTAAAAAGATACATCATTGAATAAATAAAGAGTAGTTATAGTAATTTATATAACTCTTTATGTAGGACTATTATAATAATTCAAAAGAAATTGAGACTCTTTTATATTAAATTACAACCAATTTTCAGACATCATTAAATCAAAACTTTCTTAAAATGATGATCTTGAACTCAAATTAAATTCCCAAACATAACCTCCAAATTATTCATTGTAAACTTTGGGATCAAAATTTGATTTGGAATAATTTTTATTTAAATCGCTTGTTTAAGTTATGTCAAACTATAAACATGATTAATTTAAATCAATAAATACTTTCTTTTGATTTTCATTTAATATATGGCAATTGTTGATGTCATCCTAAATATGATTAAATAATTACTATACCAACAAGAGTTTAAACTAGTAAACCAGATTATAGAGGATATGTTGGACTCAAATTGTTATTAGACCCATTAGGGATTGAAAAAGATATTATTTCTGAAATATTAGTTACAGGAGTGATATATGATTTTTAGATTGCCATATTTAAGGTTAAGCTTTGTAGTAATTAAGTATTTGTAAAAAAATCTATTTCATTTATTTCAATAATAGCATATAAAATTAAAAGGGATACAAATAAAATAGATTCCAATACATACTTAAATCTTGTTAAGTAATCCATATATTTAGACCAATTTATAGCCTTTTCTACTCTCTTATTTAGTCTAAGCTATTTTGTCATTAATTCTTAGATACCTCTATCAAACCCAAAATCGGCTTCTGTTTATTTAGTATCTTCTTTAGTTTTTTTTTATTTAATTATTTTTATACCTATAGCAGGTTAATAGTTTTTTAATAATTCATAAATTGGAGGATAAAGTTAATCTAAAATATTCATATCAGGTTAAAGCACATTTCCCATTAAATCTGTATAAAAAATCTCTGATTCCTATGCCATACAACATGATTTCACAATTTGTTTTAATTCTCTAAATGTACGTACTGTTCCTGGCACTTTTACAAGCAAAGAGCTGTTCCCTTATTTGAGAGTTAAATAATATCCATCTTCGAGTATTACTTTTTCATTCTCCTATTCTTTCTGTTTTTCATCTTTTTGTTAATTTTAAGTCATTATTAGATTTCCCACTTATAACTATTTCTTTGATATTTCTTCTTCTTATATGCTTTCTAAATATTCTTTTTTGCTAGTGTTAAGAAGAAATAAATTCAATGTTTAAATCACATTTTTTTCTATTGTCTCATCTAAACCTTAGTTTTGATCAGTTTAACGAATGGTTTTTAATGTCTTATTATGTTTACTGTATTCTTCAATAGATTTAATTAAAGATTCATACTCCTAAAAGATATTTCATTAAATACTTTTTCTACTCTACCTATTTCATCAAAATAAAAGTCGTTCAATTTTTCTTCTTCCATTTATTCTTATTGAAATTTTTTATATTCTTCCTTTAGAGCATCTCTCTATTTTTTAAAGGGAGCTAACTTTTTATTGTTGTACTGATTATTGCTCATAAAATTAGAAAGGTAGTATAAATTGAAATATTAATAAAAAATTAAGAATTACAAATATGAGATAATAATATAAAAGGACATTAATATAATTAATCAAATAACTGAATTGAGGTATGATTTAAATGATTCTTGGCTTACCATTAATTAATTTAAATTCTCCTTCAATTTTGATGATTTTTAGTCAAGATTAACTTTGCATTACAAACTCCTATTACTCTTAACTATATCTCTATATTCTTTTTATAAATCTTCGTATACTTCTTAGAATTCTTATTTCTAAGAGATTAAATGCATGCATTTTTAGAGCAATCGAAACATGTCCTCGTTTCCCTTTCTCTATTCAAGCTTTTATTTTCCTATTAAATTTTACAAAACATTTAGATTTTTTTATTTAAGAGTATGTTTCTGTTAAGATTAATCAAAGTCATTAATTTATGTTTTTTATTAAGTCATATGGTTCATGCTATTATAAAGCATACAGGAAAAGGCTTTCTCATTAAATGAATATTTAGGACGATGATGAGCCATCTTTGCTGGTGGTGATTATGCAAGCGATTTTACTTCTGATTTCCTATGCATTTTTATATATTCAATTAAATTCTTCATTTATGAATTCCTATGAATTCGAGCATCAATTTAACTTGATTTTAGAGTACTTGAGTATTTATCTAAAAATTCTAATTTTGAATTCACAAATTCAAGACTTACTATACTAAGGTTGTCTAACATGTTATTTATTGTCTAAACTAGTTATCTATACTCTTCATCTAAATCTTGGCATTGACTAATAATTGACTACATTTATTTTAACGAACAAAAATATTAATTATGACTAACTTTATAGAGGAATCAATAATTATTAATCATCTTACTTCTCCTTAAAATTTTAATAATCCATAATAACACCAATTCAACCTAAACTCTGTTTCCATTCATCAGACTCCTCATAATAGTCTCGACTATTCTAAAATTGTTGAGAACGATAATATAGAAAAAGTTGTAAATCCAATGAGCAGTCTTAGTCATTTATCTTCTGATCATTTATCAAAAGAAAATTCAGACCCAGAATTAAAATAAGTTTTGACAGAAATCAATGATTCTCAACGTTTTTCTTAAGAAAATCTCCAAGAATTATAAATGTGTTAAGAAACTTAAATCAAATAAAACTAATTAAATAGTATGTCGGAACTTCNTAATTAATCAAATAACTGAATTGAGGTATGATTTAAATGATTCTTGGCTTACCATTAATTAATTTAAATTCTCCTTCAATTTTGATGATTTTTAGTCAAGATTAACTTTGCATTACAAACTCCTATTACTCTTAACTATATCTCTATATTCTTTTTATAAATCTTCGTATACTTCTTAGAATTCTTATTTCTAAGAGATTAAATGCATGCATTTTTAGAGCAATCGAAACATGTCCTCGTTTCCCTTTCTCTATTCAAGCTTTTATTTTCCTATTAAATTTTACAAAACATTTAGATTTTTTTATTTAAGAGTATGTTTCTGTTAAGATTAATCAAAGTCATTAATTTATGTTTTTTATTAAGTCATATGGTTCATGCTATTATAAAGCATACAGGAAAAGGCTTTCTCATTAAATGAATATTTAGGACGATGATGAGCCATCTTTGCTGGTGGTGATTATGCAAGCGATTTTACTTCTGATTTCCTATGCATTTTTATATATTCAATTAAATTCTTCATTTATGAATTCCTATGAATTCGAGCATCAATTTAACTTGATTTTAGAGTACTTGAGTATTTATCTAAAAATTCTAATTTTGAATTCACAAATTCAAGACTTACTATACTAAGGTTGTCTAACATGTTATTTATTGTCTAAACTAGTTATCTATACTCTTCATCTAAATCTTGGCATTGACTAATAATTGACTACATTTATTTTAACGAACAAAAATATTAATTATGACTAACTTTATAGAGGAATCAATAATTATTAATCATCTTACTTCTCCTTAAAATTTTAATAATCCATAATAACACCAATTCAACCTAAACTCTGTTTCCATTCATCAGACTCCTCATAATAGTCTCGACTATTCTAAAATTGTTGAGAACGATAATATAGAAAAAGTTGTAAATCCAATGAGCAGTCTTAGTCATTTATCTTCTGATCATTTATCAAAAGAAAATTCAGACCCAGAATTAAAATAAGTTTTGACAGAAATCAATGATTCTCAACGTTTTTCTTAAGAAAATCTCCAAGAATTATAAATGTGTTAAGAAACTTAAATCAAATAAAACTAATTAAATAGTATGTCGGAACTTCAATAATAATAAATTGATAAGCATAAATAAATCATTATGAAAAAAAATTGTCAATTCAATTTTGTAAATTCATTCAATTCTTACTTGAATCAAAATTATTAAAAACCTTCTAGTCCAATTAATCATATCTAAAAACATTAAATTTAGTCATAATATACAAATTTAGATTAGGATTTACTTGAAAACTTAAAAGAAATCTATAAATTTTATTCTAAATTACCTATTACAACCAATAAATACTAAACCTTTGAAAAATTGTAGTAACTCTCTCATACTATGATATTATAAAAGTTTATGATTTTTTGTAAAGATTTTAATTTGATTGATTTGGAAATCTCAAATGATTTAATCTCACTCTTAGGTGGTAAAATAAATAATCTTCCAAAAAAATAAATCAATTACAATTATAAAAATAATAACAAATCTAATTTCATATTAACTAAATTTTATCTAGTTTAAATATATAAACAAAATGCTGATAAAAATATGTAATTAAATTTTTAAAACTTCATTATCTTAATTTAAAAACTAGCTGATTAACTTTTTCCTTTATAGGATTATTTACTGCATGAATTTTTAAATCTCAAGTATCCAAGAATTTATAGAAGAAAGATGGCATTAATTGGAAAACCTTTTAATTCAAGAGAATAAAGTGAAATTATGACTTTAGAAAAATTGAATGAAAGAAAAAATATATTACCATAAAAATATAAAAGGAGATCAGAAAGCACAAAAAAATAAGAAGATATTTATCATCTTCAATTTCCAAAAATATCAAGAAAAACAAATACTTTTTAATGTTATTCACCTCTTGAAGATAAATAATAAAATGAAGGCAGCAACTCTCTTTAAATAGAAGATTTAAATGATTAGAAATAAAATTTAGATCCAAGAAGGTTATTTGTTGATAATAAAAATTATGATGAATACTCTCCATAACATTATTAGTATTTTAAAGAATAATAAAATAAATAAATAAAACTATCAGATTAAATCAATTTTTCAAAAATATATAAAGGATAATAAGTTTCTCTTTAAAGCAATATTTTAGGTTCTCATCATAAATGTGATAAATAAATTAATAATAGTAGAAATCAATTAGAAATAAGTCAAAATATGATGGTGTCTGGAATAACAAGACTTACAAATCTTAAAAGTTTTGATAATCAAGATAATATAACAAAGAAATCTCCATCCTATTCTCCTTAACATAGAGAATTATGCAATTTAGAGAAGTAATATAAAATTCGTTAAGGATTTGTTAATTAGTAATCATGTCGAGAAAAATAAGTTAAAAAGACAAAATTTTGAATAGACTGAAAAAATATGGGTAAACAATGAAATAATTATAAAAATTGATTTTCAAATTTAATTTATCTTATAATTTAAATAATATTTAGAAAATGAAAATGAATGAGGGAATAAATATTAAAATAAAATGATTTTATTTTAATTTTCGAATAAAAATTAAAAGATAAAAGAAACTTTAGTTGGGTAATATAGAATAATCATAATTTAATGATAAAATTTAAATTTTTTAAATAATCTTTTTTTGAAAAATAAAATTTAATATTTATAATTAATCAATTAGATTAAAATTCTTCTGCTATTTTTGATAAATCTAAATCATCATATTCGTTTGTATTTTGACTATTTAAATTAATTTTTTCAAAATCTAATTTATCTAAAAATTAGAACATAGTATCAGAAGTTTAATCAGAATAGAAATTCTATTTTTACTTTAGGAATTCGTTAAATTATTCTAAATTTGAGAGAGTTAAGTTTTCTTCATCTTATAAAATAGGTTTTGTTTTAGTTTAGATGGTAAATTTATCTTCAAGAAAAACTTATTTTGATTGCAACTTAATTTATAATTTTTTATTTTAAGCTTTATCTTCTTATTCTTTTGGTTTAATGAATTAATCTATATTACCTAATTATATTTTTTTAACTTAAACTTTTTTTGGTTTAGTAATAGAATTGGATGTTAATAGTAAAGGTTGATATGGTTATTATTAGATAGTAGATGATTATTCTACAGTTTCTTCTTAGATTTGCTTAATATTTTTTGTAAAGAATTTTTCAATTTTAATTTATTTAGTTTCTTGTTAATCAATTTTTTTATTACTTTTTTTTTTAATTTTAAGATCTTAATTATTAATTTGAATAGAATGTTATTATTTGATTTTAATTTAGATTTAATTAATATCTCCATCAATAAATTAAATTTCAGGTTAAGATTATAATATTCTTGGATTGCTAGAATATAAATTAATATTAAATTCTTTAAGTTCTTTAATTAATTTAGAGTATTTATTAACAGATTTTTCATAATCAGCAGCTTCTTTACCTTCAGTTAATAAGACAATAATTCTTCCATCTCTTTTTCTACCAGTTCTACCCATTCTTTGTATCATTCTTATAGGACTGAAACCACTATCATAACATATGATTAAATCAACTTCTCCAATATCTAAACCTTCTTCAGCTATACATGTAGCAACAAGTACATTTAATTCTTTTTTAAATTTCTAATTAATAATAAAATTATACATCAATAACTTATAATTATTCTTTTTATTTCATTCCTGCTTAATTTTTAGAACTAGCCTATCCAACGAAAATAGAAGCTTTAACATTTTCAACTTAATTAATATGATTACATAATAATTAAGCATTATCTCTACTATTTGTAAAAACAATAACTTTAGATTGATTGTTTGTAAAATGATTTTTAAATATTTCTTTTAATTTATAAATTTTAGGATGCACTTCTTCAATGTCATCTAATTCCATATATCTAACATATGGTTGAATTCCTTATTCTAATAATATTTTTTTAGCATAAGATAATTTATATAGATGTGATAAATGTTCAAAAACTTTATTTGAATTTAATTGTCCAATTTAAAATTACAATTAAGAATTCGTAATAAATTCTCGAAGTTTAAAACAAGCTCCGTAACTAAATATGTCTGCTCTCGAACAAACTCTAATTAATTCTACAGGTAGAATTCCAAAACTTAATATGATGTTTAATAAGGGCTACATTTATTTATTAAGATCATCTAAAATTTGACAATTATCGAATGATACTACAACCTTTTCCACAGATTTAAATTTTAAATAAGGAACAACTTCTGGATCATTCTCATCTCTTAACTAATGAACCAATTTATTCATAATATACTTCTATCTTAGAAATTCTTAAATTAGCTACTACTGTTTAAATTTATTCAAGGTTATTACCAGGAGTTGCACTTAATGCTATTATTCTTGTGTTATACAATAATCTTTTAACTATATTTGTATAAGCATAATCTCCTACTCCTTTATGAGCTTCATCTAATACTACTAAAACTATATTTTGAATTAATTCTTCATTTAAATCATTTTCAAGTGTCTAGGGTGTTGAAAAATATATTTATGATTAATATGTTCTATCATTCTTTGATAATTTGCCATCTATTCCAAATCTTTTCATTGCTTCATGTTATTATGATACTAAGGGTCGTGTTGGTGCCAAAAAGAATATTTTACCTTTTGGAAACCATCTACTAAAATTTATTATTGCCATTGATGCTATAAAAGTCTTTCCTAAACCTGTTGGCAAACAAACTAATGTATTGTAATAAAATGTTGATTAAACTATTGTAAATTAATATAATCGAAATTCATTCTATAAAGAATATAACCATATTTTGCTATTCTCTTCATCTATGTCTTTTTATTATTCTCCATAATCTATGGAGGGAAATGTCTATATATATTTTGTAATTTAATTCATTAATTTTACAAATAGTAAAAATTTAACAGGAATTTTAAATAATATAAGGAATTTCATAGAATATATATCTCAAACAGATATCTTACTTCATTTTGACAATTAATTACTTATTATGAAGTTTATACCACTTTCAATTCATTTACAAACTATTGCAGAATTGTATGAAAAATGTGCCTAACTTTCTGAATAATTACATTAATAAAATTCTAAAAATGATCAAGATGCTAAAAGTACTAATGAAAATACTTAAATCTCAAATAGTATTGAAATTGATGATATTCAAAATATATCTCCTAAATCTTAAATAACTAAAACTAAAGAAAATATTAAGTTAACTATTAAAAAGTTTAAAACTCAAAATAATAGTAAAGTTTAAAGTTAATGTTTGGATTGTAATTAAGTTTATGAGGTAAAAGTTAAGAAAAAAAACAAAAAACATAAACACAAACACACTTAAAATAAAAAATCTAAAAAAAACAGATAAATAATCAAAAAATTGAAATCATAAAAATAATAAAAATAATTTGAAATATATTTAAATGAACGAACAAATAGTGAAAATTCTAAAAAAAGCAAAAGTGAAATAAAGAAAACTTCTATATTAGAAAATGAGAATGATCAAAATGAGAATGATAGAAATGAGAATGATCAAAATGAGAATGAAAATTAAGAAAATCATGATGAATTTGAAATTTCATTATGATAAAAAATATATATATATAGATTCATTATTTCTTTTCATATCTTTTAAGAATGTCATCTACACTTTTTCTAACTTCTTAATTATTTGAAAAACTTTTTGTTTATCTTTATCCATTACCATATTTTTCAATAATGGATTAAGATGGACGATTTTATTATTATTTGTTTGAAAATTGTGTATTAACTAAGTTTTATGAATTTGGGTAAGATTTCAATATTTATGCTTATGGATTATTGAATGTAGGAAGATTATCACTGTTAAAATGAGGAGATTTTGGACTATCTTAATCTTCTTAAGTAGTTTGTATTTAACTAAATAATTAAATAGTTATACTTAGATTAGTTAGGAATTGGTGGTTAAGATTGAGGTGGAACATTTTCAATAAAATTAAGTTTTTTAGTAATTGGAGTTACAGAATTACATTTTCTGGAAGATTGATTCTCATCTAATAAACGAAAAGAAACTCTTTTTTTTTATTCTTTAGGACTTAAAGTGGAAGTCTTATCTTCATCAATAACACTTTTTCTTAATTTAGATTAGAGTTCTTCACATCTCCAAACTTCTACAGTTAATAACTAATATAGAAATATAATAATATATTTATACTCTTTAAGAATTGTAAAAGTAACAATTTTAATGTCCTAACCATAATAAATATTTATTAGTTTTAGAATCAAATGAAAAGCCAAAACCATTATTATTATTAAAATAGTTTTTAGATGGATTTCTAAAAATATAGAAAATAGGTGAGATTTAAAATGCAATAATATTTTCTATATTTTTACAATCTACTTACCATTAATGTTTGTTATAAATTGCTAAAGTTAATTTTTTATTATTTATTTCATCTTGAAATGTAACTACCAACAAAATTTAAGTTTGTTACATTGAAATCAATATTTCTTAAATATTAATTGATTATAATGCTGATTAATATAATAATGTGAGTTGACCATGTCTATGTAATTCAGATGTTGCTAATCCCATAATAGCAAGCCATTCATATTTTAAACTGAAAGAGTCTTTATCAATCTTTGCAACTCTCATTTAATTAAACGGTTTTTACAATAATCTATAAGATAAGTAAAGTCTTATTAGTTTTTAGATATATGGTAGATTTGCCTCCATGATAGATAAGAAATCATTGATTTTCATTTACTTTTCTTTAAATAGAGAATAGATCATGATTTCTAATACTTAAAAATCAATCTATTATTTCCTAATACAAAATGTTAGGAATATAGATGTTAGCAACTTAAATCATCAATATTTATATTACTCCTATAAATTATAGAGCCTATTAAACTGTTATTACTTGAATTGATCCATTATAGTTTTCCATACAAATCTAAAGCAATATTGGTGTTATGTCTGAAGTACTTAATATTCCCTATACTAGAATTAATTTGAGTTTTCTTACTTATATTAATACATCCTTCAAGTGGTAATTAAGTTACTTTCAAAATATATGAACAATATTCATAAACTTATTCTCCAAATTAAGGATTATCTTAGAATATTCTTTCAAAACATTATTTATCTAAATATGTTATATGATTATCCTCTTAAGAATGTTTTAGAACATCACATAATATAAACACTTCCTTTTTGTCTAATGTATTAGTTGGCTGTCTTGTTCTAATTGAACAACATGATTAATTATTTCCCATTCTCAAATTATCAATCGAATTATTTTTATATATATTTATTTTATTAAAATGTAGGATGTACAACAACCTCACACTTCTAAATTAGATTAAGAATCAGCAACTAATGCAAAAAATCATTTACATTTAGTCAATGTAATTCTCTATTCTCACATTCTATTAGAACATTACTGAATTAGCTAATGAATTACTATAAAGTTATAAACATGACATTGACCAATTGAAATAAGAATTACATTTAATGAAATAAAGAATCACTAATAACAATGAAGAAATCAAAAACACAACCTAACCTACTTTAGATGCTATGTTAAGGGACTTAAGATAAGTAAAATCAATCAAACTATTATAGGCTATTAACACATAAAAAGATGAAAACTCTAAATTACAATCATAAATTACAGAAATCAAAAAAGAAAAAAGTCAAATTCAACAATTAATAATAGCTGCTACATAAAAAGTAGCAGAACTCGAGCATTAAGTAGGAAACTATACCTCTTCATGATTTATAATTATTAATTGATTAATCATACAAAAGTCAGAATCAAATCAATTATCTTTCTAATAATCCTTTACATTTATATATATTGTACTTTTTTATTTTTTCATTTCAATTTTATACATAACACCATTATTCAACTATTTTAAATTAATATAACTACTAAAAGATAATACCTTTTGTATTTCCTAATTTACAACTTATCAATATTCAAAAATTTTCTTATTAAATAAATTTTTTTTAATATGAATAGAAAATAATAAAACAACTTAACAAAATTTAGGGAATACTAAAATAAAGATAATTAAGAATTAAAGATATTCAAATATAATTAAACAAATTATAATGGAACTGCTTTTTGTATTTTTAAAAACAATAATAATATGTAAGTAAATTTTTCATATAACACTGCAAATTTTCTCGTTTCTCAAAAACATTATCATTTTCTTGATAACTGAGTATTTATGATTTTTTAACAAGTTGTTGATAAATTTCCTAAAATTTATTATTATCAGAATCTAAAATTAACAAAAGATTTTATTTATTTATTTTTTTGGTTAAGAGAACAATTTGAAAAGAGCCTCAATAGATTAATAATAATATTGTCTTTTTTAATTTAATTTAAGAGTTGAGATTTATCTTATAAAAATAAGTTTTCATGTATAAGAAATTAGAGCAGTACAAATAATCTAAATAAATTGGAAATAAATATATTTTAAATGTATTACGTTGTTTGAGATTATTAATATTTAATGTTGAAATACTTATGGAAAGCAGATAATATATATTTGAGATGCAAATATTTAATTCTCATAATGATTAGAATCTTTATTAAGTGAAATGGAATCTTAATTTTGTAAAAATGATAAAATAATTATTAGAACACAATATACTAATATATTATGATGAATTATTTCATATTAGTAATATATAAAAATTATAATAAAATGAGTTCTACTTGTGGATAATAAATTGAAAAGTCAACAAAATAAAATGATAAGCAAAAGATTTTAATTTGATATGAATAAATTGATAAAATATAATTTATATCTTTATAAAGATTTAAATACAAAATCCCAGTATTTATTCTAATTCTGGAGTTAATAAAGTATATATTAAAAATAAAAAAAAAACAGGTGTCAAGATGACATCATACTATTTTGAGATGCAAGAATTTGAGGCAAGTTAACCTTATGTAAATTAAGCAGCTTTAATCTTTTATGAAGACACAGATGGTAGTCATTAGGATACAGATAAATTTAATAATTGGGAAGAAGGTTTGATTAAAATATCAAAGTCATCTCCATCTTAAAGAGATTACAAAAAAAATATCTGTAGAAACATATTACGATAAGCTGTTAAATCTATGAGAAGAGGAAAATAATTCGAATTTTTATAAATGGAACTGTAGCAAGAGACCTCTCATTTTATAGATTATTATTAGAAAAATTTACAAAATATAAATGGATTCAGAAGCCTCAAAAAATAATTAATAATAGACTAAAAGGACATGGGTGAATAAAAATTGTGGAAACGTGTCTTTCAGTCTTATATGGTTTGGTTCTTGAATTAAAGAGCTTCTCTCTTCATTCTGAATGGAGAAGCAAATAATTTTAAGGAATACCTAAGATTCAAAAATGAAGTTATGTTGTTTTATGCATAATTTCCTGAACAATGGTGTTCAAATGAACCATCCTGGAAAAATTGTAATTGATTATTCAATTACAACCAGAATAGATTTATGATTGCATTATTACAATCATAACATATATATATATAAATATAAATTTATAAAGAGCACTTCTTTTATGATCTTAAAAAGTAAATAGTAATAGCAATAAAGATTGGAATAATTTTTTTGATTTTGATCTGATAATATTTTGACTGTTTGATTAGAATAATGATTGTAATTAATGAATGAACATTAATCTTAATTAAGTTTTTGTTAATATTGAGGTTTTTTTGTAAATTTGATTCTTAATGTAATGAATGATGAATTATTAATAGTTAAATAGATTTTTCAAAATTATGAATTAACTGATTTAATAAAATGAATGATTATAGTTAATTTCTGATTGATTTTAGTACTTTGATTGTAAGTGTTTATAAGTGAAGAAGTTGCATATTTGTATAATAATTTAAAATATAAATATTTAATGAGAGGATTAATAGTGAGATTCAGATTTTCAGAATAGGTTTAAGTTTAATAGCCAATTTAATTGAAAAGATTTTATAAGGAAGCAAGTATTGAGATGGCTGTGAATCCAACAAATCCATATCATTAATGGTTAGTGAAAGTAAAATAATAAAAATTATATTAATAAGTTGGATGGAAAGACAGTAAAGACTCCATCTAAAAATACATTAGCTGTTCCATCTCCTTAATTAGCATCATTTATTGCTCATGAATTTAATATGTAGACAGATTATATAAGACCAACAACAATGCCATTATTAACTTTAGCAAGAAATGCTATAGATATTGAGGCAGATGATAGAATTAGATAATTTATGGAATAATCAATTATCAGTTATTTAGAAAGAGATACTGTATTATTTAGAGAGAATCCAGAAACTAAATTATATAAAATATAAAAGGAGAAATTAGATCCATAATTGAAATTATTTAATGAGAAATTTGGATTACATTTAAAAACCAATTTTGGACTGAATATTGAACCTTTAAAATAATATGATTAAATAAGAATAGAGACAATTGTGAGTGAGTTAAATAATTGGTAATTAGTGAGTTTAGATGCAAAAGTAGGTAATATAATTTAATAAATAGTAGAAAACTTAAAATCATGTATTTTGGCACTTCTGATTTGGAATAATCATTTATAAGTAGAAGAAGGAGTAAAATTATCAAGATTAGAAGAAGATTTCTAGATTGCATAATTTGGTAAAGTTGAAGGACATCATGATTATGATGAGAATACAATAATGATGAATGTCTCAGCTTCAAAATTATTTGCATAATTGATTTAAACATAGAGTATTGCTTATTGATCTTTAGATTGATTAATATAATTTATATATAATAATAATAATAATTAAATTTAATTTATATAATTTATTTAATTTATTTATAATATAAATATAATATAAAAATAGAAGAATGAAGAAAAGTACAAAGGTTACAGGGAATAATACTTAAAAATAGAATGTAAAATCACCTACAAAGAAGACAACAGAAGTTTAATAAGATTCAATGTTATAAAGTGGAAGAGATTGGGCAAAATAATCATATAGAAGTTCATAGAGTCCATCTTAACACAGTCCTTCAGGTATTAGTCCTACAACAAAGCGTATGTCATCTTCTGCAGTGTAGATTCCTTAAAACATTAGAATATAGAAGAGACATTCATCAATAGTAGCTAAAGGAACAGAAATGCATTAGAGATCCGTAATAAAATATTTAGGTTTGAATTTAGAACCTGTATGTGATAAAAAGAATCATGAAAAAAATAGATTGATTTATATTTGTTAGAGTCCATTATGTAAAGCTTAAAAAAGATTGGGTTGTGCATATTGTTTACTAGAGGAACATAACAATCATGAAACTATTGAAGTACAATAATTTTGCAAGCTTTTTGATGAAAAATATAGAGTATTTTAAGAATAATGTGGTTCTATATAAAAGATGCCTGAGAGGGGGTAAGAAATAAAATAGAAATTTGAGTAATTATAAAAAGAAATAGTATAAAAGTTAAAATAAATAGAATAAGGAATAATATGTGCAGTAAATGGTTTTTTATTTTGGGAAAATAAAGAGAATGGATTAAATGAATAAGTAGAGTAACTTATAAAAAAAAATATTTATGATATGTCCCAAGAGGAATTATTTGAAAGTATAGAATTTATAAAAGGAAAACACATAAGAGAAATAACACAAATAGCTACTTAAACGAATATGATAGTAAAGAAAAGAACAATACAATTAGATTTAAGTTGGTAAACATACTTTCCTTAATTGGAGTCTGATATCATGTATGCTTTAGATGACAATAAAGAATTATTTATATAAGACTAAGATTTGAATTTAATTAGATTATAGAAAATAGAAATGAAATAATAAAGATTGGATGGAATATCATAATAGATTAAAGAATAGCTATAAAATAATGGAATATAATAGAAGATTCCAGGATTTAAATAAGAAGATATTAATTTAATGAACAGTATAGTAAGTTCTGCTTTGGATAAAGTAGCGAGTTTACCAGAAATTAATAATGAATTCAATAACCATTTTGATTCTCTGCATACTGATGGATAAACTGAATAAGATGTAGATGAATCTCAATAGAAAATATAAGAAAGTGTAAGTACTTTTCCACATACTATTTATACTTAAGATTGTGAACATAGATAACCATGTAATACTATACCTATATTTGCATGTTGTAATAAAGCATATCCTTGTGCATAATGTCATGGATATAAGTTGCATCCACCTAAAATATCTGTGCCTAGCTATAGATATTGTATGAAATGTTTAGAAATCTACCTAGTCATCTATCCTACCAATTAGGCTGTCAATTGTCTAAAATGCTCATGAATTTTACATTATTATTTTTATATTAAATGTATAACCGTCCAAATTCTAAGTAGAGGTATTAACAGGACCCAAACATAGACTAAATCAACCTTAAAGAAAAATAGTTATATTTATAATCAAGCAGTATAAGTAAAAATCAAACTTTTATTATTTAGATCCATTAACAGGAGCAGTTCTTAGATCTGATCAATATCAATCATATAATCAAACAAATTAAAACAATCACAACCTTGATAAGAAAATTGCACTCCAAACAAGCTCAATAAGTTCCACCTTTTCCTATTCTATTAGATCCCTTAACTGGAGAACCCCTTATCAGAAACGCTCCTGTGTATCAAAGTGAGTCTCACAATTCTAAATATGCACCATATGGAACATCTGCAAATGCTGGAAATTATACCACATCTGCTGGTCAAATTGGAGCACCACACAACTCCAAAGATGACCCTCAATTCCAGAGAAACTTAATTAAATTCTTTGCTGCTGATGATCCAAATCAAATTCAACCCAAACATCCAAAGAAAACTACCAATCCCATTCCATCAGATCCTTCATTCTAAAGAAATCTTGTAAAATTCTTTGCTGCTGATGATCCTAGTTCTCCACATAAAGCAAATAACCATAGACCAAACTAATCAAGATCTAATTAATTATAATAATAATCCTATCCATAGTAGTCCTAGACATCTAATTTAAATAATAATTAATAATTCTAATCAAACTTGAACAAATTTTTTGCAGCTGATGATCCTACCATAATAAAAAAATCAAATTAACATAGTAACTAAGATAAATCCTATTAATAATCTAGACATTAATCAAATTAGTTTTAAGAGGCTAATTTTAATAATAATAATGATCCTTAATTTGAAAAAAACTTAATTAAATTCTTTGCAGCTGATGATCCATCTTAACCAAAAAAAATTATTCATTAATAAACACAATAATAATAGTAAATTAATCTTATTGAATAAAATAAACTTTCAAGATTAGAATAAGATCCAAGATTTTAAAAAAATCTATAATAATTTTTTGGAATTGATGGTGGTTAATAACCATTTAAAGGAGGATAGTAATAATAATTATATTTTTAGAGGGGTCTAAGGGGCCATCTAATAAATAAATAAGACAAATAAAGTTATTGCCATTACAGATAGTAGTTCAGCAGCTAGAAATTAAGTTGCAGCCTTCTTTAGAACCAGAGGAATTGATGACTTTGATGTTTTTACTGTTCCAGGAGGTGTTTTTGGTTTACAAAATAATTAAATTTGGGAATCAAGTTTAAAATATTATATGGAAACAATGAATGCAGCCTATGACATTCGTGAAATCTATATCTTATCTGTATTAGATAATAATACTGTATATAGAATTTAATATATCTTAGAATGCTAAAATTTATGTTAATGTTAATGATAAAAGATCACATTAAATTGCCATCTCTGATTTTAAGACCATACTTGAAACCCGACTCAACATTTAACATAAATTAAATGGAATAATTATCGATCAAAGAGGAGCATCAGAGAAGGTTTTTTGAAAATTTGAGTTAACAATTAAATCAAAATACAAAGCATTTTCTAATTATTTTACAATCGATTTTTTTAAACTAATTTAATAAAAATAAGTTAATTAGTTCAAATCCAACTTGCTTTAATATTTATTTATATTTATTCAATAAATTGAGCTCTACATCAAGCCATCCTATCATTTTAACCTTCTAATTTCTCAATTAAAGTTAAATTAAAATCTCTTACAAATAATATTTAAACCTAATATCAATTGAATTAGATCTGTATATATTTAAATTCCAATTAATATGTTATAATCGAGGAAAATAAAAGAAAAAAATTAGATTTAATGAAGTATTCAAAAATCTCAGATGACACAAGATTAGCCTTTATTAATAAAGTACAATAAGGAGTTTGTACAATTAAGTAGGCAGCCAAGCATTTTGGAATTAAATTTTCAACTGGCAAAGCCATATTATCATTATATAAACGTGAAGGTCGAGTTGGAAAAAAACAAAAAAGAATTAGAAAAACAAAGAAATAAAATGAATAAGATCAAAGAGAGACTGTTAAAAATATAAAAGAAGAAACTATTTCAAATGGTAAATAAGGTTAGGAGGTTTAGAATGGCTAAAATAGTTATTCTTAATTTAACTCCTATGCCCAATAATATTATAATTACTAACAATGGTATAATACCAATGTCTGGTTGTAATACATATCTGGAATGGGTTACCCAAATATTTAGTATCAAGGAAATAGATTTTGATAATATATAATTACATTACCTAATATATTTCCTATTTATTATTTAAAAACTTTAGTTCTTATGTAAGAAAATAGTTTAATAGGAATTAATAATACTACTATTAAAAAACACCCAAATTTTGTAATTTTGAACAAGAATTTGATTATGTTGGTTTGTATAAAAAAATATTAATTAAATATATCTTCATTCGAATAATTTTATATTTACAGATTATTTTTCTTTATAATGTCAAATTTACAAATATTATATACAATAATAATTTTTATAACAAATCATAACTTATTCAATACACAATTTTATGAATATGTAAAAATTGGTTGAAATTAGGAATCTTCATTATCTAGCAAAGCCATATCTTCATTTATAAATGTTACAAATTTAAATTAGCTCCACATTTATTCAAAAATTTCTATCATTTCAATAATATTATCATATTTTTTATCAATCATCATCCATCCATGAGTCTTATTAAATGAATTAATTGTCCAATTTGCAGAAGTAGTAATTAAAATTTTTCCATCAATTACGCAAAAATTAGTTGGTAAACTTTCGTATTTTTTAGTATTTACAACAATCTTAATTTTGAATTGACTCTCTATTAACAATTCGCAAATCAATGCTTAAAAAAATTCATCATTTTTCTAATTATCTTTACAATCCATTATCAAATATATTTTCCTTCCCCCATTGGCTAACAATACTAATAGTTTTATTATCCAAGAATGATCTATTTCAGATATACATGCTATAATAAATTGTTAGCATTCCTTCATCATATTAAAAAAGTAATGAAAATTCCATTTGTTTGGAAAAAATATCGTTTATAATTATCTTTTCTCCGAGTTAAGTTTTCTTAAACTATTCTTTCCATATGTAAACAACTAGTTATTCATTTATTAATTTTTACTCTAGTATCAAGGTGATATTTTATGCTTTTAAATTATCATCTTAATAATTTGTTAACTCAATTATATAAAATTTCAAATAAAATAAAATACTTTATTGATAATTATAATCTGCATATAAGAACTTATTTTAATCCATCATATTCCATTTTCTTTACTATCCTTAAAATTACATTATTTAAGAATATAATTGTGTTTTCAATTTAATCTATCATAACAATATAAATTATTTTTTTATTATCAAGAGTATCTTATTTTATTAAATGTGAAATATCAAGCATTAAAAATTAACCAGAACTGTTTATTTTGATTAGACTTAAAATCCAAGTTCAGATATATCTTTAAATCTTTATATGGGTAGATAAAACTATTTCGCTAAGTGTAATTTAATTAACTAAAAAATTATCATTATTATAAATCTATGAAAATGTAAGAAATTTTGGGTATTAATATTCGGCTATTAAAGAATAAAAATTTTGATTTTAGTATTAATTTAAAATATAAAGAAAAAAAATTTTCATAAATGAATATTATGCTACTTTAAGGCGAAGAATAATATATTTTCTTTTAGTGTATTATTTTTAATTCTCAAAATATGATGAAATAATGTTTATGAGGCTTAAGAATAAATTTTCTAATGACAGTATATTTTACATCTTAGATAGTTTGATAAATTAATTTCTTATGTATATTCGCCTAAACAGCAAAATGTTCTTTTTACAGATAATTTTGTCTAACTATTTTTTTGTTATTCTTTTCGATGATTACAGTCCTGAATTAATTGAAGAATATTTTTTTTGATTACAATTTAAAAATTTATTTTAATTCGAAATCATTAATCAATTTAATTAAAAATACGAAACCATATTTAAATTTTAACTCAAGTCTAATTCATTTTGTTTGTTTTTGATTTCCGAATGGATCTATTTATGTTTGACATCAATAATTTTAAAATTTTAAAATTGAAGAATATTATTCTATCAATCTTGCTTAACATAAAATATTTTTTTTGTATTTAAAGACTAATTAGACTAATTTTCTATAATAAAATTCTGAATATTAAGAGAAATATTGTTTATATGTTTTTTAGTAATCTAAAAGCTTATCATAAATTTCATATTCTAATATAATTCAAAGAATTACATTAAAAAATTTATTTTTATCCATCATCTATTGAAGCTATATGAGAATTATATTATTTTGTTTAATTATGTATACTTTAATAAGCTGTTGCATTTTCAAGATAAAATTAAATTATTTTTTTCTTATGTAGAGAAATTTAAATAAGGATTACATTTAACTTTAAAACTTGAATTTTTAAATTTTAATATTTGTAAATCAATATAATAGTTATCATCGTATTGTATTAAATTTATGGTGATTCTATTAATTTATTTATGATAATTAAAGAATTTTTAATGGATTTAGGAAAATTTTAGATAAAATTTTGATCATTACAGCCCCATTTCCAATTAGACAAATTTAATTAAATAAAAATGCCTATTTATATTAATATTAAGTATGAATGAGATTCTATAATCAAATTCTATTGTTTATAGATAGTTGAAATAAAAATTAATTCATGAATTTGAATCTATAATTATTCTTTAATTTTTTGATAATAATAATCTTGAAGATTAGAAATTAAACTTCCAATTATAAAAAAAGGATAAATTCACTATTAGAATTGGTTTTTTTAGAGAATATAATTAATTAAACTTTAATCTTGTTTATAAATTAAAATTAATTCAAATAGAATTTAGATAAATTTATCTATTGAAGTATTTTTAAACATTATCGAATAAAACAGTAAAAAAAAGAATAGAAAAAATCCTTAAATTTAAAAAATAAGTTGAGACCCAAATAAAAGATAAAAATTTATTTAGAATAATTTAATATATAAATTAAAAAAGGTTTTAGAATTTTAAATATTCAATAAAATACGAAAAGGAATATGTAAAGATAATAAAAGTTTGATAGAAATGAAAAGCTGTGTCAAAATTAGAGAAATAATTTCATAAAATTGGTAATATAATAATTTATCAAATCACTTGTTATATAGATTTATGACATAAAGAGTTTGTATTATTAATTATTAATCTGTTTATTAATAATTATTATGAAGTTCTTAGGTTATTTTTATTATTATTAATTTTTTGTTATATTTAATATTCATTCTCTTAGGAGTTTTTGTTGCTCATACAAAATATCTTCTATAGCAAATAAACAATTTTTTAATTTGCCTTTTATTCTCAAGTAAAATTCAGAATTTCTTCTCTATTTTTTTAGATTTGATTAGTACCAAGTCATCTGCTTAGATGTCTACATTATATCTCGATGTCAATTCTTATATTTTATGAAATTTTTCTAAACTGCGCATCAAATCATTAGAAATAATCATTTTAGTTGATAAAATATTAGACCTTTCTCTTCTTTTAGACAAACTAAATAATAAATTATATTTAAATTTATTATACCTGGATGATGCAGATCTTCTTTCAATAGATCTTTTTCTTTAATGTTTATGTTTTCTTCTAGATTATGATCTTGATCTTGAATTTCTTTCAGATAGTGAACTGGATTTTTATCTAAAAAGGATGTAGATATATTAAACCTCTTCATTTTAGATTCTTCATAATTTTAATTATAAGGTAATTAAGATGTTTAATTAAAATTATCATCATTTAAAAACTTCCCATTATCCATTATCTATATAAATATAATAATTATACAGGTCCTCCATTTTTGAAACATTCAATTTATTAAAGAACTAATTTGCTAGCATCTTATTTATTTTATAGAGTTCCTGCTATTTAAACAATACAATCTATAAAATGAATTGAAATAATGTACGATAATCATGATCAGTTTCATCTTTATCTGATAAGACTTTAATTTAAGCTCCTTTAGATTTAGTAGCTAATTCTTTAATTTAACAACCCTCTAAGAAATAAGTATAATAGATACTAGCTCCAATTAATTTAGAGGCATAACTAGCTGGCATAATAATTTTGATTTCTAATTCTTATTTTTTAAAATGATCAAAAACTCTTCTGATCTGATATGACAAAGCATCTTAAACATTAGATAAAGTGCCTTATAATTAAATTATTTTATCATCTCTTTTAAGTTTACATTTTTACTAAAAGAAATTGATTAATATAATAATTACAGTGAGTCTAATGTCATTATTTTCTTTTGCTTTTATTGAAACATTTTATTTAAGTTCTACATCATTTTTGTTTTTCAATATATAATCAGCAATTTAAGATTGAAAAATGAGTTTTGCCTATATTATTTTTTTGAGTTATAATACTTTTGCATTTACTTTTTATGGATTTAAAGCTTCAGGAACTTTTTTATAATCTTCTTAAGATATTCCTCTCTCTTACATTTTTTTAGTTATAGCTCTAATTGCACAATTAATAGTAATTTGATCACCAACAATTTTAACAGTTCTAGGAGAGTAGTTAAGAATAGGTTGATTAACTGTGATTTTAGCATTTGTTTCTTCATTGATTTTAGCAAGCTATGATCCTTTAGATCCTATCAAAAATGATACAATTCCTAAATCATAATATAAATAATAATACCTTCTGGAATTAAGAGGATAATATTGATTTATTATTTCCATCTCTCATACAATTATTGAAGTATAAAAAAAGCAGCATCACATTTAGAATTCATTTTATTTTCTCCAGGATCATCTATTGTAAATGCTTGACCTTCTAAGTCTGGGATTTAATATTTCTGACTAAAATGAATAGATTTTAATGAATATTTTTGCTTATTTAGGTTTAAAATTATACTTGTGCTTCTTCTAATATAGATTTGAAATCATCAGAAATAAACTTCTTTTAGATAAAGAAATCAAGTGGAAATTCTTTAGACCTTGGCACTTAATTTTAATGGGATGATGATTTAGAAGTTTAAGGTGAAAGGCCTCTCTAATCTTAATCCATATTTATATTAATTAAATTATTTGATGGAAAAAATTAAAGAATATTTACCTGATATTTCAAGCATAACAGGTATTATGTTTTACTCATTTATATCTTATTGGATGATTTTTACATTGAGCATCATAGTAGACAGGTTAATGTTCTCAGGTAAGAATAATGAGAACACCAAAATGAAAAAAATAATCAAAGCAAGAGATGTTAAGAAATAATAAGCTGATAAATTATTAAAGAAAATAGATAAAGTCACAAAATGAAATTTATAAATGTTGTAGAGTTATTAAACAAAATTATTTATAAGAATTAAATTTTATTTAAGGTTATAGGCTTAGAGGCTATAAAGTTTAGAATTCATTTCGTGAATCTATCCCATGTATTATTAAGCCAAATTTATAAATAAATAAACCATTATTATGGTTTAATACTTAATATATAGATGAAATAAACGTATGTTATAAATTTTATTTTAGTTGATAAATATTAAATTATCATAATCAGTTATTTCTAAAAATTAAAGTACTCTTAATAAATCGAAATCATTTTAAGAAAGAATTAAAAATTTATTAATTGCATTCAACTTAATCAAATATTTTTAGAAATCTTTATATGATGTCTCTAATGTAAATTTTTACATATTATTGTTAGTTTATTATTGAGTATTCCTAATTAAGTTACTAAATACATATTAATGAATAAGATTCATCAATATCTGGATTATAATTATTTTAAGCATTTTCACCAGAACAAATAAATTTATTAAAATTTCATTTCAATCAAAGGATTTAAACACCCAAGATGATA